CTTGAGAGAAACAACATTGCGTATACTAAGCATTTACTATAGACAAACCTGCATATGACCACCAGCGAGTCACGCTGCGCAGTCCGTACTATACAGATACTATACAGACATCAGACCAATGCTTGGCTCTCAGGGAGGGGAGGGGTGTGTGGGAAGGAGGGGCCACCAGCACCCGGGCGTGGCGTCAAGTCAAATTTCCCCACCCTGCCACGTTCTCGAAGCCCTGCTGTTCGGACTCTACGGTACGGCCGGGCTTGTTGATCCGGAGCTCCTGAAAGGGGGGGGGGGATGTATAGAAAAAGACGGAGAAGGAGGAGGGGTCGTCGGATTGTCCAAGTAGAGGAAGGTTTGGATGCTGGCGCTGTTTCTTTTCTTTTCTTTCATTCTCTCTTCTTGCGGCTTGGGGCAGGCCCACATGATAAGTCTTTAAAATGCAGAACGAGGGCATCCGAATTGGACAAGCTGCATCACCCTTCGGTCGCTTCCTGCGTCCTATATATGACCCTATGAAGGGATAGTCAGTCAGCAAATCAAGAAGAGGAAAAGAAGAAGAAGAATGGATACGCTTTCCGTTCCCGCGCCTAGGAGGTGGGGGGGGGAGACATCCGGTGCAGTAGGGGGGGGGGGGCAAGAACAGAGAGAGAGGAGGCTCGATGCGGGATAGATGGAGCACACGGACGCAATTCTTCTTGGTTCAATCCAGCGCCACCCAGCCCCTAAGGACATGGGAAAATACGGGACACCGCTGATCGGTTTTGGTCTAGACTTTTGTCTGCTTTGACCCTTGGCCTGGGGGCAGGTGAAACGGACTTTCCGTGGTCTGGTCGCAGGAAGGAATTCCCTTCTCATCTCCATAAAAACCCTTTCTTGTTCCCTAAAGAGGCAACCCGAGCCGTTTTTGCTGGACGCACACGAATCTGTGGTGTGGCTGCATACGGTGGTACTGATCGTCCCTGTAGGTATGTATGCATCTCATGTATATACGGGGATTAATATGGCGTGCCACACACATCTGCACAACCTCATCCTCCTCCTTTGTGATTTTTCTTCTTCTTTTTTTCTTTTCTTTTCTTTTCCCCCAAGATCCAAAGACAAGACAAGGGCTTCCAAGATAGAAACCTGAAGAGGGCGAAAAAAAAAAATTAAAACAGACGGCGGCACCACCGTCGTTTAGGTCCGGACTACGCCCGGCAGAGGGAACCTTGGAAAGGCCCGACTCGAGGGCGAAAAAGATAGCCGCGCGGTCAATTCCTCGCAGCATCTCCCGGGCACTCTTTTTTTTTTCTCTTTTCTCTTTTCGAGTCTTTCCTTTCCCCACGTTTCACCTCCGCCGAAGAGACCAAGGACAGACGAATGCGACGAGGTACTTGTTCCGTCTCAGCCCTCATTGTTCACCGCATGAGGTACATCGGCTCCAAACTTAGGAGAAGAAGAACAAGAGCCGGCCTGGGAAGGGTTATCGAGGGACAAAGGAAGGGGGGGGGGATGGGACGTTCGTGCCGACGAGAGCCGGTGCGGGATTTTGATAATGAGATAGTCAAACAGAGAACAGACAATACTATAATACTTAGTCTTTTAAGGAAAACGAGTCAAAATTTCATTCAAGTCACCGGTTCGGATCCTGCTGATAAGGTGTCTGCGCTCATGTTGATAAGTGAAGGAAGGAGAAAAAAGGAACGAGAGACAAGGCAAGGGCCGCGGGGTCTCCCTCCTCCTTATCGGGATCCCTGGCAGGCGGGAAGAGGAAGGGGGGGGGGGGTTTTGATACAACATACTACTGCTGACTGCGTCCGGTCGTCGGTGATTAGATGCCAAATGCAGGGCAGGGCTGCAGCAGCACATTCTACAAGATGTGCGGTGTGTGTGTGTGTGTGTGTGTTTGCAATACACTCGATACTACCATCGTACCTAGTACGTAAACAATTCGCAAATGCAAAAAGACATTGCGATCTCCTCGATTGTTCGTTCGTCCTTGTCGTCATTCTTTATGCACTCTCTTCCCTCGTACCGTCGTTGCAGTCTGGTGGACCGACCCCCCTCCTTTGACAACAAAAAAGGCAGGGCCTACGAAAGAAGAAGAAGAAAGAAGCAGTGCGGTCACCGCATCCACACGGTATGTAGAGCAAAGCAAAAACAAGAAAGCACCGAGAGAAGAAGAGAGAACCAAGCCGCCCGCTATGATCGCTGCACAGGCCGTCCCGAACGAAACGAGAACAGCAAGAGGACCTCATATGCAAGAGGCGTTGGTTGTATTATCGCCCTTCCCCCCCTCTCATGAATTCCTCAGCCGTCCCCTCCCGAACCGTTCGCCCGCCCTGTTCCTCCCGAACTAATCTGCCCATTGAAGCCCTTGTGTTGTCGGTAGTGGTACTGGTAGTAGTAGCATCAGCAGCGGGGTGTCGTTGCTTTTGAACCCCTCCTGGATTCTGCTGCGTCTATCTCAGCCCTGAGGGGGGTTGGGGCTGCTATGTCCCCCCCCCCCCGTTTCGCTTTCTTATTTGCATGATGAAAAGGCAAGGTCGTATGTATGTAACTCTATATGTCAGACCGGGTACGATTCCAAGCTGCGAGCGCTTGCAAGCGACAGAGGAAAGAGAGAGTGTATGTGTGTGAGTGAGTGAGTGAGAGAAGAAACCACCGAGCGGGATAGGTGGAAAGCAAACTACACCACCAAATGTCTATCGTCTTCGCTCTATATATTGCGTACACGTCTGCTCATTCCCCCGCCCCCCGTGTGTTGACACAGAGGGTAATCGGCATCACTTTGATAGGGCAGTGGCAGATCACCTGTCATGCATCTGGACTCACCGGTCTGTCGTGCGCCGTGCACACCAGGGAGAGGAAGGGGGGTGGCTCCTTCGGCAGGATGCTCGCACTTGTTCGAGGAGTGTGTGTGTGTGTGCGTGTGTGTGTGTAAAAGGTTGTGTGTGATTGATTGCACGGACAACAACCAGAGATAAAGTTGGCTTGGCCAATTGTCTCATTTGACAGCTTGCGGCAACGGTGAGATGAGGGTGCAACAGCGGTGCCGCTGATTTTCTACTCCGTACTTGGCATTGTAATGGTGGTGGGAAGCAGTAGTAGTGACTTGACGTCGTTTCTTTTTCTTTTACTTTCTCCCCCCCCCCCCCATTCTCAAATACATACTACCTCATCGAGATCAAATATTTAGATCAAAAAGGTAAATAATAATAAAAATCAAATACGGAATTACTTCCTTAAAAGGATATCAATTCGCAGACGCCGCAGGCAGGTCGCAATACGTCGGATGTGGTAAATGGCGAACCTCCAACATGGGAATACCTGATCCGGCCGCTGGCTGCTGCGACCTCGCTCGCTGCGTTCAGCACTTTCAAATGCGACGAGACACGAAGAGAACCCAGAGTTTGGCTATCCATGATCATCATCCTGCATTATTATTATTGACCCCAGGTTTAAAAGGTTTTGTTAGCCTTCACATGCAATAAAAGACACGTCAAGCTCATGATTATCCTTCTCCCTTTTGACCATTAGCTTGCGCAATAGCGCCATGCGGCTCTGAACAGACTCGCAGTTATGCTCATGGTTCATCATACGATCAAAACATTGGATGTCTTGTGCACTTGGAAGGGGTGCAGAGGGGTGGGGGGATGTGATCTTAATTGTCTCGTCTTGTCTTTCAAATGTATTGACATGCCTATCTTGCGTGGCTGCTGTTGTCGTGCGCAGCATTGATTATATGTATTGGACCGGACGGCTTGCAAACAGGTTTTCTTTTTCAGATATCTTCGTGGCTGCCACATGTAGACACACAAAAGGTACGTGACTGGATGTGTGGCTTGCACAACTGCATGCGTCCGTCGGGCCATGAACCCACACTCCCATGTGCTTTCCTATCAGGACCTGTATCCAGGAGAAGTATGCTGGTCGCGACCCGAATCCTCTTTGTTCATGGTTGGGAAAGGGGTTGGATTGACCCAATTGCATCAAATATTGCAGTGCCATGACATAAAACGAAAATAAAAACAGCCCTGCATGGTCGATCGCTACCGAGATGAGCAAACCTGGTTTCCTCTGTCTTTTGTGTGTGTGTGTGTGTGTGTGTGTGTGCCGGTGCGCCGAACACGAAGTTACTACCGACAGGTAACGCGGTATCCTTTGGTGCGATTACCTTGGGGAGTTTGGAGAAGGTGGCGGTTTTACTTTGTTTCCCACCCCCTTCCCAGCCTACTGGGACCATTTGTAACAAGCTCCAAGAAGAACCAAAGGAGAGGGGTGTGTGTGTGTGTGTGTGTGTGTGTGTGTGTGCCAGCCATGCAAGCAAGGGCCAGCCAAGAGAGGTAGGTACTCGACAATGAATGCAGACAACAGATGCCCTTACCATATGCAGGTCGACATAATGATCCGTATGGCTTGCTACCCTGTGCCCCCCTGCCTCAAGACGTTGGAACGTTCTAGGCTTTCTGCTTTCTGTCTTTCTGCGTGGCGGCCATCACATCACCGCTGAGGCACATATACACCATCAAATCAAACCAAATTCGCAGGGCGCCGTTGTGTGTATGCCCTGGCCTGGCAAACCATCGAGTATGTAGGTTGTTGAGTAGTGCTGAGAAATAAATACCGTTGCAGCTAGCCATGTCGTTAATGCCACCCTCCGGTCGTCGTGCAGCCCACCCATGCGTTTCAACGGCCGTGCAGCACTCGCTCGGCCGTAGGCACCTCCGAATCTGCTGATAAGCCTCTCATTTGCCTTTCTGTATTCGGACCAGGAGGGAGTTTGTCCAGACAAGACGCTCGTCGTGTTTTACTGCAGGCATCTTTTAACCAGAACAGTGGTCTGATCGTCAGGCTGAGGGGGTCTGTGGGGAAGGGGGGGGGGGGTTAATAGTCGGGGTGACGGTGATCTGTTCCCGCGCCCCCTCCTTGCCCAGTGTGCTTGTTGGTGATCTCCATTTCCATGGACACACTCATACTGTTTTGTCATGTGAAAATGATGCTGAGTGGTCATGTCCTTCCGTCGTTCATTTCCTCGGAGCAAAGGCTACATCAGCCGGCAGCCTGAAGCTCGCGCAGTACATGCTCTTGGCCGGCGCCACATCCCGGACGAGATGCACCCCAACCATGCCCTCCTCCAAATCCCCCTCGCCCGCCTTTCCGCCCGGCGTGTCCTTCACTCCATCCCAGACCACCGTGCTCCCTAGCTCCCTCGACACCCTCTCTGCGACATCGATGCGCGGCACGTCCTCGTCGCTCTTGAGCGCGAAGCAGTGGACATGAACCACCGGCAGCTTCGTGGCCGTGTGTGGTGCGAACAGGGACTCGTGACCTGCATAGAGGCCTCGGAAGTGGGGAAGGAATTCCGTTGCAGACGCAGGCAGGTTCATCACGAAGTGGGACACGGTGGCAGGTAGGGGGATAACGGTGGGCGGGGGCCGCTGCGCATCTGGATTGCTGCGGGAGACCTTTTGTTTTGAGGGGATTGTGACCGTTTCACCGGCACTGTTGGCGGCTAGAACGCTGTCGACGGCTTCATGGATGAAAACACGGCCGTCTTTGTTGAAGGGCCGGACAAAAGGGTGGACCTATGGTCAAAAAGGGGTCAGCTCTCTGGGGACCTAGTGTCTGTTCTATGTGACGTGTATGAAATGATCAGTATGCTCACTTTATTCCGGGCGATAGCATCCTGTAGGAATCTGTAGCTCTCGGGGTTGTAATCATTCGCCCAGACGAACACGCCGCGCTTCCCAGCCGGCACCGCAAAGGGTCCAATCCCCGCCATCACATCACAGACCACCTCACCAGGCTTAAACATCCTGATCAGCCTCGTGTGCTCCTTCTCGAGCTTGCTGTTCCAGTAGACCTTGGCGTAGTCAAACTGAAACACGCATCCGTTCTCGTTCACCTCGACGTTGAGGTCGTCGGGCCCCGCCAGGACCTCATAGGCAAACGTCCTGAACTCGGACTCATCGCCCACATTATCCACCTTGTTGATGACCGTGGTGATGTGCTGGTTCTTGTCGACCAGGACCTGCCCGATCAACTGCTTGTAGGGGATATGCTGGCTCCGCAGGTTGAGATGCGCCACGTGGCCCGCCGTGTTGAAGCCCGCAGGGATGTCGTCGTGGAGCTCCGGCGGCAGCTGCGCCGTCATCACGTCCCGGTACGTCCAGTAGTCATAGTCCAGCTGCAGCTCATACGGCACGATACCGACCTCTTCCTGCCTTACAAGCTCCGACACCACGGGCCCCCACGTCTCGGGTTTCGCTGGGGAGATGGTCGGGTTGAGTAGCAGAGCTTTGCGGCCCTTGGCGGCAAGGAGAGCGTCTGGGTCCGGGACGACGGTGGAGATGCGTTCTAGAGAGAGCATGGCTGCGTTCTTGGTCAGGGCCTGGCGGATGCGTGTGATGTTCTTGTTGTCGCGCACTGCCGCAGCGGCCAGGCTCAGTGTCTTGGTGAAGGCGGCCTTGTTGAGCACGGCGCTGGGCTGGAGCACAGGGGGTCGTAGAAGATTCATGATATCTTCTTGCTGAGAGTTCAAAGCCATAGGGTGAGATTCGGGAGCTGACATGTTTATGTGAGTGGAGATGGTGGTTCTGTGATGAGATTCATGATGTTGGGGGTGCTTTTGCTGGTGTGAGTTTTGGTGGGGAATTTTTGAACAATTTGGCGAGGCTGTCAACACTGGGGTTGCATCCAATAAACGATTATTACAGGTGGTTGCTTGGGTGGGTCCGTTAGTGGGCCTATCCGCAAGGCTGACACTAATAACAACCAACTGGTGATGTCACGACTGTATTCATCCAAAGACAACATAACATGTTCTCGAGTACATGAGATTCTCATATGATATTGTGAATTACTACTTCTTTACTGGTTCGTAGAACAATTGGTTCTCATAGAAACATGTCAAAGAAGCGGACACTCGACGCGTTCTTCGCACCCCCGTCTAAGCAGCGCAAGGTTGATGAGATTCAGAAAGATGAGATTCCTGTACGATCTTTATGTACCAAGCCAAACTCAATAATCAACTCAGTCCTGACACATATAACCCTCATTGAATCAGACTCTAAAGTCGACACACGCCACATACCCTTTCCCAATCCCAGACTTCCCGGCACACATCTCCAAGGACCTTTCGTCCCTCCCAGCAGTGGAAGGCCGCGTGATCAACGACCAACCAGATCTGGACCTCCTCTACTTCGAGCCCTACGTGCCTACCTACCTCGCTAAAGATGTCTTCAGCTTCCTCCGGTCTCAGTTACCCTTCTACCGTGTAAAGTATACCATCAAGCGCGGCAGCACGGAGACCAATATCAACACCCCACGGTACACCACCGTCTTCGGCCTAGATGAGACTTCGCGCTTCTCGGAAGAAGGCGGCGGCAAGACAGCCATTGTTGACGCCGAGACGGGACGCAAGGTCGCTGCGAGCGCGTATGCCAGATACGCGCCACGCCCCATCCCAAAGTGTCTGGATGACTTGCGGAGGTCGGCCGAGGCGGCAACGGGGGGCTGCAAGTTCAACTTTTGCTTGGTCAACTACTACTCGTCTGGGGCAGACAGTATATCGTATCATAGCGATGATGAGAGGTTCCTGGGTCCGGAGCCGGCCATCGCCTCGTTCTCGTTTGGGGCGAGGCGGGATTTTCTGATGAAGCACAAGCCCGCTGTCGTGGGTGGGCAACAGCAGCAGGAGGTGGAATTGCCTGAGGCGAAGCCGCTGAAGCTGCCTCTGGGGAGTGGAGATATGGTCCTCATGAGAGGGAAGACCCAGTCGTGCTGGCTCCATGCAATTCCCAAGAGGTCTGGCAAGAATGACCCCGGTGGGAGGATCAATATCACTTTTCGACGGGCCATGGTAAAGGGTGGAACTGACAACTATTATAATTATAATCTTGGCACAGGCCCAGTGTATAAGTGGAACGAGAACGCTCGTGAGATGCAAATCTGGAAGTCTTGATTTTGATTTGGGGGGGGGGGGGTATAGAAACTCGAAGGACAGGGGAAAAGAAAAAGAAAAATCTAATGCTATCAATGACATCTCTCTTGCATTTGTCCTTCTTTTTCTTCTTTTCTTTCTGTTTTATTTCTTTCTTTGTCATGCCTTGAATCTGTACAGAAGCTCCAACATGTTGGAAGGCCTCAACTATCGGCCCCATCGAAACTGCGCATTGGCGTATTTGCAAAGGCCGCGGTAGAACACCTGGTAGCCAACGCCCTCGTTGTCTGGGACGTGAAATACCTCGGTGATGTGTAGGTGCCAGGGCGGGTATCCCTGGAACTCAACATAGGGACCGAATATGATCAGCAGGTCCGACTCCTCCATCACGATATCCTTCAGCTCCCCGTCAAGGAGAGCCGAGTCGATATGCGCAGGGTCCACCTTGTTCCTCTGTGCCATCTCTGCCAGTGTCTTGGTCAAATCTACTAGGGAGTCCCGTCCGTCCTCGTGTGATACCAGCCTGACCAGCAGGTGACCTGGCCCATCCCCTCCGTAACCAGCCGTCGGTGCTGGTGACTCGATTGACTCGACGTGAGGAGCGCATAGCGCCAGGGTCGGATGTTGCTTGCCGAAATACGATTTGAGGTTCTGCGAGATTGCTCGGTGTATCTCGGGAAGGTATTGCTTCAAAAGTCCTGGACATTCTGTGTCAGAAGCCTCCCTCGCCAGGAGTTTGGGGGGGGAGGGGGATTATGCACCTGTCTTCTCGTAGACGTTCAGCACGGGTATGCCGGCGCAAGCGCACCAGGCCGAGATCTCTGCCACCTCGTTCACCAGCCTCTCAAGCTCGGCACCTCCCTTGCCGTCATCTTCCAGCTTTAATATGACGCTCAGGATCTTGGGTAGTCTTTCCAAACCCTTGACGTCCTTTTGTATCATGGCGGGATCGCGGTGGTGATAGTAGAAGATGGAGAATATGCGGTCACGGACAACATGGTAGGCTTGTCGGGTTCGGATGTATATGGAGAAGATCGTATGGACAATGGTAAAGACCAGGAGGTGTATCTGCGACTTGAGGAATTTTCGAAGGCCAAAGGTGGGTCGCCGGCCTCGAGAACGCTCGTTCTGTTCTTGAGTGGCCTTGGTGGGTGGCAGGTATGGCTTTTGTCTGGTCAGCTTGCTTATCCTATGAGCAGTAGGGCGGGCGCGCAGGCCTGCAGCTTACCTCCAAGAGCTTTATTCTCTCCTGTGGGGTAAGAAGCTTCCCGCCAGCCTTCTCGTCGCGCCTGTACAGTTCTTCTACTTGGTGTCGTGAAGGCATGATAACGAAGCTGCCTTCTAAGTTGACCCTAGGATTTGTCGATTAGAAAAGCCTGGTCTCCTCGTAGCTACAAGGCAGAGAAGGAAAGACAAGGTAGAGGGGAAAGAAGGAGAGCAGAATGACATGCCAGAAATACATACACAATGCTGTCACTAAGTGTTAGGAAGTCTTGGAAGGTGGCATGGTGGTGTGGCAGTGATGGTGGCGAGTTTAATTTGTTGTTGTCCTGAATCGGGAAATATTTCGCATTGCCGCCGCCTGCAGTGCCACATGCATGTTCGGACTGGTCTCTTGGGCCTGCCGCAGCTGCCGCAAGGGAGCTGTCATCACTGGGGTCTGGGCTCTAGTTTGGGGGCCCCTGCAACAGCCTGAACGGAATCCCAAGGTTCCTTGCCCAGGATCGCCAAACATCCCCTGGAACATCGCTTTAACTACATCTAATCCAAGCACAAATAACAAGCTACAACAACACATCACAAAAGCTGCAGGACCATTCATCTGGTTCAGCGCAGCCATATACATGTTCTAATTGAAGCCTTACCTCAAGTATTGTGCCCTTGGGGCCAGCAGCTACGACTATGTCGATGTCGAGCAGGCAGGACAGGGCAGAGTCCATGATAGGGTCAAGGGCTTTGTTCCCCCAGGGACCAAGTTTCTCGGAGGAGGACTTCTCGACTAAAGACTTCATCACAAGGGACTTTGTAGATGAGTTGGCAGAAAGCGCTATTCCGGTCAATCGTCGGTCTGTGCCCGCTGTCCAAGCAGCGTTCGACCCGAAACCCTTGATCAGGACTTTTGAGAGTATGTTTTGCGGCGTGTCATACAGATGTCTAAGGGGACTTGTTGCTGATCATGACCTCGTCCATTAGATGCGTTGGCACAGTTGGGATCCCTTTCCGAGAAGCTAGAAGAGGAAGAGTCGGGTCTACAGGCCGAGGTGCGACGAGCCGAGTCTCAACACGATCGAACTCTCGATGTCCTCGGCCGCAAGCTCGACGAGTCGATGAAACAATTTGAAGCCCTCGACCTCGCCCTGAACAATCCGAACGGCGTCAACGGCTATGACAGGAACGGGCGGAGTGATGCGGGCGGTAATATCGCGGTACAGATTGGCGAGAACCTCGAGGAGCTAGACAGGAAGCGCAGGAGGGCGCTGGACGCCAACTTCCTAATACGGTGTTGGAACGAGGTCTACGAGAACGGCCAGCTGACATCTCTGGAGGAGATGAAGAGACAGGGCGGTGCGGAGAACAAGGTCCGATGCGCCACCATCGCGCGGCAGCTGATGCGCATCAGCCAGAGACTGGATCCTACATCCTGGGGGCAAGTGAACGGGTACCGGCGCAACGGCGTGACAAATGGCATCACGGGGATCAGCAGAAAACATAATACTCGAGAGGTCCTGGAGAAGTACTGCGAGGTCCTAGAGCAGGACCTGCTTGAGCAGTTCAACAGGAGCTACCGGGCCCAGAACTTCCCAGACATGATGCAGTGCGCGAAGGTCCTGTACGATTTCAACGGCGGTTCTAGCGTCATAGCCACGTTTGTGAACCAGCACGACTTTTTTATCAACAGGAACCAGCTCCTCGCGGACGAGGTTACGGGCGATGATGAGAGCTGGGAACAGCTTGCCGATCCGGACAAGGAGCCACCAGGAGTCGAGCAGAGTCTACAGTCCCTGGTGGATGAGGTCAGGGTGATCATGCAAGAGGAATCCTTCATTATCAAGCAGGCCTTCCCATTCGCAGAAACAGTCTTGATCAAATTCATACAGAGAGTTTTTCAACAGTCTATACAACAGCGGCTCGAGAGAACCCTCGAGAAGGCAGATTCCGTCTCGTCTCTGGCATTCCTGCGGACCCTGCACGCGGCGAGAACATACATCGGCCAGCTCATCGAAGACCTCAAGACGCACGGACTGACCGAGCACCCGGAACCTTGCTCGGCGCAAATATCCCAGACGCTGGACCAGCAGATAGACGAGCTGTTTGTTCCATACCTGGTAGGAAATTCATACATCGACAGGGAGCGCAAGAACCTGGAAGAATTGTACAGCTCGTTGCTGTTCAAGTACACAATCTTCCATTCGAGGCGCAAGAAGGGGCCCACAGGGTTCATGGCAGCCATCGCTCAACAGGGCTCCCAGCTTCTGACATCAGCTAAGGAGGCCTACCTGGAGCGTCTCGACTCCTCTGATCTTACACCAACGCAGAAGGCCATGATGCTGCGAGTTGCTGGGGTTAAGGACAATAGTGGCGACAAGAACGAAATCGAGGTCTCCGAGGAGGACGGCGTGCTGAGTGTCCAGGTGGCACAGAGGATGATGAAATGGCTTGCGGAGAGTGTTCGGAGGACTTTGGAACTCGGTTCTCCATCAGACACTGCCAAGGATGTCAACAGTCTGCTCAACCTTCTCCTGACCAGCATGGGCCAGGTCTACGTCGAGACGTCGCTGGACGCCGCTCTCGATGCAGCGACATCGCAGGAAAACACCAAAGTCGAGCCTGACCTCGCGTACCTACCTTCCATTCGGCCAGCGACTACAATTGCCAACATCATGTCACGGTTCATACACACCGTCATGATCAGGCTGGCAGAAGGTAACGCGACGGTGCGTAGGAGCATGGAGGCCCAGGCAAAGATGGGCATGGAGTCGATAGAGAGAAAGACGAACAATATTGTCAAGAGTTCCATCGACGTTGTGGTTAACTGGGTATCGAGGGCTTTGGCCACCCAAAAGAAGACGGACTTTAGGATGAAGGACAACGAGCTCGAGGCTATGGCCGAGCTTCTGCAGACACCAACATGCCAGACGATCTGCAGCTTCCTCAAGCGTGTCTTGACCTTGGCCAAGCAGGCGATAGACGGCCACAACCTCGAGCTGTTCAGCAGCGAGCTCGCGCTCTCCCTGCACCGCCTTCTATTTGAGCACTTCAAGAAATTCTTTGTCAACGCGACAGGCGGCCTGATGGTGACTAAGGACATCAACAGGTACGTCTCCACGCTAAAAGAGTGGCCGCTCAGCAACGATGTCAAGAGCTTCCTCGACCTTCTTCCTGAGATCGGCTACCTGTTCATGATCGGGGCCGAGGCTCTGCGAGAAAAGTCGCGCACCCTGACGACAGGACCCGGGGCGGCGGGTGGAAAGAAGTTAACCAAGGCAGACTTCAAGGCATTTGTGGCGAAGCGGGAAGACGCCGGGAGTGTGGGTGTGCAGAGTGTGCTTAATGGACTATAGTTGAGATGGCACAGATGCTATGCTGTTGTTGATGATGGCTCAGACTGTTTCAAAGTCAGACGTGCATGATCGGGGGGCTGTAGCGGTTCGATTGAGAAATGATACCATGATCTGAAAACTGTATGACCAAGTTCTACTCGTCCGCAATCAGAGGTGCCTTCTGCCACAGCAGAGCTGAGATTGTGACGGCGACGGTCGCACCATGTATGTCACTTGCCTAATACAGCTGTAAGCGTTCCCTCACCAAGAACCAACTGCATGCAAACCGACCAACCAGCGACGACCATTTTCTACCATTTACTATGGCCAGCCTTTCTTATACGGGCGGCTGGACTTTGCTCAAACCGGAATAGGAGCACAGCCCGTCGCCAATCTCTCCCAAAACTCATCCCAATTGCTGCGGACAACAAGGGCCGATTCAATTCCCCCAGTCCGATATTGATGTCAGTACGACGTTGTTGTCATTGTATGTCGCAAAGTCATGCAGCCTGTCCTGCTTGCGCATCCAAAGAAGGTTAAAGAGAAGAGGCGCAGTTGCAAAAAGACACGCCGTTAAGCGCGGCTGCAACGTAGTGGTTGTCAGCTGAACCTTGTATGCTGCGCATTCTTGGGCCCAGATGATGGGACCAACAGTATCATTCTAACTCCCCCGGACCTGCAGATCAGGCCTTGTCTTGTGTGTGTGTCGAGGACCAAATTCGTGAATACAAGCATGGGGGGTTTTCGAGGATGAGAAGAGAGAAAGGCTTTGGGGGGGAGGGGGGGGGGATTGCAAGATTGATACTGTATCATTATTTATCTTTTCCTCTATTCGAGTTTCTTGTTTCTGGTCCTTTGTATTGTCTTTTCTATGTCCGCGCTATTTCGACCTGTCGCACAGCATATGTCTGTAAGAATTCCCTCGCCTACGACTGTGATCAGTCCCAATGATGTAGACAATCTATTCGTCGTCAATATTACAGCGCAGCTCGAGCGTTGGTCTCCTCAGCGAGACCAAGACCTACACACCAGCCCCCGGCCCCATACATAGCCAACCTGACTTAACTGCAGGAGGGAGGCGGCGACGACAAGGCCAACTGACACACCCATGTCGAACAACCCAATCGCCTCTCTCGGCCTTTCCTGCCCCAGTGGCGGCTCATTCTACATATGCCACGGCAACACGACGCAATTCCTGGTCTGCTGCACGAGCGATCCCTGCGCCGGCGGGAAGGGCGAGTGTCCGCAGTCCGACCTGCGGTACGCCAGTTTCGGCAAAGTGGACTACTCGGAAATCGGGAGCCAGGCGTGCTTCAATGCCTCCGCTGCGCAATGGTACACGTGTGCCTGTACGACGAAGCCATCCCTGGGGTGCTACTCAAGCGACGCGTGCGGGACAGACGCCGGGTGTGCCAAGGAGCACCTGGCGGCTGCACGGCTGTCGGATAGCAAGAGTGCTGCGGCGGTGTTCTTGACGACCACAGCGTCTGCCAGCAGCGTGGGGTCAACGGCGACGGACGCGAATGGTCCTCAGGACTATGCTTCTTCTGGGTTGTCGGCTGGTGCGAAGGCAGGCCTCGACGTAGGATGCGCCATCGCCGCTATTGGTCTGGCCGCGGTGGTCTTCTTCTTCGCAAAGCGGACCCTGAGGGAGAGGCGAGGGGTCGTGGTCAGAGGAGCCTCGCCGCCGATGCCGAGTGCAATGATGAACGGCAATCCAACGGACCCGTACCAATATTATGGTAGGAATGCCTTATCCCAACAAGCTGTCAAGGCAGACAGACAGACGCTGAACATTCTGCCAGATCCCAACCATATCCTCATCACCCCGCCACCGTTGTCGCCTCCGGCCAACGTGCCGTATTACAACACAGTTGCCAGCAGCAGATCGCTGGGATCGATGTACGACCCCTCATACTCTGCACAGTCGTCCTCTCTCTCCTTCAATGCCTTCACTCGACAGGCGTCCATGCTATTGATGAACGATAACATCTTGGGGATCATGCCCTCGCCGTCGCTCGATGGCAACCCCGAGCAGACACACCAGCAGCAGCGCTGGACCAACCCTCAGCAGCCCCTGCGCTGGGATCAGTATGCACGCTTGTCGCAGTACGCGAGTCCTCCGCCGCAGTCGTCGCCGCCGCTCGGGGTGATAGCAGAGCTCGATGCGACGGTGGTTCCTCCTCCAAGGCCAGCTTCTGAGGATCCTTCGGCGCTGGCAAGATATCCATCTTCCATGTATGGGCTGTATAGGCCTTCGGGGCAGGGATTCCGGGATATCACTTTCTGAAGTTATATGCAGTTACATACCCTTTGATTGTCGCAGTGAGAGTTTCTGACTGTTGTTTGGGGAAGATGAGAATAATTATGTGAGTGTGTAAGGTTGCAGTGGAAGGAACTGGCTTGGACAGAGCCTGAGCAAGATTCAGGGCCTGTGCCTGACTCGAAGCAATGACTGGCTTTGAGGGATACCATACAGTGGAAGGCAGTAATATTATCTATTATTTTTTAAAATATTTATTCTCATATTAAGATGATCATAAGTGTGTTGTCAGCATGGCTGCAGTACAGATAGTTTGAAGCTGTGTATAATGATGATGGTAAATGAGAAATAGTAACCCTAGCGAGTCAAGACATCATCGCGTCTAGAACAAATGCGGTGGAATCATGCTTCTGAACACTTGGGGTATGACATTGTGCAGAACATTGAAACCACACGTGGACTCAGGTTTCAACTGCTGTATGACATATCTGACTACAACGAGCATGAAAAAGAAGACAGATGGCCTCTTCAGGCGGATGGCTTGAGTGGCACCTGTATAGTAAGCAGTGGTTTTGGAGGACCGAGGTAGTTACATTGTAATTTATAAATCACTGGATACAGGCCCAGGTCCTTGAGTGAGGCTCTTCTGGATCTTTCTTTGGGGCAGTCGTATTCCTAATCTGACCCCCATCATGACGTCGGTAGGCGTACCGATTGGCTAGTATATTCTGAACTGTAACCTTATCGATCGGCGTTACCACAGTACAGCGAGAAGCAGCAGGGTGGAAGGTCATTACAGGGTGCTAAGGTGGAACTACAGGCAGTGACATCGCCGTAGTCGCTCAGGCTTTTTTTGCTTCTGGACACGTTGAGACAAGTCCTCGCTAGTATCGCCTCTACTCTGTGGACGGGTATTTTCTCTTTTTCCTTTTCCCTTTTACTAGATTTATTTTTCCTTTTGGTGCCTATCTGTCTGAGTGAGGTCTTGGAACTTAGCACCTCTCGAACTGTCCACTCCTCTGCTCCATCTGATCTGGTGAAGTTGGTTCTCTCATTCAACAAGGGCCACAGTGCTGAACCGCCCCTGGTCCATCCACCCGCAGCTGCGGTAGCGGTCCTTAGCGACCAGAACCCCTGGTTCCTGACAGGCTCAACACCCACTCCCCCAAAGCTGAGACTGCTTTAACTCTTCCCACTTCCACTCACTTCTTGAGAACAGCTCAAGAGTTCCCTACGACAAGATGGAGAACGCTTTTGCAAGATCGGCAGACCAGGTCCTGTCGACCTTAGGGGTGCAATCCTCCACTGGCTTGACAGATGCGCAAGTCAAGGACCAGAGAAAGAAGTACGGCAAGAATGGTAGGCGAACCCACCCCTCCTCTCCTCCGATGCGCCTGGTTTCCTTACTGACATAAAATCGTGAAGCAATCGCCGAAGAGCCTCCTACGCCCCTTTGGGAGCTCATCCTCGAGCAGTTCAAAGATCAGCTTGTCATCATCCTTCTCGGTTCCGCCGCCATCTCTTTCGTGCTCGCGCTCTTTGAGGACGAAGGTGGTTGGAGCGCATTCGTTGACCCCGTTGTTGTAAGTAGTTATGTCCCGCGGAACTATGCCCCTCCATTCTCACAGGCTCTGACGTTTCTATGCTATAGATCCTGACTATCCTGATCCTCAATGCCGTCGTCGGTGTCTCTCAAGAGAGCAGCGCCGAGAAGGCCATCGCCGCCCTCCAAGAGTACTCGGCCAACGAGGCCAACGTGGTACGGAACGATGGACATATCTCAAGAGTCAAGGCTGAAGATCTCGTGCCCGGTGACATCATCTCTGTGGCAGTCGGCGACCGGATTCCTGCGGACTGCAGGCTGATATCCATTGAGAGCAACAGCTTTGCTGTCGACCAGGCCATCCTGACGGGTGAGAGCGAGAGTGTTGGCAAGGATTCTGGCGCGGTCGTGACGGACGAGAAGGCCGTGAAGCAGGACCAGGTCAACATGCTCTTCTCTGGAACTACCGTCGTCACTGGAAAGGCTAAGGCTGTTGTGGTCCTGACCGGTTCCAACACGGCTATTGGCGACATCCACGAGAGCATCACTGCACAGATCTCCGAGCCCACGCCCCTCAAGCAGAAGCTGAACGACTTTGGTGACAGCCTCGCCAAGGTTATTACCGTCATCTGCATCCTCGTCTGGCTCATCAACATCCCCAACTTCAAGGATCCGAGCCATGGAAGCTGGGCCAAGGGCGCCATCTACTACCTCAAGATCGCCGTTTCCCTTGGTGTAGCCGCTATTCCTGAGGGCCTGGCGGTTGTCATCACCACCTGTCTCGCCCTGGGAACTCGGAAGATGGCTGCCAAAAACGCTGTCGTTCGCAGCTTGCCTTCTGTCGAGACCTTGGGAAGCTGCAGCGTCATCTGCTCCGACAAGACCGGCACTCTCACGACCAACCAGATGAGTGTAAACAAGATCGTCTATTTGAACGAGGCCGGTACCGACCTTGAGGAGCTTGATGTAGCGGGGACTACTTTCGAGCCCAAGGGCGATATCACTTACAAGGGGCAAGTCGTTCAAGATCTTGCTCAGAAGTCGTCAACCATTCGCCAGATGACTGAAGTGGCCGCCCTCTGCAATGACGCCTTGTTGGCTTATGACTTCCGGAATGGCTTTGCGAACGTCGGCGAACCCACAGAAGGTGCCCTACGAACCCTGACCGAGAAGGTTGGCCCGTGTGCGCCCAGCACCTGTGCACCAGAGGACCGTGTTCACTACGCCAGCGCCTGGTACGAGAAGCAGTACGATCGTCTGGCCACGTTCGAATTCTCCCGCGACCGGAAGAGCATGTCTGTCTTGGTCCAGAACGGCGGCAAGCAGAAGCTCCTCGTCAAGGGTGCCCCGGAGTCTATCGTCGAGCGCTGTACCAGTGTGGTTCTCGGAGCCGACGGCAAGAAGGTCCAGATGAATGGAAAGCTCTCAGATCTCATCATGCGCGAGGTCACCGACTACGGAAACCGGGGTCTGCGTGTCATCGCGCTGGCAAGTCTCGATGACGTTTCAGGCAACAAGCTCCTGCAGTCCGCGAAGTCGACGGCTGACTACGCCAGCCTTGAGCAGAACCTAACTCTTCTCGGCTTGGTCGGCATGCTGGATCCTCCTCGTTCTGAAGTCCCGGTTTCCATTGCCAAGTGCAAAGAGGCTGGCATTCGCGTCATCGTTATCACTGGAGACAATCGCAACACTGCTGAGAGTATCTGCCGTCAAATTGGTGTTTTTGGGCCACACGAGGACCTTCGAGGCAAGAGCTTCACGGGTCGCGAATTTGACAACTTAAGCCCGCTGGAGCAGATCGAGGCAGCCAAAAAGGCGTCCCTGTTCTCCCGTGTCGAGCCGAGCCACAAGTCTAAGCTGGTAGATCTTCTCCAGAGTCTAGGCGAGGTTGTTGCCATGACCGGCGACGGTGTCAATGACGCTCCTGCTCTGAAGAAGGCTGATATTGGTGTCGCCATGGGTTCTGGTACCGACGTCTCTAAGCTGGCAGCTGACATGGTGCTGGCTGACAACAACTTCGCCACCATCGAGGCCGCTATCGAGGAGGGTCGCTCTATCTACAACAACACCCAACAGTTCATCCGGTACCTTATCTCGTCCAACATTGGCGAGGTCGTCTCTATCTTCTTGACCGCTGCCCTTGGTATGCCTGAGGCTCTGATTCCAGTCCAACTTCTCTGGGTCAACCTCGTCACGGATGGTCTTCCTGCCACAGCTCTGTCTTTCAATCCTCCTGATCACGATGTCATGCGCCGTCAACCCCGGAAGCGTGACGAGGCTCTCATTGGAGGCTGGCTTTTCTTCCGTTATTTGGTCATCGGCACTTATGTTGGTCTCGCGACGGTCGCCGGCTATGCCTGGTGGTTCATGTTCTACTCCAACGGCCCACAAATCAGCTTCTGGGAGCTCCGTCACTTCCATCGCTGTTCCACAGAGTTCCCTGGCATAGGCTGTGAGATGTTCTCGAACGACATGGCCAAGTCCGCGTCCACTGTCTCGTTGTCGATTCTTGTGGTCATTGAGATGTTCAACGCCATGAATGCCCTCTCATCTAGCGAGTCTCTCCTGACCTTGCCGCTGTGGGACAACATGATGCTGGTGTATGCCATCACACTGTCGATGGCGCTGCACTTTGCCCTGCTGTACACACCTTTCCTGCAGACCCTGTTCTCAATTCTGCCGCTGAACTGGGCGGAATGGAAGGCGGTGCTTATTATCAGCGCGCCTGTGATGTAAGTCCTTTTCTTCACTCCCCTGCCGTGTTTCGAGATGTTGCTAATACACCGCTTTAGCCTGATCGATGAGGTATTGAAGTTCATAGAGAGGTCGTTTTTCATGCAGAAATGGACGGATTTCGATGTGAAGAGGACCAAGAAAGTGGAGTAAATGATGATCCGGTTGGAGGAAAAAGAAGAGCTATATTGCATCATACAGGCATAGAAGGCGGTTATGTACAGTCAGACTTGTACCATTAACTTTAGATCTCAGACAGACACCTGCTATGCGGTGCATCGTATGAATGCGCCGGTGAATAGAAAAAAACTCCAATCCATAGTTTGCGAGATCCAAAAGTGGAAAGCCATATAGATCGATGAACGGAGCGTGCTCCCGTCCTGTACCTGCAACGTCTACCTGCGCGCATTACAAAGTTCATCCGTCCTGTCACCCATATTGGATTTGAGAATATGGCTCACTTGATTCATATTAAGCCACCGATTTGTCATGATGTGTCTGGTGTCTATCGTACAATGCGGAAAACAAAGTCGTAGCTGCTCGACTGCACCCCTCCTCTCATGTCAAGGCAGCGTCTTCCTCCCCTACTGATTCGAATTCTCTCCCTACAATGCCACCCCTAAGCGAGCCACATTTTGGGCTTAGTCCTGACGACCCTTGAGCAGCCTCTTGGTTACCTTGTCCTTCTCGATGATGTAGACGTGCGCGCCCCATCCGGACAGGGCATCTCGGTCGACGGCGTTGAGGAGGGCTTGGGAGATGGTCTCGAAGAGCTCGTCGGGGCTCTTAAAGCACAGATACCACCCGTCAGCCAAGAAGAATGAGAACACTGGAAAGAAGGAAAAGGCCTTGATCTAATACAAGCTCGAGGGCGGGGCAGGGGACGTACCAGGTCTGGCTCCCACAGGTTCTCGCACATGCCAAACAGCTGCTCGGTAGCCGTGCCGCTCACGATGAAGTCCTTGGCGAAGTCGATGCAGCCGATGCTGTCGAATCCGCAGATAAAAGGCTTGCCGGTCTTGGGCTCGAGGCCGGCGACGACGGGGGAGACAAAGTAAGGGCCGAAGCGGCGCTCGTACAACGACGAGGAGACGAGGTTCGCAAACGTCGTGGGGCTGATGGCGCGCTCCTCGCGCAGGCGGTACATGTTCACCTTGTACCGGAAGAGGTCCGACACGGTGCTCACATCGGTGGCGAGGCCTGTCAGGCCTAGGTAAACGGTCGAGCCGTACGAGAAGATCTTGGGGAAGTTGTTGGATACGGTGAGGGCTTGGAGGCCGAGGCGGAGATCGCATGCTATAGCGACGCAGTCCTTGCCTACCATGGCCACGCAGGCGCCGCCGTCTATGGAAGAGAGATATTAGTTGGGGGATGAGACCGGGAAAGGGGGGGGGGGGGGCGGTGCGTTTCGCCGTGGTGGACGATGTTCGTACTTATTGAGAAGGGGGACGACTGTCTAGTGGTTAGCTGGTGTCTGTCGCTTGTGTGTTACGTCTTGGGGAAGAGAGGTAGAACTTACCATGCTAGCAGTCTGATCTGGGGATTGTCGAGGCTGTAGAGAAGATGGAGTGCAATGAAGAGTGTGGCAGACACTCCTGTGGTTTGTGAGGTCTCGTAGTAGGTGGCTTGTGGGGAGCTGGTGGAATTGGTGGTGTCGTCTGGGGGAGAGTTAGAGTTGCATGGACAAGCTAGCTGACGTTGGGTCGAGGCTCCAATACTCAAGAGCTTAGAGCGTGCAGGCAACCTGAGCTGGCGCGTTGCATGTCTAGGCCGTCTGGGGTTGGAGGGGGGGGGCCCACCCTGGAAGGTGGCTCAGCGCTGATTGGCTCGCTAAGCCAAAGCTTCTGGCGCGTTCCGTTAGAGCTTAGCAGCTCGGTGACCTCACTGCGAGGCTGCCTGATAAAGTGGCTTGCCACGAAACTCAACGGAGGTAATGCATCACCCTAGATCAGCTTACTTACCAACAAACATTAATCCTCATTCTTCTTTGCACCCCTTTCTGTCAAGTAACCACTTTGTGCACTCTCCTTACTCTTCAAGAATAAATTTGGACAGTTTGACTTTCTTGCATCCTCGTGTGTATTTAATCTATTGCTGCTCGGCTGCAGCGCATTCCAATAACCCCTCTGCCCCTCACTCTACTATTGGAGGGGCACTGCAATTAGCAACACACGACGCAGTACACGACATAGAACCAAGGACCTGGACATCAACCATAGCAAGATTGTATACAATTTTTGTGTGACAGCGGGACTTAGAGGACCAAACGACAACACTGCAACAAGTCGCCCACACCTGGAAGGCTTCCAAGATGTCCTCTACCTCGGTGCAGGTCTGGGCGCAGGACCTCAGAAAGGCTGTAGTGAAGGTGACTCCAGGCACATCGATGTTCAGTGTCCTGGAGGAGGCATGCCAAAAGCTCAAGCTGCCTGCTGAGAAGTACACACTGAAGTGAGTGGTTGGGCCATCTCTGGCAGCCTGTATGGAGGAGCCAAGCTGACACCGCTGCCGTGTGAAGACACCAGAAGAAGCAATTCCAACTGAACGATGCGTTTCGAGTCACTGGCCTGCCACCTGGTGCCAGGCTAGAACTCGTTGCCAAGTCCAAGACCCCCACTGTTGTCAACATCGCCTTAACACTGCCTGAGTCCATGGCCCAGACCCTGTCCACCAGACGCCTCACGAGAAAGTTTCGAAATGACACGACACTGTGGAAGATGCTACGGCAGTTCGAGGCTGACGGTGCAGCTGAAAACAAGAGACTGAGCTTTACGGACCGTGCTTCTCCACAGACAAGTAATGGAGTGCAGGCAGGTAGTGGCCAGCTGTACTACGAGATGCCCGTCTTGCGGATCATGAACCGCGAGGTCTCGACGCTGGTAGACTTCCAGAAGACGCTGTCGCAGCTGGGCCTAGACTCTGGGAGCCACGGAATACAGCTTTCGTTCAAGCCCACCCAACAGACCCTCAGTGAGGCTATGCAGGAGATATCTCAGTTTTTTAAGGATGAAGAGGCTGTCGAGGTCAAGGAGAAGGAAGCCGCGCCAAAGCTGGAATCGCCAGCCGCGCCGGTGGCCGAGAACTCTGCGGCACCAAGTGTATCGGAGCCATCTGGTGCAGTGGTCAACACAGTGACAGAGGAGGCTCCGAATGATGCGGCTCAAGAGACCACGAAGGAGATATCGTCAGCAGCAAACATTGCAGATGGAACAGGAGATGCTATGGACGTCGACGAGCCTGCGGCACCGCCTCACGATCCCCTTAAGCCCACCAACATTTTCTCTGCTCCTACCAACGCGACCCCTGCCGCGGCGTCCGTCGACCTTCCCGATTCGTACTACACGCCCACAGTCGCGCACGCTCAGATGCATCAGCAGAAGTTGCAGGAGAACGCAGTGAACAGGCGCCTGAAGTCCGACGCAGAAATCGAGGCTGAAACCCGTGCCGAGGAGGCAAAGATCGCAGCGGTTAAGAAGATCACAGTGAAAGCACGCTTTCCGGATGGGACCGCTGCGCAGTGGGAGTTTGGACCCGACGATACCGGTGCGACGCTGTACAAGGCCGTACGTAGCGTCATGGCCGATGACTCGGCGCCCTTCAAGATCGTGCTGCCTGGTCCGCCGACTGCAGAGAGCCATATCAAGGACGATGCAGGTGCCAAGCACAAGCTGATCAAGGGTTACAAGCTGTCCGGCCGCGTTCTTGTCAACTTCGTCTGGGAGGATAGCGTGTCCCAGCATGTCAAGAAGGCAGACTTTCTGAAGCCCGAGTACGCCAATGTTGCTCGCAAGGTCGAGGTTCCTGATATCCCCGTGGTGGAGGACGAGCCCGAGACGAGTGCAAGGCATCAGCAGGCGGCACCTCAGCCTTCGAGCTCTGCTGACAGCGGTGGGTCTGCAAAGAAGATGCCAAAGTGGCTCAAGGGCTTGGGAGGGAAGAAGTAGACTCAGGAAGTGTGTCCAAATGCGATGCTAATGAGCAGAGGCAAGCGGCCTGGCCTTCTATCAGCCTTGCAAGAAGAATCGCCGCAATGATTTGGGAAGAAGGCTGCCCTGTGATTTGTTATCCAGCCCAACTCCTACTCCTACATGCTTTCCGGAGGATGTGGCTAGGAAGACCCTCGCCATAAGTTTCTTCTTCCAGAGGAGCAGATGATTATCTGTACATGCCATTCAGGGAAAGATGGTTGTCTTCGGAGCTATAAGAGCACATTTTGAATTTCGCGGCATTGGTACAGCACCAAGCTAGGCGTTGGGGCGGCATAAGGAGCGGGTAGCATGCACTCTGTACCAAGATACGGCTCTCTTTACAAAATATCACAGTGTAAGAATATAGCATCAATGACTTCAAACATTACCACGACCGTTCTCAATTGAGGCTTCATGAAGATCTCTCGAACTTAAGAGGTAAGCTGGACGCTCTGATCCCCTGTCAGGGCTGCTAGGCGCAGGTTACATTCAATAAGCTTATATTGCTGCAGTCCAACTTGGACTGCGGATCCATTGATCCATTCATCTAAACCCCCTGGAAAGCCAACTTCTGTATCATTCGATCGGATTCAGGCTGAAGATTACCCAACACGAAGAAAGTGTCATCAAAGATCGTGGCCGACTCTGGAGAGGGAGAACGAGGCATGCCCGGCAAACGTAGGTGGCTGTGCAAGAGCCCCTCGAATCTTTCCCAAAGTTTGACGACGTTGTCCAACGCCTGGACGCAGCTTTGGCCGTTGGTACCCCTCTGGCCCGAAGTTCGGGACAAACGCGTGAACACGATCTCGTGAGATGTCGCAAAGAGCTGCCGGTTGGAGCCCCGCTGACATTGTACACGCCCATCCATGTCATGAAGGGGTCGCAGAAATGGGTGGTCGAGCTCCCGCCGCGGCGCGGGTTGAGCATCTCAGACCCTATCCATGTCCCGTGTCACACCGGGGCCTTTTGGTGCAAATCAACCCTTTCCAAAAGGTGGTGTCACAATTTAGTTTTTCAACACAAAAGCTGTGCGTCGGCCTGGAATGTCAAAGGGGCTATCTGAGTCTAGTTCTAGTGTCTTTTTGCAAGATGGATCGTCATGATCAACATGACGTGCAACGGGCGGGTTCAAACCAAGTGTTGGCAAAGAACTTTGAGGGACATTCAGATCGACAAACGATGGCGTAACTTCAGCAGGGTTGGTTGGTGGTCGCAGAGGACCCATGGGCGAAAAGAAGGCAGAGAGAGGGCGAGAGGTCGCAATTGCGGGCCCACGCGGGCCGTGTCCTCGTCTTGTCGCCGTGTCTTGGCATACGAAACCTCTGAAATAGGAGTCGAACCAAGGAAAAGAATGGTTCTGCTACTGTGATCGCGTTCTCAAGTGGAACGGGCACATTCTCTTGTACTATGTGGCACCCAGTCGAGCGACTGGTTGAGCCGCAACAGGGGGGTGGCAGGGTCAAGTGCATCTTTTTCTATGCTTTTTTTGGTTCTTCTCCTGTCCCTGCAAGCCAAGCCTGCATAGGGGATGGACGCCTGGTGCCTGTCATCTCGTTCTGTACTATGTACGTACCAAGGGTCGTGGGCCGCCCCGCCGGACTGAGGAACTTGAAACGAAACGTTCCGACCGTTGAGAGCCAATCAATGAGCATGCATAAACCTGAGCATACCCCAAATGGGCAGTCCGGAAGAGGCGTTGCACACCTCCCTGAGGACAAGCAGCCTACCACAACATGTCGCACCCGCCAAGGTAGTGCGTGCAGAGGCGTGCGAGGTTGGGACCAGTTTCTCTCCCTTCTCCCAAGCATACTGCCTGAAGGCACCGAAGCAGACGAGTCGCCTTTGCTGGTCGCCGACAAGCTCGTCAACGCTAGTATTCCACCGTCAGCGCGATGGAGCCGTTGTGTGTTCAGCCCTCTCTCTCTCATCTCCATCTAGCGTACAAACCCATCTTCCTGGAGTTGCACCTCTTGTTGAGAGAGGAGTCTACCGGTAAAGCCGTGTTACGCTGGGCTCAAAGACACGATCCAGCGCTAAATATGCATAACTGAGTCCACCCTAGGATGGATGATCTGCATTGCTTGGGGCGGAACTTGACCTGCAAGGTACAGATCAAAATCCAAGTCGGGAGGGAGACCCTAACTCGAGCCACACACAGATGGTGTCAGGGGTAGTGACCGGCAGTTAGCATCGAGAGGAGATATAACCAATGCTGGTCACCCTTTCCCCTTCTTTTCCTTTTCCTCGTTTATCATCCATACCTTTTACTCTCCTACTTCAAGTCACCTCGTTGGCACCTCGACTTTTTTTTCCTCCTAAACGACTCCCACCTTTTCTCTTCAAAGCCAGTCAGTCATACCCAACAATATGAAGAAGGCCTTCTCCATCCTGGCCTCTGTCGTCTCCTTGGCAGCGGCCACCCCACGCCCTGCTGTGCACGACTATGTTATCCGCCAGCCCAGGGCAGCAGCCAGCACAGACTGTATTCCTGAGAACTTCACCGTCTCAAATTTCTTCGCGGCAGGCTCGAACTCCACAAGCCTTGATGAGGCCTACTTCAGCTACTTGGACCCTCATACCGGCCTCACGACAACCTGCGAGCTGAACTCGACCTCGGTGGACCTCAGCGCGGAGGGCAGCGCATATGCAAACTACGCATGTGATGATTCCTTGCTCAAATTTCAATGGGGTTACGACGAGGATGCGGGCGGGTTTCTGCTGGGTGTGGCAGAGACGATCTGCAAGTGAGTGGTTGCTGTTGTATTATACTTCTCGTATTCCATTTCTCTAACCTGCTGTACAGTGGCACATACTCCACCTCGGACTCGTGGATACCAGACCTCATATGTCAGAACTGCACCAGTGGCCTGGGCGTGGAGTGCAAGTTGCCAGGGAACGACTCGTACACAGCGGATTTCTCAGGCATCCCTCAGCCGGTTCCAGCTTAAGGGCTTGCTTTCCCCAAAAAGAGACTTGATGCACGACATGAAGGACGATAATTAGTAGTCTTTGTGGCAGTTCCCATTGGACGGGGGGCATGCTCATTGACTGGTCGAAATGCTACATGATAATATACCCAGTGTAGTTTTATATCCGTACAGCAATAAAGGCTGGATTTAATACTGATGACTGCTTCGAGCTCATCCTTTAGCTTGAATTTTGTTGATCGTGTCGCAACATCAGATGAACGTTGGTGCTTTTCTGTAGTGAGCAGTTCGTCTGACAGTTCGTAGCCAGACGGCCAATCCCAACGACCTTTGTAAGCCGTGAGGTCCAGCATGTTTTTGTCAGACAAGGCCTTAGAACGAACCTCATGTGTTCATCTGTTGGCGGCTGGTGGCGTTGACCCTGGTCCCCAAGATCTGAGTGATCGATCCTTTAGCCATTGTTTTGACCTGGAGGGGAGTCTGGGGTGTTTGGTGCACTTTTATTTCCCCGCCAAAAACGCCCCCCTGGCCGGCTCCAAAACGACGTCATGTGGCTCATTGTTGCCTTTCCCCAGTGACCACCACAATGCCTTCGTCGGTGCATTGATTAACCCAAAGTGGTCTTGGCTCGACCAAATGACCAGCATACTTTTACCATCTCCATTCATCATCATCATGTCTTGACACCTTCAAAGATTCTGCTCCTGCATCAACTGCTAATTCTGGACAAGAACGTCGTGCGAATCCTCGCAGCTATCTTGGGAAAATGCGACGCCTTCACGTCTAGCCAAGTCAACGACTTCGCTAAGGCATGTAAGAATTCATTTGAATTTCTGGCTACTTCCTACAAGATGCGCCTCCTCTCGAATCTCCTCATCACCTGCATCCTAGGCCTAACGAGTACCGCCCTTGTCGTGGCCTCCTCCGCCGCAGCGAACCCTCTCGCCGCCCAACGACCCATCTCACACCCCGACACCGATAGCGATGGCTCCTCGACAGCCTCCATTTCCCCTTCCCTCTTCACCTCCCTCGAGCGCTTCGCCCGCCTCGTCGACATCGCCTACTGCGTCGGCACCTCGGGCATCTACCAGCCCTTCACCTGCGCCTCCCGGTGCAAGGACTTTCCCAACCTTCACCTCGCGTCGACCTGGAACACGGGCGTGCTCATGAGCGACAGCTGCGGGTATGTGGCTGTCGACCACGGCTCAGAGGATGGCAGGGAACAGCCGGCGATTATCGTCGCGTTTCGTGGCACGTATAGCCTGACCAACACGGTCATAGACCTGTCCACAGTGCCACAGGAATACGTGCCGTACCCGGACCCAGACGAGGGTGATGACGACGGCGGAGACAACGGCGGCACCAGCGAGCAGAGATGTACAAACTGCACCGTGCACATGGGCTTCCTCGAGAGCTGGCGGCAGGCCAGGAGGCTGGTCCTGCCGACCGTGAAGAGCGCGAGGGCGAAGCACCCGGGCTACCCAGTGCGTCTTGTGGGCCACTCCCTCGGCGGCGCGGTAGCGTGCCTTGCGGCGCTGGAGATGAAGGTCGCACTGGGGTGGGATGACCTGGTAGTCACCACGTTCGGAGAGCCGCAGGTCGGCAACGCGGGGTTCGTCGCGTTCGTCGACAGGGTATTTAGTCTCAACGGAAGCCCTCCCCAGGATGATGAGGACGAGAAGGGGTGGGCCTACCGCCGCGTGACGCATGTCAAGGACCCCGTCCCGCTGCTGCCGCTGAGCGAGTGGGGGTACAGGCCGCACGCGGGCGAGGTTTTCATCACCAAGAAGGAGCTGTCGCCCAGCGTCGAGGACCTGAGGCTATGCCGGGGCGACGAGGATCAGGGCTGCATCGCCGAGGGCAGCGAGAGCAGCAGGCTGCAGCTCTGGCAGCTGCTCTTTGCGCACCGGGACTATTTCTGGAGGCTGGGCCTCTGTGTTCCCGGCGGGGATCCGTCGGATTGGGGACGGCCACCGTATGATGTGAATCAGCCGGATGAGCTATGAGAATGGGAGAGTGTGTAGTATTGGGATAATAGCGGCCTGCAGACACCTCAATGGCTGTGGTTGCTTTTTTGGGACTTGTGCTCGGGCCTTCGCTCAAGAGCTACGTGCATGGCATTTGGCTTATCGCGATGGCATCGTCGTCCGTTCTTCTGAGGTTGGGAAACATAGGATACACTGATTCATGGCAACCAGTAATTACGCTCATGACAAAACAGAATGACCTGACATTAATGATATATGTAGTACATATTAAATACCAAAGAGGTACTCAACCAACCCTATCTCCTGCTCTGAATAACGCTCGAGAAAGTTTGAGAGTGTGCCATTTCAAAGCAAAACTACGGAGCATAAAGTTATTCATGTGTGCAATCCATAACCAATACAGAGAACCTGGCTGGCCAAGGATCTACAGACTGCTTCTTCCTACAGAGCGAGAGGCTATGGGAGGCTCGAAGCCTTTCCCTGCCTAACGATGCTTACGGCAGGGGGTCCAAATGGTCTGCCGCAGATCCAACAGAACTGAGGCGCTCGCCTTAAATACACACCTTCACGACCTTGGTCTCTTAAGAAGGATTCTCGTCACTTTTCCGTCCCCCTTTCAGATCGGTGTAGAATCAACTAGCAGGCTGAGAGGGACAAGGGGCTGAGAGAAAGACGATAACGATAAGAGTAAGAAGAGACGACGAAAGAAAGGCAAAAAAGGAGACTGCGCGCGTGATGTAGCCTTACAGGGGGTTCCCACACAAACACGCCCCCTCAACGTTTTTTCTGCGTAGGGCGTGGTGGCCCCTCTTTTCAAGGGTCCGGGTCTCCGCAGCCACCAGCAAGCAAGCAAAGAATCGAGGCTGACAAGTTCCAGAGGAGGGTGCGCCAGGGGAGAGGGGGGGGGGGTGGCCAAGAAAGAGAAGTAAAAAGGTTACAGGGTGGCTACTACCAGGCGGACGAGGCCCCTTGCCCACAACTGCACGCACATCGGCTCGACCCGTGGGGTTTCCGGAATGCCCGCATAATGGGATGAGCGGCTTGACACGAGGAGGAGGGGGGAGGGGTTGAAGTGAGACTGGACCGGTTCGATGATTTAATTTAGAGGCGACAAGAGGCCGTTGAGGGGTATTCCGTATTCCGGACTCCGAGGTTGGTGCTTTAGGAGTATAGACTTACATACTGTGCTAGTAGTGCGTACAAACGCGGCGCGCACACACACACACACACATATACACACACACGCACATGCAACGAGATAAGGAATTTCGATCTTGGGCAGGTCAGATGCTCGAGACAAGTGGTTGGTTCATCAGGCTGAAGTGTGGTACGTATGACTTGAGTTGGGGTGGCTTGGATCGTCTTGGAGGGTGATGCTAAGATGAGGGCCAATCTTGGGGGGGAGGGACACGAGATACATCATGTATGGCCCCAGCCATCTACCATTTCATTACAGTATCTATTCCCTTTGTTGTCGGCCTGCAACACATACAAGGTTTGCCCTGTCTGACCATGAAGAGCCCCCATTGTGAGGCTCATGCCCTTGGGGCTGGCTGTTTGGTACTCCATGATCTTGTTCGGAGTTGGGGCATGGGTCACGGATACTTTAGCTTCGGAATAGAGACAAGATGGACAGACAGGTAGATCTTGCAATGTGGCACTGGTGGTATCGTGACGAGCTTGATGGCAAATTAATGGTGATTTCCAGGGTTTAGGGGATGACCAAGGGGGGGGGGGTCCAGGTCTGGGGGAATTCCGACTGGGAAGAGGGAAGCCAACCCACTCAGCTTGGAGGAGGAGGAGGCCGATCACAGGACTGTCGGTGACAGCGACCATGCAAGGTGTGAGCGTGCCAACCAGATCAGCTGGAGGGGGAAGGGGCACATCCATCACCTTTTGGTTTTATCGGAGATATGCAGCTATAAGCACAAAACACAGCACAAGAGACAAAGGGGTCCGTCTGATAGGGGCAACAAATGTGTAGTACTCCAAGATAAAGAAGAAGAAAAAAAGAACAAAAGCAGTGTTACCCACCAAAAAGACTCAAAGGGTTGAAATCATGTGCATGTGGTGCGCTGTATGTACTATGTATGCATGCTTGATACGTTATCACCAGGGTCCTTCTAATGGATAGTGGTCGAATGGGAAAGAAGCACTTCTGGAGTAAAACTAGATGGGAGTGGGTGCGCGTGTGCGTGCGTGTGCGTGACAGGTGGGAGAAGCCAGAGCTTTCTTTGCCAACCAGAGCCCAGACTCAAGCTTCTCGCCAGGCGACCTGCCACCAGACCGGCAGACCTCGCTAGCACCTACCTTGGAATTGGGCAGTGGGCTCTGCAATCTAGCAGGTACCCCGCTACCAATTACGCCTGTCACCCTCCCCCTCCCCCCCTTTAGACTGAAGTTTTCTCTCCAAACTCCTGCTGGCCATTGGGTCTTGCCAGAAATATTGCCTTGGGCGTCCCACTTTATTTACAGCTCACCTCAGTCTAGGCTGGCAGGGCTGCCGTGGCTCTTAGCGTGCCAACCTGACGCTGGGGCCCTTTCAACTTGTAAACGCACTGGCGCAGACAGGGCCAGCCAGCCAGAGGAAGAGAGAGAGAGAGAGAGAGGAAGAGGGTCAAGGTCAACTGGTGCCTTTTCCCTCCCACCTTACCCCCTTCCCACCTGCACCACATCCAAGAATCCAACGTCTTTTCTCTCGCCCAAAACACAACATCACCAACTGACGACCACTGTAAACAAACTTGTTTCTGCACACCCAAACCACTCCCTCACCAAAGGACCTTTTCTTCTCTTTCCCCCGCTCGTAACACTCTTCAATTCTATTCCCTCTTTTACACTCGTCAATCGACTTGTGAGAGATCTGAAAAAATGGCTACTGAAGTAAGTCTTGCCAACCGCCCCTCGAACCCCTCAGATCCTCTCCCGCTCTCCAGAGCTCCTCTGCGTCTTGTGCTGCTGCCCAACTCTCCCCTTTCCCCTCCCCCATCACTTACTGCTTATTATCCTCAGCGATGGCCTCATCAGCTCCATCTGCACCTTTGCTAAGCTTTCTGCTACTTTCTTGGGACCATCTGGTTGCTAACATCTGCCCGTAATCTTCAGCGCGAGAGGTTCGTTTTTTTATTTTTATGTCACCGCCACGAAGGCGGCTCTACACCCATTTCCCCCTGCGCCAGAAGACTGACCGAAGCAAAATCCGCGCAACAGCAAGACTTTCCTCGCCCGGCTGTGCGAGCAGGCCGAGCGCTACGATGAGATGGTCTCCTACATGAAGGAGGTCGCCAAGATCGGCGGTGAGCTCACTGTCGACGAGCGCAACCTGCTCAGCGTCGCCTACAAGAACGTGGTCGGAACCCGCCGTGCATCTTGGCGCATCATCTCGTCCATCGAGCAGAAGGAGGAGTCCAAGGGCTCCGACAAGCACGTCGGTACCATCAAGGAGTACCGTTCCAAGATCGAGCTGGAGCTCGAGAAGGTCTGCCAGGATGTCCTTGACGTCCTCGACGAGTCCCTCATCCCCAACGCCGCGTCTGGCGAGTCCAAGGTTTTCTACCACAAGATGTAAGCTGGAAGCAGAAAGCGTGTCGTCGCAGGCCCCGATCCCGCCACAGCCCGGAATTTAGTGTCGTTTGTTTCTGACCTTTGGTTTTTCCCTCAAAAACAGGAAGGGTGACTACCACCGCTATCTCGCCGAGTTTGCTTCTGGCGAGAAGCGCAAGACGGCCGCCACCGCTGCCCACGAGGCCTACAAGGTAAGAAGACCCGAAGAAGAAGAAAAAGACTGCGAGTGTGGCAGTGAAGCCCACTAGCCATCACGCGCCCGGCTGCTAAAGTGTCTCTGCTCCACAGTCCGCCACCGATGTTGCCCAGACCGAGCTGACCCCCACCCACCCTATCCGCCTCGGCCTGGCCCTCAACTTCTCCGTCTTCTACTACGAGATCCTGAACTCGCCCGACCGTGCGTGCCACCTTGCCAAGCAGGCATTCGATGACGCCATCGCTGAGCTCGACTCCCTTAGCGAGGAGTCATACCGCGACAGCACCCTCATCATGCAGCTGCTCCGCGACAACCTCACCCTGTGGACCTCGTCCGACAACGGTGAGGCCGAGGCTGCTCCTGCTGATGCTGCCAAGGAGGAGAAGCCGGCGGAGGAGAAGGCTGAAGAGCCCAAGACCGAGGAGGCTGCACCCGCCGCCGAGTCCTAAACGGCTCTCTTTTCTCTCTGTCTGTTCCTTTGAGCGCCTGCGAAAAGTCGATGGAGGTTCGGTTCTCTGCTAATGTCGGGGCCATCCATGGTGTCAACAGTGGATTGGGTGATGTTAGAAGGGAAAGATGGTAGGGAAAGGCGATTTATGGCATTGGTCACGATCGGGATCACCTCTTCCAGGGGAGTTGGTTGTTGTGGGTAGCGAGGATACAGGGCATGTCTTTTGTTTCTGTTCTTGGCTCCCATGGGGATTTCCTGCAGCACATGGTTTCTCGTGTCCCTTTCCCGGTCAAGCACGCGGTATCTGAACCTGTCATGGCCCCATGGGGTGTCCAACCCATCTTGTGGAGATGTTACAAGCCCTGGAACTTGTTTTTCATGGATTATGTTGATTTCCTTAAACTCCTCCTGTTTGTGTCTTTTGCCTATTCCATATCGAGAGTGGTGGTCTCGAAATTCCCCCCCAGATGTTTTATCAGTCCTCACACAACACACACACACACACACACACACACACACACAAACCAAATTTAAAGCCCCAGAAAAATCAAAACAGTCTTCAACCCAACAGCCTACAGTCCGCTACTGCTGCAGCAACTATGAAGGCCTGCGTATTCATGTTTATCTCTTTATGTCTTACTCGTGCTAGCAGCAGCCTCTGTAGGTCTCTCTTCAGGATCTATTGTCCTTCCACGTCCGGTTATTTGTCGTTCTAGAAACTTCATTAGTCTCTTCAGACCCTTGATCAAGGGGTGGCGGAGGGAGAAAGGCAGAGAAAGGAAGAGAAAAAGGAGAAGAAAAGGCCCTCGGTGCTCTGGTTGGAGCTGGCACGTGACAGGTGAAATACAGGTTTCATTCATCAAGCTACAAATAAGGTTCAAAAATGGCAAAGAGGTGGAGGGTTTGGTAGGGGCAGATCTGACTGAGTGGTGGCAGTCGTGCATACTGCGCAGTGTTACGGAGGGGGCTTGCCTGGCTATAGACTAGAGAGGGTGACATCTCGTTGCAAGGTGTGAGTGACGAGGACCAAAACATTGCGAATTCGTATTGTTTCGTGTGTCGAATGTAGCATGTGGACAAAAGAAAAATAAACTAGATATATAAGAAAAGCAGGCAGGGTATCGTCTTCTCGCTCATGGTTTTCCCAAATAAACATTATCCAGGCTACGCCTGAACCTGCCACCTCAAACTGCAAAGAAACCTCCCAGGATTAGTGATATTCCCTTCCCCAACCTTGACACCAGTGATAGATGGAACAAAGAAGGAGGGGATAAGAATGAAAGAAAAAGGCCAATACCCTCGTCCATCTGGTGAATCATCAGTGGGACCGAGAACGCCTCCCCCCTTCCCCCCCCCCCAACAACGCCATAAAACAAGCCCTCCATAGCTGGATGAGCACCTAAGAAGTACAGTGGTCTTGAACCACGAAATTCCATCCCGTCGTGCCTGCAGAGGCTTTCCTATTTTCCCTCTCTCTTTCCCTCTTTTGTCGCTCACTCGCACGTACTCTTGATTTGTCCCACCATATCTGGCGTCGTCGTGGTCGTGGTCGTCGTCGTGGTTTTGGGCGTCACAATCTTCCACACCACCCTACCGTGCACATTCTCCCCCCGGATAGACTGGACGCCCTCGGGCCGCAGCAGCCGCGCCAACTTGGCCTCGCCAAACTTGGTGTTGATCTTGACGGTCTGGACGCCCTCGGGCCTCAGCAGCCTGGCCAGTTTGGCTTTGCCGAACTTGACCTCGGCGCGGTGTCTGTCTAGGTCGCCGTGTGACCAGCTTTTCCGGGAGGGGGCTGTGGGTATCTGGAGGGAGAGGAGGGCGGGCTTGTTTCTTGATGCTATCATCCCGCCTGTGTCCTCGCCTGCGCCCTCGGTGGTGGTGGTGGTGGTGGTGGTGGTGGAGGAGGTGGAGGTGGAGGCGTTGGTAGGTGTGATCATTGCCTTTGGTGTTTGTCGTGGTCAGCTGAGGTTGGTGACGAGGTGTTGCAATTACGCTGTAAATGACGCGCAATAGGGTTTCGGAGAAATATCATCAACAAAAAATAGAATTTCTCCCCCAAGACTTGCGTGCGGACTGGTAAGAGGGGAAAGGGCCGCAGTGAAGGATGATGGATATCGCGCCGGACACGCTTGCTTGAACAGCCTTCCGGGGGGAGGGGTGTTTGTCCTCTTCTTTTCTTCTTCCTTTTTTCTTCTGCTCACGAGCAGGTGATCCACCACGACATGGCTTGCAGAAGAATGAAGCGAGAGAGACACACACAGATACAGAAAGAGAGACAGTAAGCCCCGTGTGGCGAAAGAATGCCGGGCGAGTGGTGCCTGGGGCGTCCCGAACATTATGAAGCCCCGATTCACAGCGGACCTTTTTTTCAGTTTGTCATCTATATCTCTCTCTCTCTCTCTCCTTCGTGTAAGTCCTTGCAGTATATCAAAAACACAGCGAATCCTGACAACGATGGAAGGCCCGCGACCCGGCACGCTTTGGGCGAGTTGAAACCTAGTTGGGGCCGTACAAGATCTATTTGCGGAGGCGAGAGGGTGAGAATATTTCCTGGATTGGGCAAAGGTTGAACCAGCAGGCCGGCATTTGTAGGCCTGGCCACAAATCCTCCGCAAGCCCACGATAGATAAGTTGGTGATCGCCGCGCACCTGGTCTTGCTGCAGCTGCAGCGGATGAGATCCTTCGCGCCGGCTCACGCACAGCAGGGCAAGGGCAAGTGTGGCCGCTCGGCAGGTCGGAGCTGCTGATGTGAGATCACAAACTGCGGGTCGTTTTTCTTTCCTCTGTAATCTACCCCGCGATGCCAGCTTGAAGAGTGGGCGGCTTGATTGATCGTATACTCAAAGTCTATGCAAGCACTTGCTGCTGCAGCAGCACACGTTGATGATTCAGTTGAATGGGCCACACCTCCCCCCCCCCTTTCCGAAGAGACGGGGGAAGAGGGGCTCAGTAGACCTCACACTCGCCGGCTCTGAGACGCCAGGAGGCTCCTGAAATCGAATCTCTTGGTAATTAGTCGAATTGACTGCCCCTCGTTGGGCGCGAAGGAGTCTTTCTCCTCACGCCGCAGCAACGGTCTCCTTTTGCAGGATAGATCAACCTCCCCCCTACCAACACACACAATCCTTCCATGTGGCGTGAGCTCGAACGACAGCCCGGATCTGTCTATCTCTCCAGAGGGAATGAGATTTCTCTGTCGGGTCTGCTTTGCAATACTTGAGACAACACACGCCGGCCTCTCGTGGCTTGGATGATTATAAAGGCTTGCAAATCTACGAAAAGCAACAACAGCAGCAGGGTGGAGATTTCTAAGCAAGAGGAAAGAGGAGACACTTTCGAAAAGTTGATATGACCAATCTCGAGGATACACAGATATGGAAATTTGGAAAGACCTGAGGGGTTTGTGCAACCATCATCTTATGTGGTGTGTGTGTATGCGAGAGAGACAGAGAGAGGATCAGGAACGCTGCAGGGACGGGTGCCAGGATCCGAGGACAGCATCTCGAATACGCAAACAACCACCACAGCCGACGCAGGAGGCAAAAAGCACTAAGCTGGTAAGAGAATACAATGCAGCCCAGAGGATTCAGAAGATTCGGCCCCTTTTCTCTCACAAGGAGTGCAACATTCGTACATTCGAGTAGGGGCACCACAACAGAGTCACGGAGGGGGTTTGTTGGGAGAGGGTGAGAGAAGGGAAGAGAAGAAAAAAAGAGAGGGGAGGGGGGCAAGAGGCTGATGACGACTGGCGTAGAGCTGCACAATTTCTCCGAAGTGGGCGAGCCTACCCCATGGAGCAGAAAGCAGCAAGACGAGTGGAAAGGGTCCCAATGAGGCCGGCTGGTCTGACGTACTTACGCGTTCCGGCCGTTGTCGATTCGACCCAGCCCGCCGGGGGCTGAGGAAGAGTGACCTGACTTACACGAGGACATGCATCTGCAGGAAGGAAAGGATGGAGGAGAGAAAATATGTCCAAGAAAGGTAAGTTCTTACCCGCTTGCTTGTCGAGTTGTTCCACAGCACTTTAGACTCGGCGATAAGCAGCGGCTCTTTCCCTCACAGATGAGAATCGTGGGGGGCGGGGTTTACTGGCAAGAGCTTATGGCATGGATGGTTGGTTTAGTGTTCCCTAGGGGGGAGGAGAGATCCAAAAAGACGTTCATTCCAAATTAAGTACTCTCCCTTCTGTATTCCAAACTTATAATGTTGACGCTCGAAACACCATGTTGGTGCTGACATTTTGTACCGCTTATACATCCAAGAACCGCACTTGGAGCAACACCAATAATCACAACAAACAGCGTCGAACTGACCAAGATATTCCAAAAAAACAAAAAAACAAAAAAAAAACAAAAAAAAAACCAACCGTCAATCCTCTCGGTTGTTATTTGGATGGCTCTTCTGCAACAACTTCTGTGCCCTCCTCAGCCTTGCCATCCTGTCATTCAAACTCCGATCGCCGCCCTCGCCCCTGCCCCCATCCTCCGAGCTGCCGAGACTGCTGCTGATGGAGGATGCTCCCCCGCCCCCTCCGCCCCCCTTGTCGGTGGCAGAAGAAGAGGTGCGAAACATCTTGGTGGCCAGAGCTGGATCATACCTGTCCTCGGGGTCTCTGAGCTTGAGGGTGCTCATGGCGGATCTGAGACCCTGTAGGACGGATCTGGGTTTCGGCGGCGACTCTGTGGTCACTGACTGCGGCGGCTGCTGATGCAGGGCCGTTGGTGATGGTGGTGATGATGACGACAGCGATGTTGGTGGCGGTGGTAGCCTATCGCCTACAAAGTGACGGCCGCAGACCGGACACGTTGTTGTTGTAGTGGTGGTAGTAAAATTAGACGAAGGGTGCCTGGGGGGTTGTTGTTGTAAGGATGATGATGAAGAAGAAGAAGAAGAAGAAGAATACCCCGCTGCGTCCCACGCATGGCCGAAGCGTCTATCGCTGGCACAGCTCTGCAGCGACCGGAACTGGACCGTCTCGTCCAGCCAGACCTCGATCTGCTTTCGTCTTCTCGGCGGTAAGAGCTTGTCGGCTATGCTCTGCGTGGGTACAGCAGGGGCATTGCGAGCCGCCGCCATACCGGAGCCGTGATGGTATTTCCCAAAGGATTCCGTTCCTGTTTGACATGGTCAGGCTGATGCATATCGTCTTAGATGTCATGATCCTGGCTGTTCCCAGAGCCCATGGCGCACGGAATCGCTGCACAGCTCTGCTTCATAATGATCACGGCGGCCAACTCCTGAACGAGAGTACATCACGAAACAGCGAGAGAAAGGAAAAGGCCTCGACATGTATAAAAATAATATGAATACGCACCAAATACTAGCAAGTTGTCCAGCATGAGATGATGGTGGTGGCCGTGGTGATCATGTCCTCCCTCAAGAGCCCCTCCAGTGCTCCCGGAGACCAGTCCATCTATCAACTGTTGTCTGCACCGCGCGCCAGCACTATAGACTGTCTAGCTTTCTCTTCCTAGAGGACGGAGCACACAAGATCAGGTTTGATAGAATAAGGCTTGAACGCAGACACAGGGTGGCGGCCTGGAGATATGATGAATTATATTTGGAGGTAGGAAAGCTTCTTGCATAGCTCAGGCGTCAGTTTCAAAAGTGTTTTCGCATCAGCCCTGCCCACCACTTTCCAGGAAACACAAACGGAGAGAGAAAGATGCTTACAGTAATAGCAACGATTAAGTAGGTATTATAAAACCAACGCAGAATAATGAATGCAGGCACTCAGCGATGATCTGTAGCTATGAAGATTTTCTGATAAAAATCCGCATATGTTTGGATCGGCGAGGCGCGTTGCCTCCAATTTCAGGGCAAGCGTCGAGCTCTGGGGATGAGGTGGGGGATGATGAATGGTGAGTGTTGTCCCCCCCCTCCTCTTCTTATTACAGGGGCGAGGTCTCACATTGAAATACGCCCGATGAGCCGCACCGTGCACTTGATACCCATGCACGCACTACTATGGAGCCAGACTGCTCATGGTCACAGTGCCAAAATCGGATTTGATCACACGGACTATAAAGCCCCGTTCTTATTACTTGGGAAAGGCAGGGAAACAAAAGTCGACGTCTTGGAAAAGCCATTTATAATTTTGTGATAAGAATTTCTCTTTGTCCTTTTGATCATAATCAATCTTGCTCCCCTCCTCTCGTCTAGGAAGGTTTGAGAGCCTCCCATGTCCCAATCGTGTTCGATCCATCGTCGCCCAACAAATCTACCACAGGGCTCTTGGCCTTGATGACTGGTTTCTTCGCCGCTGGGGGAGGTACAGGTTTCCTGCTGCTGTTGCTGCTGTTCGAGAATCCGCTTGGCGGGGCGGGAGAGCTCATGACCACAGGCTTCCTCGCGGGCAGGGCGGGGCGTTCGTCCTTGGACAGGCCGAGCCCGACGAGTCCCACAGCCCCAGGGGGCGCCCATCCTTTGATACTACTAGACGCCGGCGAGGCCGTCGCCACCGAGGTTGTCCCCGCTCTACGGGGTGGTGGCAGCGGTGCTGACGAGTGTTCCTGGTAGCGGTGTGTAGACGCCTCCCTTGCGGAGGCGGTGCGGTGCAGGCCGTCATGAGCCGCAGTCCTGGAGACGTCCTGCACGTTACCAGAAGATCTGCGAGGGGGTATTGGTCTCGCTTTGGCCTCGGTCGGGGAAAGAGAGGTGTCAGAGTGTACCTCAGTAGGTGGCGTGGTGATCAGGTGTGCCGGCTTCTTCGCCACAGCGGGCGGTGGCCCTTTGGCTGTATTCTGGGACGTAGACGATGCAGCAGAGACTGACCGAGGGGCAGGCGGCGCCGGCGCCGGCTTTCTCATAACGCTGCCGACCGCAGGCACAGGAGTTTGGTTTGGCGGTGGCGGGAAATATAGATTTTGACCGGTCGCCCTCCTAGGTGGTGGTGCTGGTGGTGCGTCTACTTTCTTAAACTGCAGAGCTTGAGGTTGCTCGTCATTCATCGTCATTCTTCCCACCTTGGAGGGGAGAGCTGACGGGTCGTAAGGGGGAGGCAGCTTCCGCTGCGGAGGTGTGCTCGAAACGGATGAGGAGAGGGATGGTAGGAAGGTAGAGTGGTTGATGTGTTCGTACGGCGACGTAGACATGCTTGAGTAGGATGACAATCGAGAGTCTGCCCGTGGCACTGTGACCCAGTCAGGCTCATCTGATGGACCAAAAGGATTAGGTGTTCGACGAGGGTTGAGGATCGTCGATGTGGAACTGTCCAATGGTTTCGGCGGCGTGATGGTGGATTGGGCTTGTTTCCCATTGTCCAGCCACCACTTCTGGCGATCAGAGCTGGCAGGAGGCAGGCCTGGCTCGATGGCATCGTAGCCAATCAAGTCTTCATCCTCAGTATCCTCGGTATTGTCATTGGCTGTGGCATGTCCAACCTCGGCCTTGCGCCTCAGGTACACCTCGCGGCTGATCTTGTCCCTCTGCGCCTCGTTGATGATGCTCACTTGGCACTCAAAGAGGGCATATACGGGCCGATGATCCGAGAACTTGAGTGGTGCGCAGTTGTACGCTAATTGACGAAGATTGGGCCCTTTGCGCAGAATACGGTCGGTCCAGGCTGGAATACGTTGCTTCTCTGATGAATCGTAGTTGTCGGTACCAATGTCGAACTTGTATGTCGGCATGAAAGTGATGCGAGCCTCGGAGTAGAATGGGAAGGATAGACCAGCAACCATCTGCAGGTTCAGCTGGTCATTCTCATACAGCCGCTCGAGATCCTTTTGTTGGACCAGCTCGGTGGCTCGCTCCCAGGACAGCCCGATGCGATAATTGAAATCGCCGAGCCAGACAACGGTATCTAGAGACCCAGTCAGCACTCGCCACGTACGCATCCTATAGTCAAGGGCTTATTACCGTGATCATCAATGCCTCTGTTTCTCTGGAAGCGCAGTCCATGACTGATCGTTGCATAGTCCTTGTTCCTTTCATCGTAGTTGGCAAAGCCGGCGGCCAGATGTGCGGTGACGAAGCAGATGTGAGTGTTTGCAAAATCCATTCTGATCGCCACTGCACCCTTGTTGCCAGCCATGCCAGACAGACCAGTCTTCTTCACCGAGCCCTCCACGTTCTTGATGTTCGACAGGACTGACGCCCGCACAAAGATGCAAAGCGCCGCCCCAACGAGCTGGCCACTTCGTAGCAGCACATACTTCTCGCCACCGATCTGTTGGGCTCGGGTGTTGAGACATTTGCGCACAGCATGTTCCCACAGCTGCTTCCTTGTAGGATCGCTATTCATGATCTGTTGTGGACTCAACTCGACAATCTCTTGGAACCCAACGACAACGATTTCGGGCTGGCTTGTCCCGGTCACCTCGGGACATAGCCACGAAGAGAGATCTTCATCTATGCCATCGGTCCGGCCGTTCAGATTAAAAGTCCCAACCAAGCTGTTCATGAGTCAGTGGCAAGAACACGGGCGAGGATAGCAATGGCAACCCACATCCTGATGTTCTCGGTCGACGAGAACTCCGCACCGCGTCTGTTCAGCTCCCCGTTGACATAGTCGTTGATAGGGTCATAAAGAGATACCGGCGACTGTCCTACCAGCCGGCCCAAGAGCATATCAATGGTAGTTTGCCTCTGCTTGTCCGTAAAGTTGTTGATGTACAGCCGTGTTGCAGATTTGCGGGCGTCCGCGATGGCTCCGGCCAGAGACATCTTTCCGTGGCGTGTAAAGGAAGACTTCAAGGCCCCGGTGCCGGCGTAGATTCGCGATAGGTTGTCTCCATTGTCGGCCCATAGACTTGAGTGTCTCATCCAGAAATCGGGCGGCGCAGACTCTCCGCGATGGCCTAGGAATGCCTCGACAGCCAGTTGAGACACGAGGGTCTGAATGAGGTTCGTGCGGTCCAAGCAGTCGAGACAGTTTGTCCGGAAGACACCTTCTTGTTGCAATAAAACCACGTAACGCCTGTCGGTGTGAGGTGTGCCGTTTGCTTGTTCACCAGGGCTGTCTGTTTCCACCGCCAGATAATATGCAAAACCCTCTGCTGAGTTCTCAATATAGCGACGGATCCCCTTGGCAGCCTCGTAGCCGGTAGGTCCTTTTGTTTCAGCATGGAAATCATACTCTGTTATTTTCAGCAAAGCATGCTCCTCCGACCGTTTGTCGCCCGGTCGACTCAGTGGGCAGTGTTTAATCCCGTAGCGGTACAGCTGGCTAAGCTCGACCTCGCCGGGCTTCGACTCGCTAAGCAGGTTAACCACATGAACTGCCCCGTAGTTATGTTCCAGATCTGAGAAGTGTTTATTGAAGGCTGGCTGCGTGCCGTCGGGCGATCGCGTGATGCTGATTTTTTGCTGGCCTGGGAGCAGTCCTGCCGCCTGCTCCCAGAACACAGGCACTGAGCCTCGAACCTGTGCATAGGAGAACAAGATGCCTGATGGGCTCCAGTAGATCGTCTCTGTCTCCACAAAATTGGCCACGTTGCCGTCGTCGTCGATGCCCCTCGAGTTGAATCGTGTCCCGGCTCGCCGACAGGACAGTCGAGATATGATTGTTAGGTAGGACGGTATGCCTGTCTTGGCCGGCCGTAGAGGGGCAACTGACTGAGGAATCGTCATGGTCAGGCAGAACCCTCGTATGGCTGAGGTCAGGATCCGCGACTGGTCAAGACTTTCTCTCTCGTGATGCATCAGCCGCGACCGAAACTGAACCAGCGGGTTGATCATGTACGAGTTCCACAGAAAGCCCTCGTCGAAGTTGTCAATGTCGAAGGTATTCGCATCCGGCGGCCTGTCCTGCAGCCGATTCGTGAGGTCGAAATCGGTGCTGTAGTAGAAGCTCCCGTTGCTCAATAGCTTCTGCACGTCCGAGCAGGGGTGCTCCACGCCCCCTTCCCTCCTGTTCAGGGTCTGACCATAGATCGAGGCATTGTCCGACATCTCAAGCTCGTATGGATCGATGGAGGAGAAGACGTCGTCGTACTCGGAGGTGTTGAGACCGTAAAACTCGACCGCCAGGATTCTTTCAATGGTCTCGCCCGGCCGCAGGGTAGAAACCCTCGAGGCGTGCGTGATGACACTCAAGAAGACATCGCGGCCAACCGAGATCAGGCCCAAGGTCCCGTATATCGGCCGTGACGTCAGAGGCCTGTACTCGCTGAGCGTCTTCTTGGTCACCGTTGTGAACTCCACCATACACTTGGGCGCGTGGCTGTCGGATAGGCTGCCACCGGTGCCAGCTCGGGGTCGGGCAGAGGGGACAGATGTGAGGGAGCCATTGGCGATGGCCTCGCTGGTGGTAGGGCTATGGCGGAAGATGAGGGCGTGGTCGTTGGAGACGATGGCGATGGCGCGGTGAGGATAGTCGCGGATCAAGAGTTGGGAGGATTTCTCGGGCGAAGGCGCCTGGCCGCTCCAAAGAGCGGAGGCTCCTGGTTCCATGCTCTAACTGGCCAGGACGAGAGCGCCGCTTCAGCTGGGTGCGAGAAGAGTGTGCTCGACTTTCCCTCTCTCAAGAGGACGACAATTGACACAGGCGGTGACACATGTCCTGTCCAGTGTGTCCGTTGCTGATGATGGGGAGGCACAAGAGGAATAGCACAGGAGACGTGTTTAGAAGGAAGCCTTGATGATATGTTTTTTTCTTTCTTTTTGGAGGGAAGATGATGATTGTAAGCTGATATAACTATTGCTGAAAATTATCATGCAGAGTTGCCCTTTTCTTTCTTTTTTTCTTTTCTTTTTAGTGCTTCTGCTCGTGGTCGTTGGCTACCGAGATTGTCGACGTTACGCACATCAGATGCAAAATGCCAGAAGTGCATCCAAAGTGCAGCTCCCCACCCTGCCATGGAGCCAATGACGTGTGGCGGCGGCCCGTGCACACTTCTCAGCCCTGCGAGATTCCGAGTTGGGAGGCCGGCAGCATATACGTTGCTTTTTTTTATTTATATTTTTAGTACTCCTAGTAGTACGTATGTTTTTTAAGACGACCCATGGGAAACATAGAAGTGCGGCTCTACAAGTTCGCGCGAGGTCCGAATAGTCTTTCATAGCAATCTCATGCCTCTGGAGTGCGTTACATATATTTTAGGGTGCTGCGGCAAGAGGCCAGTGCAATTAGTTTCATTTAATTCACTCTAGCCTCGAGCATAACTGGGCCGCAGAACGATGAAGATGAGTATGCCAACACCCATGGCAAGACGTCTTCCAGGAGAGGTGGGGTTCTTCCACGAAGAAGTCCATCGTCGACAGTTTGCCCTTGGAGATATGCAACCATGCATGACTGGGCAGAGTTTCTTGCGCGTGGCTAGTAGGACAGCGATCCAGTTCGTCATGCACAATATTTCATCCTTTTTGCAGTGTTATCCGAGGCACTACCACAACAGACATCTGCAACCATAAGTCACCGAAATGACGCGCCTCAGTCTTGAAACACATGACTGCGCATCGTTCGGACGATGGTTCCATCCTGGGTTCCTGGTGCGGGCTGTTCCGTAGAAACCTTTCTGCCCCTGGCACATACTGGCTGTCCGTTCATGCGCAACAGGCAGTCGTGGTTTCTGGGAATCATGAAAACTGGAATGAATCACGAATGAGCATGGCAGATAAGCAGCTCTTTAGGAAAGAGCCACATCTTGAAAGGGGAAGCATAAGGTGTTGGTGACAAGACAAAGTCTGGCCTGGTAATCAAGCATAAAGGAACGAGTAAAGGACTGAACAGGAAAAAAAGCAATCAAGAGATAGATCGTTTCTGTGGGTCGAGCTTCAGATATTATACAATGGGGAGATCATACTCGCCATATCTGGCAGAGTCATCCTCTTCCTATCATGTTTGTTTTAAGTAAATCATCACAAGCTCATGTGGAAAAGGAAGAGGAAACCTTCGTGCTCAAACCAAAACAAGGTAGAATTTTAATCTGGCTCCTTGGTGGAGTTCTGATTACATAAGACACACACCTAGCCTAGCACAGACCCAGGAGCAACACTCAGCACAAGCTGGATCCCTTCCAAGCTGGATCCCTTCCAAGCAGGCAGGGATGGATGCAGCTGTGAATTTGCAACCTGCGCAAGCTGGATTCGTCTATCCATCACACACTCTCCTTTTTCAACCTTCCCACCCCCAGCCACCCAACCCTCCCCATCTCTCAAGTTGGATCCATTACCTTGGAGTCCCGACCTTCTCTACCTGTTGTTCACAGCACACCTGTACCCAGCACAGGCATTTCTTGATCTTGTCTCCATTTCCTGCACCAACTTTGAGGACCAGGCCTTACTTTTTGTCGCATAAGCACACCCATAGCGCAGATGGCCGAACTCCAAAACTACGGCGGCTCCGATGAGGAGAATGCTGAGATTCGCAAGCTGAACACTGAGGTGGTGCGTCTAGATTCCAGCGCAATGATAATTACCGGGAAGCATGCTAATGTCCTGTCACCCTGAGCAGGAGACCGACCCTGACAGCTTCGAAGCCTGGGAAAAGCTGGTGCGCGCGTGCGAGAGCCTCGATGGAGGCCTGAACAGAAATTCGAGCCCCCAGGCCCTCACAACGTTGCGCAACACCTACGACCGTTACCTTCTCAAATTTCCTCCCCTCTTCGGATACTGGAAGAAGTATGCCGATTTGGAATTTAATATCTCGGGCCCAGAGTCTGCAGAGATGATCTACGAGCGAGGCTGCGCTAGCATCACCAACTCGGTCGATCTCTGGACAGACTATTGCTCCTTCAAGATGGAGACTACCCACGAGCCCGCCCTTGTGAGAGAGTAAGTAATAGAGGCTGCTTTCCTTCCCTATAACCTCTTTCAGCCATCGGCGCGTTCGTTAGGATCGTCAGGATCGCGATCTGTCGCAAACCTCGTAGCCGATCTCGCCAGAGACAAGATCACTTTTGCCGACCGAAACAATGGGTTCCGGTGAGAAATACCACAAGGGCCAATCATCTACCGCTGGGATCGCGTCTCACAGAATCTACCAGGCACTGTTGATTTTCCAAAACCACACAATCATCCTCATACTCGCTATGAAGCACCCCCCTACTCTTACGCTTCCCCCCCCCGTCGCAAAAAAGACACTGAGCTGTTGTTCGTCGATCACCTTGGGAGAAGGATTCATTTACTGTTCGCACCTTCTATCCCTTCCTGTATTTGGATCCTGCCTACACTCCCTCTCTCCCCTCCCCCCCTCCCTCTCTCTGTCCATTGGATCTTCCTGACAACTGACCTGTCCTAGGCTATTTGAGCGCGCAGCTACACATGTGGGGCTGGACTTTCTGGCCCACCCCTTCTGGGACAAGTACATTGAGTACGAGGAGCGGCAGGAAGCGCACGACAAGATTTATGCGATCTTGAAACGTGTTATTCACATTCCAATGCACCAGTATGCCAGATACTACGAGCGATTCCGAACCCTCTCGCACTCTCGGCCCTTGGACGAGGTCGTCGAGCCGGAACTGCTCACCCGCTTCCGCGCCGAGGTAGAGGCCGAGGCAGCCTCCTTCGGTACAGTCAAGTCAGAGGCAGAGATTGAGCGTGACGTCCGTGTCAAGACAGACGGCATGTTCTACGAGGCCTTCCAGAAGACACAGACGGAGACAACCAAGCGCTGGACATACGAGTCAGAGATCAAGAGGCCATACTTCCACGTCACCGAGCTCGACCACTCGCAGCTTGCCAACTGGCGAAAGTATCTGGACTTCGAAGAAGCGGAGGGCGACTTTGCCAGGATCACCGCCCTGTATGAGCGCTGTCTGGTGACCTGCGCCTTCTACGACGAGTTCTGGTTCCGGTACACGCGGTGGCTGTCAGCTCAGCCTAACAAGGACGAGGATGTGAGGAACATCTTCCTGCGCGCGGTGACGCTCTATGTGCCGGTTAGCAGGCCAGGCATCCGGATGCAGTTCGCGTACTTTGAAGAAGCAAGCGGCCGAGCGGATATTGCCCGCGCGATCCACGAAGCGATCCTCCAGAAGCTGCCGAACTGCGTCGAGGCGATTATCTCGTGGGCCAACCTGGAGCGGCGGCAGAGCGGTCTTGATGCTGCAATCGATGTGTACAAGGCACAGATCGATTCGCCTGCTGTGGATCTGTACACCAAGGCCGCGCTTGTGACACAATGGGCTGTGTTGTTGTGGAAGGTGAAGGGCTCTGTGGACGAGGCGCGCACTGTCTTCCACAACAACGTGCAGTGGTACGCAGACAGCCGGGAGTTCTGGAGCAAGTGGCTGGATTTCGAACTCGAGCAGCCCACCAACACCGAGCTGGAGCCCGAACACGGTGAGCGGATCCAGAAGGTCATCGAAGAGATGAAGACCAGGAGCCGCATGTCTATCGTGACCAAAAAGGAGCTCTGCATGAAGTACCTAGACTACCTGCAGCGGCGTGGTGTCAAGGATGCCATGAAGAAATTCCTGGAGATTGACCGAGAGATGGCAGGGTAAGTACAGATTGAGACCCTCCCCCGCCCCTCGGCTGGATGGCGAAAGCAAGCAGGCTAATATGTCCCCAGACCCGCCTCCATCTCCAAAGACAAGTTCTCTGCCAAGGATAACGGGACACCAGTAGGCGAACTTGACGAAGCCTCCCGGATCAACGCCGAGACTCGGTATTTCAGCTACTACGAACTGTACAGTGAACCAGATCCTAAGGCTACTGGTATTGCGGATTTCAACTAGTAGTAGGCCTCATTTGCTTCTCCTTTACATGTTGGTCTCAGCCTGTGGGAAAACAGAAAGGCCTGGGGTGTGAGAGGAAAACAAAGATGAAAATTGAATGCATCGTCGGCGCTCTGCTGTATACTAGGTGTTTTGGGGCTGAATTGGATGTACGATGATGGGTGGGAGGTACAGCTGAACTCTATGAGGGATGTGCGAGTCTTAGATGATTCGAGCCTGGGTGGTGGTGGCAGTAGTCCTTGATGCAGCCAGGCGATGCGGTCTTCTGAACACACAAAAATTGAGATTGGGGAATCACCTGTCACGATGGTAGAAGAAGAAGGAGAAGAAAATGGTCTAGACTCGCGCATGTGGTATCTGAGTAATAATGTCCAGACAAGTATCTCGGCTCACGTGTTGCGTGTACAGCTTTTTTGAATGACACATCTTCATCCTACTCTAGAAGATGATTACATGTCGCCTGCAGGATCTCTCAGGCGAAGTTTCCGAGGAAATGCACATCCCAAGTCTTACACGGCACATGACTACGTGACGTGCCTAATGTGTGCTTGGGGCTGCACAAATAGATCCCTTATCCCATGGTACCATAGTAATTATCATGCCACCAGACGCAGGGTCGTTCCGGCCCCGGGCTCTGCAAGGTGGCCATTGGTTACCGGACCGGGCTTTGCTCAGGCTGAGTCACGGATGGGGGCGGCGACGGGGAGCCAGGAACCGCTGCTAGGCAAGTGGCGATCCGGAGGAGACCGAGTATGGTTTTTCTTTCTCTTTCTTCTTCTTTAGACTCGATGATTTTGGTGGGACGAACAACGTCATCGTTCCTCTGTAAATACGATGAGGAAGAAGAAGAAAAAACTTGAGACCTCGGTCATGTTCCTTGTGAGTAAAAGGGTGGTAGGGTAGCTGTCTTGTTGATGGAGGAGGACAAGGCGACAAAAAGTCCACGCCGTCTGTAGCAGTTGATTACCAAGCACCATCCACCAGTCCCTTCACATCAAAGGGCACAAGAAAAGAAGAAATCCTCAATACCGAGATCGGCCCGGGAGAGAAGGGCGTAGTAGGGGTGACGATGTACTACAGGTGGTTGCCAAGCACCATTCGCGAGGGACACGCGTAGTCACATTTTTTTTCTTCTTTCCCTCTTTTCCTTTCCTTCCGTTCCACTGCAGACGAATTGGCATTCACCCAGGCCATTGATAAGGAGAATTGAGAGGTGCATGCGGCGATTCAAGCCGCCCGACACACATCTGTACAATCTCACCAGGCTAAGACTCGGCATGTGAGACTTCGGCTTGCGCCTTGATTACCCACTGCAAACAAGTGGGGCCCCACCTCCTGCCGGCGCCATGACAAAGTTTGGTGGGTCGCGGCTTCTTCAGAAGATACCATAATGAGGCAAGAGAAAAGAGAAAAAGAGGATCGCGACGCGGAGACAAACTGGGTCGGGCTTTGGTGGGGCACTGTGGCTACTGATGGAGAACGATAGATTGGCCAATGAGGGATGGACAATTACTCTTTCGTAACTGGTGGTACCTATCGCTTGAAGGGTCTTCCATGGTCGTTTCGTTGGCTTCGACGTGAGGTGAGATAGCGATGAGGTGCTGCCGTGCTGGACCCTTTTGGGGGTGGGCGTGTCTTGTCTCGGCTTGTGTGTTTCTCCTCCCTGCTATATGAATAATCAGGAATGCCCTCGGTGTTCTTTTCCCTTCCTTTTCTTCTCTTGGATCTGACCTGTGACTCTTTCTTTTCTTCTTCTTTCTCTTCTCTGTTTCTCCTCCTTCCTTCTGCCCAGAGTCTTACATCACTACTCTGTGTAACGGTTTGGTATTCTGTCCCATACTTTGAATATTTTGAGAACATTTAGACAGGGCGAGACACGAAGAGTAAGTAGGTTGCTTCCATCTCCCTCCAACCACCCCGGCCTGTATATATCCAGCCTCTTTTGTCTACCTTCAATTGAGGTAGACTATCCCATCCCATCCCATCGTACGATTAATATTCACCTGGCCACGGCCAAACACCTTCCACTGAACTGACATTCTTTCTGTGCCCTCAGCCCAAGATGGCCACCACGACACGCCAGCTCGCTCGTACGGCGACCCGCCTCACAACCCGCAGGACCTTCGCCACCTCTGCTCCCCGGACAGCCTTCCGCCAGCGCTACTCCGGGCAACAAGGCCACCGCTTCTACTCCTCCTCCTCCTCCTCCTCCTCCGAACCACCCAAACCCTCCTCGTCCTCCTCTCCGCTTGTCTACATCACCCTCGCCGCCGCCGCCGCAGCCGGTGGAGCCTTTTATTATTACTCCTCCTCCTCCAGCACCCAGCCCGCCGCGCCCAAGGTCCTGACCAACCCCACCAAGGAGGACTACCAGAAGGTCTATAATGAGATCGCCCGGAGGCTGGACGAGAACGAAGATTACGACGACGGCTCGTACGGTCCTGTCCTGCTGCGGCTGGCGTGGCATGCCTCGGGCACGTACGATGCGCTGACGGGCACCGGCGGTAGCAATGGCGCCACCATGAGATTTGCGCCTGAGGCGGATCATGGAGCCAATGCTGGTCTCAAGCACGCGAGGGACTTTTTGGAGCCTGTCAAGGGTAAGCGCACACGCAAACACCTGTCTTTCCCCTTCTCCCATGTTCCCTCTACCCAGAATCTTAAAGCCATGGCGTCGCCGTGATCGGAAACGAGCTGACACAAACTCCGCCACAAAACAGAGAAGTTCCCCTGGATCACCTACTCAGACCTCTGGATCCTCGGCGGTGTCTGCGCCATCCAGGAGATGCTCGGTCCCAAGATCCCCTACCGACCCGGCCGGTCCGACCGCGACGTCGCCGCCTGCACTCCCGACGGCCGTCTCCCGGACGCCGCCCAGGGCCAAGACCACCTGCGGGCCATCTTCTACCGCATGGGCTTCAACGACCAGGAGATTGTGGCCCTGGCGGGCGCGCACGCCCTGGGCCGCTGCCACACGGACCGGTCCGGCTTCGACGGGCCCTGGACCTTCTCGCCCACCGTCATGACCAACGACTACTACCAGTTCCTGACGGACCGCAAGTGGCACTGGAAGAAGTGGGATGGCCCCAAGCAGTACGTGAACGAGGACGAGTCCATCATGATGCTGCCGGCCGACATGGCCCTGGTGGCGGACAAGAAGTTCAAGAGCTGGGTCGTCAAGTATGCCAAGGATAACGACTTGTTCTTTAACGACTTCCGGAACGTGATTGTGAAGCTGTTTGAGCTGGGCGTGCCGTTTGCCGAGGGTAAGGAGAAGTGGGAGCTGAAGACGCTTGGGGAGCAGGAGTAAAGAGAAAGAGAGAAAAAAAGAATGACTTGTTCTTTTCCACTCTTCTGCTATGAAAATGAAGGGGGGGGAGAGAGACAGAGAAGGGGTGGATGACAACAGAGTGCACCGAGATAGACTAGATTGCACCAGACCATAGACTCAGAGGCCAGATCTAGGTGATTAGACGGATGTTCATGACCACCGGTTTGATTGAGAGTAAGGGAGGAAGAAAATACCACCTCCTTCGAAGTATTGTAACGATAATAAAACTGGTCGCTAGTCCTTATTTTGTCGCTCCCCATCACCACTCTGTCCTCGAGAAGCGTGTATCATGATCGTGTCTGCCAGTTGTATTCTGTGGCCCATCATAGAGGTAGTAAACTCATCGTAGTCGGAAAAGTATGGGAGTCGACAACCATTCATCTATGGATCTCACGAAGGTTGAGGAGAAGGACCAAGACTCAGTTTTGAACAGGGACGAGCCTGCTGAGGTGTCGTCTAAATAAGACCCCAGGTCCCTGGCAACGAAACCACCCCCTCATGCGGTTTCCCCCCTCCCCCCACCCCTTCCACCCTCAGACCGGCCCAATAGGTTTCCCCGCACTTCACCAGCAGCAGGAGGAGGATTGATGAGGAAGCCCAGAGAGGGGGGTGGTTTGTTTCTCTTTTCACCTCTTCATGTGGGGTTGGTTGCAGTGGAGGAGAGAGATCTACGGGCGGGAAGCTGTGGGTTCTTTTCCGAGATCGCTTTCCCCGTGGGGAAGTGGGTTTCCTTTTTCTGGTGGTTTTTTTTTTTAATTCTTCTTCTTTCTTGGGACCAAATACGATTCCGGTTTCTGTTCTTACAATGTTGAAAATGTGTGAGTTGGGAAGAATTATATCTGTCTTCTTCCTTATTTCGGCGATGAGATTTCAGTCGGTCTGGTACGTATTCTTTCTGTATACGTTGATTCTGTTGATTTGCTTCAGTGGAGCGAGATCGATGGCTGGTGGACCAGGAGGGCTTGGAGTGCGATCTTGCATCTTCGAAGGCATTAAAAAGGGTACGTTAGCCCCTCGACTGCATGGCGACATGAAGAGGGGATATCTCCAACGACCGTTGGATGTTCTGTCTGCCAGCCTTTGGTGTGTGAATATTATCTTTCGTCTGTCAATCAGATCGTCGCGCGGTCAACGTTCCGCACACACCGCCATCATCAACATTCCGCAATGCTGGCAATTGTGTGTACTAGTGCTACTTTCGTTCCTATCACAGTTCAAGAGTCATGGACCGGAATCGTGCGACAGTTGGTAATGGGAGAAATCCTTACTGTCTCCTTCAGTCCGTATGTCTTGCTGCCCACATCCGCCTCCCATCACTGACTATAGAAAACATGGCAATCTGGTGGCTCCAGAAATATCAAGTACAACTTAGTAAATAAGAAAAAGTGAAATAAACCAACCCTTCCCCCCCCCGCAGAACGCATGATACAAATTCTCATCTTCTCCAGGTGCTTCTGGCTCGTGCAAAACCACATTGATCAGTCACCCATCAATGTCAATCAAGCACAACTCAGGCTTCACACCCATTCTGGCCAGATTAAAAAATGTCTTGTTCCTGAAATGATGAGGAAGGGGGCATGTCGGGGCCGGCTCCAGCTACGCCGGATCAATAAGCCAGAATCCCAACGCCGGGTTCGATGCCCGCTTGTCAATGAAATCTTCCGTGCTGGCGGAGCCCATGTCTGGGGCAAATCGTCGCAGGGCGGTCCGCCACAGCTGCCCCCATACTTTGCGATCAACCAGCTGGAGAAAGTCTCTGACCTCGTGCGTCAGATGAATGTCCACCAGCATGCGGTCGCGCAGGTAAGGGTCCACGGGATGACACTGCACGCCGCGGTTGAGGTTGTCCTCCCTCCACGTGTCACCCGCCAAGATGATTCGAACCTGCACAGGATGACCACCCGCGTCTTGTCCTGCGCGGACACCAAGCTTGCTCTCGACTTGCCTCCAGAGGGGGAGAATCTGTCGAGGATCGCGGCCGAACCAGACCTGGTGCAGGTCGGGCGCGATTGCGCGAGGGTCAGGACCGACAAAGTCCAGAGGAGCAGACTCAACCATGATAGGGAGGGATACATTGTACCAGGGAAGGACACGGTCGCCTTGGCTGATGGGGATCATGCCACGTCCTTCGGCCGTGAAGTCGCTGCGCCAATAGAGACGGTGCAGCCCGGCGATAGTCTCTCTGTAGGACTGCAGGACGAGAGGCTGTACTTTGGTGAGGTCCAGCTGCGAGAGGGCTCTAACCTGGCGTTCTTCAAGACATATGTTGACGGCGCCCAGGCCACGCAGGTCACCTATCTTGAGAAGGTGGAAGAAACCGACGAGGTGTTGGGGATTGATATCTGTATCGTAAGGTTGAATGTTGAGGATGTCCCATTCTGGGCTCAGCAGCATGGGACACTCGTAGTCCTGCGGGAGCCCCGTCGGCTGGAAGCCCCTACGAGAGCACGGGATCCGGATTCTGTAGAATTCGCGTGCTACATCGGCAGCTTCGCGGCAGACTCGAAATAGAATGCAAGGAGACGGTCTGTTTCGAAAGAAGACGCGGTACGGCTTTCTCCACACAGATTCTGAAGGATACTGGATCCCGCGGTCCATCAAGATCTTGGAGTCTCCGGGGCTGAGTGGCTTGGAAGACATGACAACATGGATGAAGCGGTGCTGGCCAAGGGCCATAGTCCAGATCTGGAGACGCAGCTCGACAGGGAGCTGGGAGAACTGGGGAAAGCCTTCTTGTCTGCTGCCTTTGTTGCATCCATCGCGATCTCGGAGGTATGTATCATTGAATAGGCTGAATTTACGAGATGTCGGCAATCTGGGTAGTCGATTATAAGCAATCAAGCCACAATCGTCCATCCACTTCTGGATCAATTGGTTGGTGATTTCTCTGTTCTCACCCCCTCCCTCATCGCTGTCAGACTGCATAAGTAGCTAGAGGGAGTGCCTATTCTCCTTTGGGGGGCTGTCCAGTAAATTAGGTGTTTGGGAAAGAAATTATAGTGGCAATTGTTTATACTGACCATAAGGCCTTACTCACTGTTGTGGAGGGCGGAGCTGTATGAGAATGTGCGAGGAAGAAGCCCAGAGAAGATTCCTGTTCTCCCGGTGAATGTATTTGAGCTGGTTTGGAGGTGGGCTAGCTTGCTTGGAGTCACACTTATTCTGATAGAGATGAGCAATCTGTGTGGAGCACCTGGGCAGGTAGTCGCCAGCCTTGTCCGGCACTACCCTAGCAGCCGCAGCCAGCCAGGCTCCCTATTTCACATGCATTTCATTTGCAGGCCGTGCATGTTTTTAGGGTCATCATGGGCTGAAATTGCTCTCTCGATATCTGATCTATCATTTACTAACTCGCTTCTATATAAGCCTTGGTGACTGGGTCCAAAGGTTAAGGTGTTGAAAACAAAGGCCCGAGTCTCAGAATGGCTTCGTTCAAATCTGCAGTTCATTTTCAGCTTGTGCAGTCTTCTGTAACGCTAAATGCAACTAGAGCAGACCCTAGCCAAAGGGTAAAGTGGTAGGACAAAGAAAGGAAAACAAGAGTAAATATGTGACTGTGACTATCCATAGATCATGAGTACATGAGAAGTGCTATCAAGGATAAAGAAGGGGATGAATGTTAATTAAACGAGGATCTGTGGAAGATCGTGTGCATCTTGTGGTCCCATACCTCGTCGTAATATAAGCATCCAAAGTTTTTCTCCACTTAGTCCTTGTGAATATCTCTTTTGTTGTCATTGGATGCCTTTACAAAAGTCACTTGGACCTTATACGTATGCCCTTATCAAAAACTCAAGATCAATGCTCAGCAGACTCCAGCTTTGAGAGATTCACTAGCAGCAAGGCATGCATCAACAGTCATAGCTTTTGTAGAGCAGATATAGAAAGAGGAGCTTTGAGAGAAGTAGCTGATTTAAGTATTTGTTGCAAATTTTGTCAAAAGGAGAGCAAACGATCGATGAAGCTGGGGATCACTATGTGAGGAAAGAGACACATACTTGGCAAGTATGAGTAGTCCACCACTTAACACTCTACCAAGTCTCTCGAATGCGAAGTTTGAGTAGACATATGTCCTGCAGTAGATTGATATGAGACTGAAATGGCAAGGACAAGGAAAAGACATGCACTGGCACGGTTGCAGGATCTTGGAATTTGAGCTGCTTCTGATAGAATCGGCTATATTGTGATAGTTAAGGCACCCCCTTGTGGGCACCTGTTAGGTAGGAAATGCGTAGGCAATGTGGCGAGGTCTTTTCACTAGGGGTTCACACAGCAATCAAATTGAGGCCTAAAGAACTATTGTATCCTTTCATTTCGATGCATTATTATTATTTCAATATATATACACTGCTTAACTATTCAGCTGCAATAACATTAAGGATATATTTTTGCCTTCGTTTCCATATTTGGGGCGTGAAGCGCATCTATCGCGTCTCAAATCGGCATGAGCGCTAATACTCTATCTTTCTGTTAAACACTGTTGGTTCTAGCAAAACAGCTGCGCAGCACTCCACAACTCCACAGCGCGTGTTTATATATTCAACAAATACTGGCGCAATCACCTAAAATACTCCTCTGGTCTTGAAGCAATCTCTTCTTTTTTAATCTTCACAATCAGCGCCATATCTCTGCCGTCTTAGAGGACAGAACCAACAAGTCCGATGTCTTCCAGCTAGTCGTATAATACCACCAATGCGGCACTCTCACGAGTTGATCTGTTAGGGCCAGTCCCTCACATAATGTCTATTATACCAGGTATACATAAAACTCTGTGAGTCCGACCGTCTACGCAGCTATATGGGCCACAGCCGTTTCCAGTCAGTGGGGAGTGGTCACTCCTTCTAGCTGTTGCAACCAAAATCCACGATCAGGCGAATAATGAATTTGCCAATCTCCTGTCTGGTCCCGCTTGTTCCGTGTGACTTGTTTTGTGCCCTGCATGTGGGATGAGTGAGAGCATTTGGTTTCTGTGTTAGGTTCGCTCAGCGTGCTCGATGCTTTCAGACGCGCAACTTCTGCATCAATCAAACGAAGTACGTCGCTCTTGTCAAATGCCCTTACCCTGCCTCCATATAAGATTTCGTCCACGACCAGATCCTGAGGCCACAAAGTATCGACGAAGTCTCTCAGTGTGAATCGTCCGCGGCGAGAGGTTCCTAGCCTGCCAGTGGCACTGGAATAGTGCTGGAACTGCTCTACACATGAATGAAGGAGTCTTATGTCTCCCCAATTTGGCCCTTGCAATCGCTGCGACTCGTGACTCTCTCCCATTCTCACTCTGAGCCCGAATGCTTTGGACGGCGGAGCGTATATGAACCACAAGAACTCAACCCGTGAATCCGCGCCTTGGACCAAAAACCCAACAAAAGCGCTCCACTGCGGCTCCAAAGGGAACCCGTCGCGTAGCATTGCTGTATCCGCAATTTTGATCCATAACGTAGTTATATATGACAACCATATTGAACTTGTTAGCGGCGGGGGGTAGGAGCCGAATCTATGGAGAACTGGGGCAGTAAGAAGAGACTCATTTAAAGGTAACCACCCTACTTTCACTAAAGCGAGAAGACGTATACCCAATTTACAATGCATCCTCCTTTGGAATCTAAAGAGTTCTTTTACCATCCAAGTCTTGAATTCTGCAGATCGAATCCATGGAGGGTAATTCTCGAATGCCCAGCCAAGATATCTTGGCCACCTTGCAATGTCACAGCATGCCAACTGTATCAAGGCGTTGCCATGGCCACCTGCGAAGTGCAAATCACTCAATTTTGAATCGATGAGCGGCGTACCTGGCGGAAGGGGACCGTGATGATGCCTATGAAGAATGAGCTCTTCAAGTGCAAGTACCGCTGAGGTAAGTATAACAACGTCATCTCCACCATTGGCCAATACGCCATCGAAGAGGTCCATGATGAGCTCAAGCGGACGGATGCTTCCGACGATTCCCGTATGCCACGAAGGGACAACTTGGGCCGCAGCATTGAAGCATTGAATGATTAGGGAAGGTCCTGAAACGGTTTTGATTGGACTTTGGCCACTTTCCTGGAAGAAATCGTAGACAGAGCGGTGCATGAACAGTAGCTTATGGCCATGAGTCATGATGCTGAGAACTGATTCGTCCTTGAAGGGAGTGCTGGGGGGAGCAATGTCGAGGAGACCTTGACATAGGCTTGGAACTCGCGATATGAAGCCATCAACCCTTTCCTTGGCCTTTTCCAGAGTAATTGGGGAAATTTCGGAGTCAGGGGAAGCTTTGATGCAAGTGTCGAGACAGTCTTTGATGAATGAGTAATGGAAAAGATTGAAACACTCATGTCCATCCCGAGTATTGAGTGATGCTGCAACCGCGAAGACTGCAAATGCCTCGGCACGATTTGCGGATCTGACCCTCTGTAAAATCTGGGTGAAGAAGCTCTCCAAGTCTTCTGACGACAATCTATCCATAGTGCGGTGGAGAGTTTCCAGGGATTGCCGGTCGTCCAACCCGTGCCAGAGCTCGATGATAGTTAGGATCACCCAGAGGAATACCCCTTCGGCTTTTTCCACGACTGATCTGGTGAGCTTCTGTAAATGTTCTTGAGGGGTCGACGGAAAATTCTTGCGGAGACGTGGCATAAGGCGATTCTCAACCAGTGTCTCGACGTCTTTATATGTGATCATGTGAAGGCGTAGCCTCAACTCTGCCGGAAAGGTGTTCATGAACGGATTCTGTTCTCGGCTGGAAACGCAGGCCTTCACGTTTTCTTGTCGGACCCAAGACCAGATTAGCTCTGCGACACCGAAGCCGGTAGAGCCATTAGGACAGCCGTTGTAGTCTTCTAATTCGTCTAGTCCGTCGATGAGGAAGAAGAATCGCATATCTTTGGCTTGGCCTTGACCGGATCTAATGCGATTAAATGCCTCGAGAATCTCATCAAATGGGATTTCGGAGCTTCGCAGATCCCTTTGTCTCCCAGGAGCAAAGTCGCCCGGTTTCCAGCGGCTAGGAAAAGCCATTCCCGTAAGAACAGGCGATTGCTCGAGAATCGAGTGAAGCAAGGTTCGAATCAAGCCCTGAAAACTTCTCTGGTACCGATTCCCGGCTTTCCATGCGTAGAAAGTAGCCGTGATGAGCTGATTGCCATTGGCCCATTTCTTGAGCTGAATTCTTGACGCTTGGTTGGAATCTGGTCGAATGGCTTTATCGATGAGCTTCATAAGGGTGGACTTGCCGCTGCCTGGTTTGCCGACGATATGAAACGGATTGGGCAACAACTCTTCCCGACCACTAGCCAGCCAGTCCTTGAAAGTGACTTCGTATGTACAGTCGTTGTAATTTGTAATATGGTCACTGTCGATCCACCATTGAAAAGTGTTCGTTTCGGCGTTGTCTACAGACTCCCGCCTCGCATCCATGCTGTCGAAGTACAACTTATCCAGGATCCACGCTCGGTTCCTTTCCTCAAGGACGGTCTCTGAGAGGCGAAGAGAGTTCACAAGAGATTCCAAATTTCGGAAGTTCCTTTGAGATGTTTCACCCAGGTCGTCCAAAATTTTCCGGATATCGTTTATGTGTTGTGAGTCGTCCCCGCGCATGTCCAAGCTGCTCTGGATCTGGTTGAGCCTTTGACGAAGTTCTGGTCTGTGGTGAATTAGTCTGAATCCGTCATGATTATGCTTACCTGAAATTGAGAATAGCACTTACCTGAACAAATCATTTACGCAACGTGTGAATTCTTTCTCATGATACTTCCACTCTTCTTCGAGAGCTTTCATAGCCGATGCGGCCCACTTCAATTGGATTCCTGCCCTGATAGCTTTGTACGTGGCTTTGAAAAAGTTCCCTTCATTTTTGGCTGGAGTTTTCAAGTCTTTGACAAGATTCGAGAATTTCTGCGTAAGCTCATTGAATGGAGATGTCAAAGCCAGCAATCGAGCGCGAGCTGCTTCTTCTTCTGGGGTAGGTCGGTAATTTGGCGGAACTTGGCGTTTGATCTCAGTTTGCAGCGACTTGTTAGCTCTTTCGATTTCAGTGCTGAAGCGATCGAGATCTTTCGTGGTTCCAGACTTGTAGAAATCCTGGACGATTGTGTAAAAACCCGCAACGGCCTCCGCAAAGCTCAGAATAGCGGAAGCTGTCCCGATGATAGTATAAGGATCCAACATGATTGCCCTAGGGTGTTCTCGTATACAGAACGGGTAGTCAAGGTAGAGAAATCAAATGGTTGGAGACGAAGGTGCAGAAGTTATTGAAAACAGTTAGGAAGATGAAATTTGTCGAAGCAGAAGGGGAACTGGCGGCCACGCTGGCAATGCTCAAGTGGCGAGCATCTTTTAGCACAACTACTGGGGATCGCAGACCCGGCCCGCATAACATGCTCTGTCAGGAGAGGTGCCACGCAGGTATTAATACTTAAGCAAGCACTGGCATCGGATAGGATTGGAACAACACTCATTTGATTGGATGCCTCCGGGTGGATGTTCAAAAACCTGCATAGCATTTCCTGCAAGCCAACTTCAGCTTTGTCTAGATGAAGTGCTGATTTCAGCAATGGCTGGCACATGGCTGGCTAAATTCCACAGGATGCTCACCGCCCTAAGGATTAACACAGCAGCTAATCAATTGCCCCACGTACTGAGTACAGTCAATGTGCTGTATTATTGTTTCGTCCTGTCCTCTAAGGTTGTGTCCGCTACGTGGAAGCCCCACTTCACAAGGGTTAGGGTTCTAGCCTGACGTCAACCGCCAGAAAAAAGAAGACGCTGAACCACACGCCGAGTGAGCTTTTACCCTCTTCGGACCTACGAACTCCCAACTTGTCGCGCACACACAGGGAAAAGAGAATGGCATCACCACGAATACCAGCGCTGCGCAACCTCCTCAGCAGCCACCTGCGCGCCCTACGCGCCGGCAGCCAGCGGCGCTGGGCCCAGGTGCACGACGTACGCTTCCTCGCGACGACACAGGCCTCGCGTACGGTCCTCGAGAAGTACCGCGAGAAGCTGGACGCCAAGGCGAGGGAGGAGGGCCACGGGAACATTGAAGAGCTGAAGAAGGCCTACTCGGACAAGATACAGGAGATTCGCAAAAAGGATGGGTCGGTGCCGGGGATATCATCGCTCCTCGACGACCAACAAGATTCCGCCGCCGCCGCCGCGGCGACGACGACGACGACGACAACAACAACGACACCCCCACCTCTACCAACCTCACAGGGAAAGAACCTACCGTCGTCAGGATCATCCCCCAACACAGGCATCAAGCCCCTCTCCGAGATCCTCGACCTCCCCAAGGCGCGCGAGCTCCCCCTCGCCGAGCTCACAGCCATCTGGCGCCTCCGCCACGCCAGCAGCCCGCACTCGCTCTGCGCCGTGATCCCGTACCACACCTACACGGCGATGGAGAGCCTCGCGCGGCGCCACCCGCAGTTTGTCCTCCCCGTGCCGCACCCGGAGCAGGGCGCCGAGATCCATTTCCTGCAGTGGACCTTTGACCCGCCGACGGGCACGAGCACCGTGCTGTTCACGCAGCTGGCCGAGTACAAGGCGCGGGGCGAGTTTGCGGCGCCGCACACCACCGTCACGCACCACCTTGATCTGGCCGCGGACAAGAAGGTTGTCTTGATGCAGGGGCAGGTCGTTGCGGATAGGGGGGTGAGGCCTGAGGATGCGCGGTGGCTGGTGATGTGCTTGCAGAGGTTCTACGGTGGCTGGGACGGGGAGGGAAAGGAGGAGCTCAGCAAGGAGAGGGAGGAGGAGAGGCGGAGGCTGCTGGAGTGGTTTGGCGCGGGAGACAGCCGGTTTAGCGTCGAGAAGCTACTCGAGGAGTCCGAAAGGATGGCCTAGACGGCGTCCATGTGCATATGTATCCGAGAACGAAAAGAGCAACATTGTGTTTGGGATGTCCGCAATGCTTGGCTATATACCTTAGAGGTCTATATATAGAGATAGAGAGAGCTCTATGCCAATTCTACAACGCCGAAAGAAGGCCACACCACATTTCTTATACGCCCTACCTTTCAGGAGGTGCGCCGTCTCCGCGGGCTCTACAGTCTCGGACCAGCCTTCCTCTCTTCCTGCTTTGCCCTGTCCCTCATGATCCTGCGTAATATCTTGCCGCTCGGCGATTTGGGCACCGCATCAATGAAAAACACACCGCCGCGCAGGCGCTTGTGGGGAGAGACTTTGGGGGCCATCCACTCGGCGATTTCCCTGGCCTTGTCGTCGCTGGCCTGTACGCCGGAGTTGAGGACGACGTAGGCACGTGGCAGCTCAGTGGCCTGGTTGTTGTCGTAGACCCCAATCACGCAGACGTCTGCGACGTCGTGGTGGCCTAGTAGTAGGCCCTCGAGCTCGGCTGGCGGGACCTGGAAGCCCTCTATCGGGGTGGGGGGTGATCAGTCAATGAAGCATGCAGAGACATAGGAAGAATATATAAAAGAGTAAATAAAAAAATAAAAAAAGGAAAAGAGGAGGGCACGGAGTAATGGCCCTAAAGACTTACTATACTTGATCAGCTCCTTAAGCCGATCGACACAGTAATAGTTGCCGTGCTTGTCAACCTTGAAGATATCTCCTGTCTTGAACCAGCCGTCGGGCGAGAAGGCTTCCTTGGTCTTCTCAGAGTTCTTAAAGTAGCCCCCAAAGACATTTGGGCCCTTTAGCCACAGCTCGCCCTCCTCATCCGGGGCAACCTCATTTCCCTCGAGGTCGACGATCATGGCCTCCATGTTAGGGACCAGCTTCCCGACGGAGCCCATGAACTTGGCCCACTCATCTGGCATCTGGACATGCGTGACGGGACTGGTCTCGGAAAGCCCATAGCCCTGCTTGACAGGCAGCCGCAACCGGCCCCAGAACAGTTCGAGAAGCTCGTTGGTGAGCGGTGCGGCGCCGCTGTGCAGCATCTTAAGGGACGTTAGGTTGTACCTGTCGACAGCCGGGTCCTTGCCTAGGGCTAGGACGATAGGCGGTGGGACGTAAGCGAAGGTGATGCTGTTGTCTTGGATGATGCGGCAAGCCTTCTCTAGGTCGAAGCGCGACATGATAAAGAGCTGCCAGCCAGCGTAGATGCTCATGAAGACGCAATTGACGAGACCGTAGATGTGAAAAAAGGGTAGCACACCCAGCATCCGATCGCCGGTCCCGCCTGGACCGCCAGACGGCCTGAGATGTGCACCGTCCATCTCGCCGTTCTGCAGCATGTTGGCCACGATATTGTAGTGCGTGAGTCGCACCCCTTTGGGCATGCCAGTCGTGCCAGAGCTATAGACGAGGAACGCCAGGTCGCGCCTCGCCCGAACTTTCGTCTTGGCATACCACCCCGTATATGCCGTCGGGCGCAAGGAGCTCCACTGTCTCACCTTTCCCTCCGGGTCGCCGCGCCCGCCGAGCAGAATGATCTTGTCCTCGGGAAGCCCAGCCAATGCCGCAGCCTCGCGCGCCCGGTCGAGGAAGTCAGCATGAGTGGCAAGGGCGCGGGCGCCGGAGTCGGTGAGCTGGTGGGCAAGCTCGCGGGCGGTGTAGAGCGGGTTGGCGGGACAGGCGACGCCGCCGGCCCAGAGGACGCCGCAGGTGAGGACAGGTGTGTCTACGTCATTGGGAGTGTAGAATGCGAGGACGTCGCCGCGCCGCCAGCGCCAATGGGCCTTGAGGCCGCGGCCAAAGTCAGTGGCGGCGGTGCGGAGCTGGGCGTGGGTGTAGGAGCGGTGGGGTTGCTCGCCGTCGATGAAGATCTGCTTGGTGTCGGGGACGGGCTGAGAGGAGGGGCCACGGGCAAAGAGGAAGGTGAAGATGTCCACCTCTGGGATGGGAATGGAAGGGTACAGGGACTTGTGAGGCATCTTGAAACAGTGTCCAGAGGGTGAGGGTTGTCAAGATGGGCCTATAGGAAAGAGCGGGAGACCAAGAGGGAGAGAGAAAGAGCCAGTTGACAACTGCTAGGACCCTCTCTATACACCGTGCTTTCCTTACGTGGATGACGTCCGCTTAGACGCGGGCTCCGACCCGACGTGGCGGGGGAATGCCGAGCGCGGAGACATGCAGCTAAAGATTATACTTACCCCAAACTGCCCAATTCCGCGATTGGCCTCTACTTACAGTACTATATTCTTTGCGGGGTCTGACGATAGCTGATAAAGCCTGCTGGACGCTATCTGTGAGGAGTAGTAATTGTGTTTATGACCGAGGTGAACAATAAACACCTAAACGCAGACTTGTACGAGTAATGTCGCGAGTATGGGACACAGAGATCGCACCTCTAGGTATACTGTATGTTTGTAGAAGTATGTTTGTAGAATAAGTTTCTTGAAACTGATATCCATGATGAGCGCCGTGGTTCCGACTGTCAATCTGGGAATCTCGTCTTGCCCCTATCGCAGCGTTTTGGTACGATTCGTGTAAGATGATTGGCCAGGCTATAGGTAGCCATGCGAAAAGGTGCCTTGGAAGAGATCTTAAGCGACAAACCTCCTCCTCCTCCAAGTAGCCAGAGGGTCATTCAAGTGAATTCTGTCATTTGATTCGTCTTAAATTCTTCTTTTTTTTTCATTGGTAATCATGATCTTCCCTACAGGGACCACTCATCAACTTGTGCATTTGCTATGGTAAGAGACACGAAACAAGCAGGTAACCGAAAATCCCATCCATCCCCTTAGCAAACCAGGAATCCGTACCTCGCTTCGCAACCGAACCTTGAGGTGCAACCAGTGTTCGAGCTGGCTTGGGAACTCTCTTGTTTCTGACCTGACCTGACAAATCATCTCGTCTCAACCCTTCAGATCGACAATGACAAAATGTGATGATGATGAAGGAAAGAAGGGGTCATAAGGCATAGCGGCTGTCGTCTCAACCTTAATGCCAAGCTTAAACCCTGGCCACCTGACAGCCAGGGGGGTTTCGGCCAGGAGCCCCCTTTCCTCTGATGCACCACCCTGCCCTCCTCGCTCCGTCGCAGGTCGTCGGCCTTTGCCTCTCTCTCTGTCTAGCTAACCCTTCTCCTCGAACACCTAGTCGACATGTTCTAGACATGGGCCCCCGGGTGCAAGGTCTCAAAGTTGGCTCCATCATCAGATCATCGCCATCCGAACCGTGCGCTTAGTCGTTCAGGCGGGCTGGAGACAGCACTCGGACGAACTTGGGACCATCTACAACACACTCTCCATGGCAGGCCACAATGAAAGTCTAGTCTGCCAACCAAGTCCACAAGAACCGACCGCCAACCGCGAATTGAATCTGCCAGACAGACAAACCCGAACCTCATTCTTACATAGTACATTACAATACTGCTTCCCTAGACCCCGCAATTCCGGAATCTCAGCAGCCGAACTAGGTTACATTTAATATGTCCTGACTGAGGCTACACCGTACCGCCATGCCCCCCAGAACGGCAGCACATCCCCCCCACCTTCTTCTCGACCCCACCCGCTCCCGCAGATCACTCACCAAGTGTATCATCAAACCACCAGCGCATAAAGGCTCAACTCCCACGTTTACGATGCGTTCTTGTCGTCCACCACGGAGTCAAGATCCCAGTGGTGATCACCTCGCTTGCCATGAGTTTTTCGTCGAGGCCCTGACCCTTCTGGGCGGCTGAGCCCTGATCGACAGCCTCTTCTTGAGACGAAGGAGATTACCAACGAACCTCGGTCATAGGAAACCTGGGACGCGCCGGTTCAGACACCCATACACACACGCACACAAGCGCCCTGTTATCCTTTTTCGAGGAGGCAAGTTCCCACCTTAGAGAGACGCGAGCCCTCAAGGCCCTTGGCTAGGAGGTCTTGGAAGTTGTCCCAAAGATTGGTTTCGACGACGCCTCAAGGCTAGCTTGCCAAGAAATCATGTCTCCATGCCATGAGAAAGGTCACGATGATTATACTATAAGATCAACTCCTCGCCCGTGGTTGAGACAGATGATGATCACACTTCTTTCATTCAGCCGCCATCTCTCAACCGTTCATTCCATTCCATCTCTCTCTCTCTCTCTCTTTTCTCCTCACAGCTGTGCTGTCGAGCTTTTTTCAAACACGCCAGTCGTTCTCGCTCTTGAAACCACTATATTTTATTACATACTGTAATATCAAAACCTTTCTTTATATACGGACAATATGTATTTCAAGGCCACTGTCCTCTTCTCCCTTGCGGCTTCGGCCCTCGCGCTGCCCGCCAGCCAGGGCAAGGCGCAGAAGCGCGCCGGTGTCTTGACCGCCTCGAACTATGCAGACTTCCAGGTCTCGGATGGTGTCGGCGGCAATGCCCTCGCTGAGGTCAATGCCAAGTTCCCTGTGAGTACCAATGCCCTCCCCTAATGATTCACAAACTCGGAACCAATTTTTCTTTTCGGTCCCGGCATACACACACAAACATATTCTCTCCAAACAAAGATGTACAGATAAAACATGAAACTAACACCTACGTCCTCTCAGATCGATACAAGCGACCTCGCCAACGTCGACCCTAACGACCTGGCCATCATCAAGGCCGCCCGAGTCACAGCCGAGGACGCTGAAACCGACACGGGCGGCTTCGACGACGCCATTGACGCGGCTTCCGGCGCCACGGCCGACGCCCTGAGCGTGGGAAAGACCAAGAACAAGGTTCTCAAGCTGCAGCTTGAGGTCCTGGGCCTGCAGATCGACCAGGCTCAGTCGGGCACCGACAACACCGCCAAGATCGCCGCGGAGCAGACTAAGCTGAACACCAACATTGCTAACGATAAGGCAAATGCGGGACAGACGAGCCAGAGTGTGGACTTCCAGGGGACTTCGGATCCTTGAATGACGAAAGAGGGAGAACAGTCATGCTCACCCTGGGTGGAATGGGAATGGGATGAGTTGAGAGGTTGGCCTGACATGAGGGGGTTTCTTTTCTTACAATCCTCCGTATTAATGACGAAAGGGGTTTGATACTCTGTATTACGAAAACGAAAAGAGTACCAATTATTCCCTCCTATCCCTCCATTAACCTCCCTTCACAAGCTTCTTCTCATCCCTGCCCCTCGCCGTGTACAGAGCCTGTGCCTTGTCGCTCTGCCCATGAATCTTCCTCCCCTCGATGCGCTCGAGCGAGTCTTGGATGATCCCGATATGACCGCGCAGTGTTCCCTCGAGCTCGTCCATGCGCGCCTCGTGTGCCTCGAGGTTGTAGTCGTGGTGAGACTTGAAGTAGATGGTCATGGCGCCGAGGGCTGTGAGGTTTGCCGTGCACAGGATATTGGTCAGGGCCGGTGAGCGGAGGAGAGAAGACATGACTTGATATGTGAATGGAAAGATGGGCAAGATGCTTCGGCGATCTATATTCAAAATGGAGTTTATAGACAAATGAGGTTTGTTTTGCAGTCGGCAAGGTAAGCGTACGAGGGGTTGACCCGCCCACATGTTGACTGCCGTGCGCAGCGAGTCGGAGACGTCATTGACACTACTAACTAGCCTTTGGGTGCCATAAAAAAAATACTGAAAATATGCATTTTTGATTCGAGTTCATGCCTGCACGATGATGATGATAATGATGAGAGATTGCAAATCTCTTCGAAGCCCACAATGGTATGGTATAAATCACCCAAGCAAGAGATGACACACCCATCATCCCCTTAGAACATATCCCCATCAAACCGCCTCGCGGGCGCGGCGCTGTCCAGGTTCAGCTTCGACTTCCGCTCGTCCAGGCTCTTGACCACGGCGCCGAGGATGGTCTTGACAAGGTCATCACTGGACAGCGACCCGGGGGTGCCAGACCAGGTGACGGTGTCGACGATATCCCTGGTGTGGGCCTCCTTGCACAGCTCGTCGTCGAGATACTCAAAGTTGCGCTTCTGCTCCGGGCTGGGCTGGCCGATCTGGAACAGCTGGATGCCGATCTGGTGCTCGGGCACGCGCAGCTCGTCGAGCATCTTGGCGGCGGCGACGAGTGGCTTCTTGACGTCGTCGTCAAAGGCGCCGGCCGTGATGACGATCAGGTTCAGCGCGGCGCCGTCCTCGTCCACCTTGAGCTTGTCCGTGTACCACGACAGCAGCTTGCCCAGCCGCGCGCCCAGGTTGCACTTGCCGCCGGGCCGCACGCGCCCGAACAGGGCCGACACGCCGTCGGCACCCGCGGCGCGCCCGCCCAGGTGGCGGTAGCCGGACTTGCGGAAGGACATGCTGGAGAGGAGGCCCTTGGGCCGGTGGTTCAGGAAGAAGACGTCGATGCCGTCTGGGTCGTACTTGGCGCACACGGGGGCGATGCGCTCGAGCAGGGCCTGCACGTCGTTCCAGTACGGGGCGATGTGCTCCGAGTCGTCCACCAGGAACATGGTGTCGAAGCACCGCAGGAAGGACAGCGTCTCGCCGTAGTCGTCGACATTGACGCTGACGGCCGCGGACGGGTCGGAGGGGGGTGCTGGGGCGGGCCACTCGTCTGCCATGCTGCTTTTTGTGTATATGTGCGTGTATGCAGTGGTGTGAATCCTGAGACGGGTTTGGTATAGTAAATGAAGGCAGCTGGACAGTGATGATTGGTATGATTGATTACATGAGACCCTTGTTCTTGTGGTCCTGCTGGACTTGGGCGGCGTCGTGTAGAGTCTGGTTTGGGTGGTTCTAGAGGTGGTGGCTTCTTAACTGCTGAGGTATGATGAGGTCAACAGTCCTGGGGGGAGGAAGCGTACAAGTCGCCCACGTCTGTTCATTTGATGATACGCTGCGTACAGGTTGGGGTTCTGCAGGCCATGTGTTGCATTGATGGTACAGCGGTGAGGCCACTCGACTGGACCCATATTATACAACCATCTCAGCGGCAGCCCGCAGTGATGTGGATACTCCCCTCCCCTCCTTTAGCTGCGTCTTGTCGAACGCCTGTAGAAGCCCTAGCCTCCAAGGTGAATTGATATATCTGACAAAGAATGCGGTATGTAAAAGTGCTAAGTGCTGGATACTTTTATAATTGTCATGCCGGCGGCCACTTTTCTTTTATTTTCGACCGGAGAGATCACAGGAGTTATCAGCAGCAGGAAGATCTCAGAGCTTTGCTTCAGAACATTTGGGTTTGAGCGACAGTTTACAAATCCCATGGAGGCAGCCAGAAACTGAAACATCACAGCAGAAAGCTTTACCTGAATACTGTGTTTTCAGTGTATCGGGAATACTAAGGTGAAGAAGTGCGTTTGACCCTGTAGTAGACTTGAAAACTAAATTGTGGCTGAGTGGCTGAGGCAGCCTGCCAAGAGGAGAGAGGCGGCGGTGCATGCTATCTGGTACTGGCTTGACACGGCAAGTCGTACACTAGATCAACTGACGTAATGGGGGTTTGACCCATCTAGTGCCAGGCCATGCCACGCCAACAACGCGCCAGGGGTGGAAATCAGGGAATCTCCATGTCACTCACCATGAAAACCAGAGCATTCTCATAAATACTTGATGTAGCAGTTGTCTTTCTTTCATACACACAATCTCTCTCTCAACGGTCCATGATTGTCCGCCTGATTGCTACGAACCCCTCGTCTCATCTCTTTTTGAATCAACACGCGTCTCGCAAGCCAGCAGCTGTCTGCGTGGTCAGAAGCGTCTTGTTCTGAAACGGGCTCAGATACAACGGCCGCCAATACTTTTTACAGGCCTGATCAGGAAGGGGGCTGGACTGACTACGCACGCTTGTAGCCACTTGATTTCGACCGCATCACAACAAGAGAAGCAGCAGGTTCTCCTTGATTTCAACCTCATCACCTTTTCTCCTTCTTTCCACAGTCGGAGAAAAAAAGGAAGGAAAAAAACTCTCCAAAAGACCATCGTTTATTTCCGAGTCACCCTCACACACCGCCAAGATGTCTCAGGCAGTGGTAAACATGCTCGCCAAAAAGGTGCTGAGCGACGCTGCTCAAAAGAACATCAACGCCAAAGTATGTACTCTTGACCCCTCAATAGGAACTCAATTACTCACCTTGTTGTAACAGGATCCCTTCTTCGAGGAGGTCAAGGTCAACGATCGGCACGGAAATGCAAAGGTCAAGAAGCAGAAGAAGGGCATCCCGCCAGGAGTGTCGCAGCATGATGCCAAGATCCTCATGTCCGTCAGGAAGCGCGCGTACTGGCTCGACCTGAGCTTGTTCAACCTCTGCGGTATCCGATTTGGCTGGAGCGCTGTCATTGGCCTTTTCCCTGGGTGAGTGTGTCCTTTGTGGAGGGGGATTTCTAAAGAAAGAAAGAAAAAGAGAGGCACGAAAAAGCTGACCTCAATCACCAGCGTCGGCGATATCATAGACGCCATCATGGCATATCTGTTCGTCTACCGCAAGGCCATTCTGGTTGAGGGTGGTCTTCCCGGCGCGCTGCAGTCTCGGATGCTTCTTAACATCGCCATGGATTTCGGTATCGGTCTGGTCCCCTTCCTGGGTGACGTCGCCGACGCCTGGTTCAAGGCCAACACGCGCAATGCCTGGCTGCTGGAGGAGTATCTGATCAAGAAGGCCGAGGCGGAGCGGCGCGGCGGCGGGAACATCGAGCGGGGCGTGGAGCAGATGCTGGATGGACCTGCGCCCGCGCGGACCAAGCCGGGACGCCATGGTGCGGGTGAAGACATGGAGATGGGGGTCATCAATAATGGACGATGAATTACTTGACAGGAAGGGGAGAGGGTTCGAGAAAGTGTATGTGCACAGAGGGAAAAATTGGATGGCCATGGTTTAGTGGTGGTAATGTGGAGGATTTTGAAGGACGGCGGATTTCTTCTTTTGTCACCAGTGCAGCAACAATACCTGATACCCAATCCAGCGGGCTGCTTAAGGAGGACGAGGGAGCTGGAGGTCAACGAGTTACGTTCATAGCGCGCGGCTTTTCCAATATTTCAATCTACTTGTAATGATTAAAATGCTAGGGAACAGATCCGTACAGCCAAGTTTCGGGTTGGGAGAAAGTTATTCATCTCAACAAGCACCCGCGATACTCTTTTATGTGTTTCTATTCCATCTATATCAATGTTGCCTTGAACGCCATAGGATGGTGGTGCCTTTACGTGGCGATGCTATCTACATTTATAGTGTGTTATAATGTTGTTCATCCAAAAACAAGTCCTGTGACCTCGTGAGCTATCCGTATATGTTGCTCACGACGGTCCGAATCCCCTTCCCAGGGATGCTTTAATAGCCAGGATCCAGCCCTCCCCATCTACCCCAGACAAATAAGAAAAGAAAAAGAAAAAAGACCTCAAAACCCCATATCGACTCTCAATTAACGAGTCGACCCCCCTCCTTCCTCCATCCTCCTTCACACCCTACTTCATCAGCTGCCCAAACTCGTCATCCGCCCCATCCGGCCTAGGAACCTCCGTATGCGGTACTGCTTGGGCGGCTTCATAGGCGTGCGGAACGACGCGGTCGACGATGTGGACGGCCTCTCCGTGGCCTTGATGAAGTGGCCGATCCCCATAATGGCCTCGTCGACGCCGTGCTCGCCGCGCCGCTTGGACGTGTCGACCTCGAAGTAGGCGCACCCCCAGAGCTGCGCCAGCGCCTTGGCCTTCTCCCTCTGGGCCTTCATGTCCGCCTCGGCGCTCTCGTTGAAGGCCGTGGGGGAGAAGTCGCCCTCTTCTAGCTCTGCGTCCACTCCCACGCTTCAGGGTCAGCCGGGGAGAAGACAGGAGAGAGAGAGAGAGAGAGAGAGAGAGAGAGTGTGTGTGTGTGTGTGTGTGTGTGAGAGAGAGAGAGAGAGAGAGAGAGAGAAGAGAAAGAAAAAGAAAGAAGGTAAAACAAACGCCGCTTCCCCCCCTCTACCTTACGCTTTATCTTCCCCAAGCACAGTAGAGTTGCAGATGGTGGGGGATAAAAAGGAATATATAGGAAGAACTTGCCCGGTGGGACCGACGCACAGAAAAAAGAGAGACGAAAAAGGACGGCGGAGAAAAAAAAAAGCAACACCACTCACCTTGCGGGGGCGCCAGGTCCCCGTCGCGGTTCCCAATGAGGAAGACCGGCACGTTCATGCCGCCGTCCCTGTCATACTCGCTCATGGTGACAATGTTGTGGTGGTTGCGGGCCGCGCGCTCCACCTTGTCGTGCAGCTTCTGGGTCGTCTCCAGCGAGCGCGGCGAGTACAGGCTGAAGACGAAGGCGAAGGCCTCTGCGTACTCGATCTGGTACCGCAGCATGGCCTGATCCGTCTCGGGGCCCAGCTCCAGCAGCTCGATGTTGACGGCGGTCCCGGAGATGTCCATCAGCTTGCGGCAGCGGTCGTCATGGTCCGCGCCGGTTGTGCCGGTGGTTCCGGCGGGGTCGGGATCATCGACATTGATGAACTGTGGGGGTGAACGGAGAGGGAGGAGAGCAAGATGTCAGTTACTCAGTGAGGGTGTGGGCGGGGGGGTACGTGTGAGATATGCTGGAGAGGGAGAGGGCGTGTGTATATGGAGTGTATCTGTCTGTATGTATGTATGCAACAGTAACAGGAAAGGACCGAGAGCATGAAGTGAGAGGAGATGAAGTTGAAGAATGGATTCAAGAGGACAGACCTTTTGTAGCACCTTGTCCCGGCCGGCATACTCGTCGTCGTCTGCACATACGACAATGCTATACTCCGGAGGCTCAATAAGAGAAGGCAGGTCGAGGTATGTCTTGCTTCCTAGGTGACCCGCAGTCAGCCCACCCTTGTCAGCGAATCGTCTGTCTCCTCCTCCGTCCTCTAGGGGGGGAAAAAATGAGCAACGACTCGAGGCAGAGACAGACTCACACTCACCTTGTGATAGTCTCATTCTGAACAAGATCAACGGCCACGCACACAGTTTCTTTCGGGTCAAGGGCACACACACCACACTTTACGCAACAGCTTTCATCCACCGGGGACCTGATTGTGGTCTCTGGGGGGCGGAACCTATTCACGGGCCACCTTTCTTGACCGCCTCTTGAATTTGCGCCTGTGTCCTCTCTGCGACCAAACCCCCCCTTTTTCCTCCCCTCTTCTATTTCCCCCAAGCGCAGCCAGTTGGGAACAGGCTGACACAGCCCCCAGTAAGAAATTTCGAATGCGAGACCACAATTAATTGCAGGCCTCATTGGACGTGCCACGCGGCTCTCGCCCTGTGGGTGCTGTGGATCCACACACAGCTGGCTGGAGGCCGGGGTGTGTCAATGAAGTGCTCAGGGGCTTAGTGGACTGAGAAGTGCTAATTAGGGTTTCCGAGCCCCCTGGCAGCCGACGACTTCAGATGTCACTGCAGCTTGTTGTCACGCTGGCTGTATCGTAGGAGGTATGATGTTTTCTTCTTTTTTGCTGAATTTATATATGCCGTGCGATATTGTAAGAACTCAAGAGAAGAAAAGGGAGAGAGACAGAATTGGTGGCTGCTGCAGTCTCTTGCCAGCCATCGATCCCAGAATTGGCCCCAGGAGCAGACTTGTGCGACGTTGTAAAGATGCAGAGGTGTCCTCATGTTCTGTTCCACAGCAAACTTTTTTTTTGATACACATATCTTGAGCTTCGAATGCTTTAGGGTCGGTCAACAACCATGGGGAGGCCAGCCAACCTTACCAGCGAGGGAAGTCCGTCCTGATCGAAGGTCAAAGTTCGGACTGTGCCCGGATCAAAGATGGAGGTGCAATTGGATTGCAGAGCCATCAGCGTTGAGGCCCATCAATAGTAGCATCCGCACTTGCACTGCAGCTGTATTGTCACTTGGTCCTCCGACAGTTTCATAGGCGAACGTAGGGTCATCTGGGCTCTGCTGGCCAGGCCAGAAGTCCGCTGCCAACTGACCAACCCTTTTTGGACCCTAGGAGATCACATCAATGAAAATTTCACTGAGAACAAGAAGCTCTGCCATCAGGACGCGTCATAAATGTGCAATGCTCGACACAGTCTCAGTTCGCAACGGCGTTCGAGCCTCAGCGTAGATGAAGTGACAATGCCAGGCAGGTTGACAAGAACAAAGGCCTCATCTAGCCATTAGGGGACCTGTGAAGTCGTCAAAACAAGCCTGATCGCAAAACCTTCTTGGATACCAGAGCAACCAAAAAATCCCTCGCAGCAGACGACCTGGTTTCAAGCTGTCGAGTTGTGGTAGAGTGGTAGGAGGTTTCAAGGTTGAGAGTGTGCATGCCTCCTACGATGGTCGCGAAAAGAAGGGGGAACGAAAAGAAAGAAAGAAAAAACCACAGCCAAAGTATAGATAATAGATGATTGGTAATTCGATATGATCATGAGTCGTTCAGTGCAATACTGAAGATGATCTATCAACTTGGTCGGGACTGATTGTTGAAGCTTTGGGTAAATCATACCGATAAGCAGCATTCCGACACCCGAGATATCACCGTGAGGCGTCCCGCCAGGCTGCCCTTGAGCACAGCAATCTTTACCCCGCGGTCAACCCCGCCAAGCAGCACAGCGTCATAAATCTTTTAGGCGTGACACTAACAGCTCCCAGTGAGGCTCTTCTACCGTTGCTGATACTGAAGCTTGAATACTTGCCGGCATCGCTAATGAGGGAGAGATTAGCAAGAGGATAAAAGAGCTGCCGTCGAGATCCCCCCACATTGCCGCAGCTTGCCGCAACCAGAAGACCTCCGATTCTACGCCGGTTGAACATTATCATAACTCTTGACAACCGTCTTCGAACCAACAACGCCACCTCAATCTCCTCCTTCTCCTCATCTTGCTCCTCGCCCCTCCTCTCATTCCCATACCTGGCTGCCTGCACACCTCGAACCTCACACAACTGCTCTATAGAACAGGATATACAGCACACACAATGGCCGCAGCTACCGCTGGAAAGGTGCGTTATCTTCTCACCCTGTGCTCCCGCTGCCACGAGCTCGTGAAGCTAACAGTCATGATGTGACAACAGACCATCACTTGCAAGGTTCGCATGACCACCACACTCCTTCTCCTTCCACAAGACGACCATTCCCCAATATTGACACTGTTTTGACAGGCCGCCGTCGCCTGGGAGGCCGGTAAGGACCTCGTCATCGAGGATGTCGAGGTTGCTCCTCCCAAAGCCCACGAAGTCCGCATCCAGATCTACTACACCGGTGTGTGCCACACGGATGCCTACACGCTCTCTGGAAAGGACCCTGAAGGAGCTTTCCCTATTGTCCTGGGTCACGAGGGTGCTGGCATCGTCGAGTCCGTTGGTGAGGGTGTTACAAACGTAAAGCCCGGCGAGCACGTCGTGGCACTCTAGTAAGTACTCCCTTGAAAAACTCCCCCTCGACCCTATCGACGCTGCATGAGCTGAAGGGGTATTGCAGCACCCCAGAATGCCGCGAGTGCAAGTTCTGCAAGTCCGGCAAGACCAACCTCTGCGGCAAGATCCGCGCAACGCAGGGTAAGGGCGTTATGCCCGACGGCACCTCGCGCTTCAAGTGCAAGGGTAAAGACCTGCTGCACTTTATGGGTACCTCGACCTTCTCGCAGTACACCGTCGTCGCCGATATCTCAGTTGTCGCCATCCCACAGGAGCAGGCCCCCATGGACCGCACATGCCTGCTCGGCTGTGGCATTACCACTGGCTACGGTGCCGCGACCATCACCGCTGGCAAGGGCGGTATCGAGAAGGGCGCGAATGTGGCCGTGTTTGGCGCTGGCTGCGTGGGTCTCTCAGTCATCCAAGGCTGTGTCAAGAACGGAGCTTCCAAGATCATCGTGGTGGATGTGAACGACTCTAAGGAGGAATGGGGCAAGAAGTTTGGTGCGACCGATTTCGTAAACCCTACGAAGCTCGCCAAGGGCCAGACCATCCAGGACAAGCTGGTTGAGATGACCGATGGTGGCTGCGATTATACTTTTGACTGCACTGGAAACGTGGGCGTTATGCGGGCTGCCCTCGAGGCTTGCCACAAGGGCTGGGGAGAGTCCATTATCATTGGTGTCGCCGCTGCCGGCCAGGAGATCTCTACAAGGCGTAAGTCAATGCTCGATCCTTCTGCCCCTTCATCCGAGACAACGAAGCCCTGTTGGAAGGGATAGCGCTGACAATACTACCCCAACAGCCTTCCAGCTGGTCACCGGACGCGTGTGGAAGGGTTGCGCGTTTGGCGGTGTCAAGGGCCGCAGCCAGCTTCCAGGGCTTGTCCAGGACTATCTCGACGGCAAGCTCAAGGTCGACGAGTTCATCACACATCGTCAGGACCTGTCCAAGATCAACGAGGCCTTCCAGGACATGAAGGCGGGTGACTGTGTGCGCTGCGTCGTCACTATGAAGGAATAAAGTAGCAATCCTGGACAAGAAAATGATTTATTTGGCTTACACAGTTTATGCAAGATGAAGAGAGAGCAAAAAAGTTTCTGATGAAGCCATGGAGTTGGTGGTGTGTGCGAGTACTGTATCAGTGATGATTGGCTGGCGGGTGCTGTACTGAACTGGATCGAGACCAAATGAGAGTCATTTGATTGTATATGGCCATATGAACGGCAAGTGTTTTCCAGTGAGCTCATGAGAATCCTTACAGAGGATATTTGTCTTCCCTATGGGACATTCCGCAACACGGAACCCTTGAAAGAACCTAACAGGTTGGGCAGGGTCATTCCACCTGAGCAAAAGCCACCAAACACAGCCTCTTGACCAAGCCGACCGGAGCTGGTGGCAAGTGTCTGTGGCCCTAAATATAAGCACCATCTACGGGCAAGAAGGCGTCGTCTACAAGGTCTACAGTGCTTGGAGGAAAAAGATCCAGTTTTCCCCCATCTCACCAGCCCTACTTCCTTCTACCACCCCTTCCCGCAACAATCACCTGCCACCGCACGCAAACTGAGCCTACGTCTAGCAATTCATCAGCCTACAGAACCTACGTTGTCTTGCCTCTTCTTCAGCCACGTCTCATGTTTGCCCTGTTCCCTTGGCTCCCCATCGAGCTGCGGCGCATGATCTGGTGGGGAGTTATGCCCGGCTACGGCATATATCCCGTGTTCTGCGAGAAGATATGAACAAAGGGAATAGTGTAGTTTGTATGAAAGTTGAAGGGACACGAGTATCAATGAAGGATATGGCAAGGAGGAATATCTGAGCAACCATAGACTGATGGGGACAGTACTGGGCTCATGGGCAGACATTCAGAGCTCAGAAAAGAGCAGCCAGGCCATGTACTCGCTGAATATGGAGCGAGGAAGTAAACGTGCAGTAGCAATTCTCAATTCAACTTACAAATATCAACCACTGCTTGCTGATTTTGTGGCCGGGTGGGATCGTAGTGTCAAATGCTAATTTCGGTGTCTCGGCCTGGCTGCAATGCGGGCCTGAATCTAACAAGGAAACCTGTATAATTAATAGTCAGGCCCCAAATGCATCCCTCAGGCGGTACTGTGTCAGCTGATGATCATCTGAGAATCCAAAAGAAGAAGAAGAAAAATTCTACTCTAAGGTATTAACCCTCAAGCGCCTTTGCCAATTGCTTTCGCAAGCTGATCACCCACACAATATCGCCTATTCAAAAACATGTCTCGAGCTTGACCTGGCCTGTTCTGTCATGACCCGCCATGAAAACACCAAAACACCTGATTCCTGCATATGCGGTCCACCTGGCAAATAATTCAGCATCACGATATGGAGCTGGTGGTGGTGGGGATGATGACGATGAATCGCATCTCGACTTCCCGGAGGCTATCGGATGTGACTGTGTGCCATGGGAGCATGCTTCATCATGGAGGTCGGCTGAGCCTAGCAGGACAACTTGCTGTTGCCATGAAAAGTTGTAAAGTCGACCCAGCCGAGGAGATACGCATCCACATCGTGGCGGCTGTCGCCCAGGACGCTCCAGGACGCTCCAGGCCTCACACTGCAGAGACTCACTGACATGTAGGCTCCCCATGTAGAAAGGGAAACCCTTGCGTGGGGATGGAACTCCCTCCGGCTCAGCGACAGAGCAGGTGGATATTCATAGAAAATCTGCTGCTGAAGGCCTGTTGTGGGGACAAATCCTTCCAAGAGCCCAGTGACCAGAGTCCATAGTAAGTCTTGGAAGCAGACCGATGGCGGCGCTGGTCCTCTTAGATCACCGAGGTTCACGAGGAGATTCTTCCTCGGCGTCAATGACGGAACCGAGCAGTTGCAGGAATCTCGTCAAACACATTGTGAGAATCGCCGCGATATGCATGATACCGCCGACCAACTGGCTTATCGATAGTCCAAACAGCTATGAAAGATTGTCCTACACTCATCATGAGACGATGCCGTCCGTCACTGACAAGTAATTGGATCGAACTAGCGCGAATAGAGTGTTCCCTTTCTTCCTCTTTTGCGTGCTCTTGACTTGTTGCAATACTTCAGAGGACCCGAAATCTCCGATCCACCACTCATGTGCAACTTTCCGTTCCTATGGGATTTCTATAAGTGTGGGACCTGGTCAGTCAAGGACCCCGCTCCCTGCCAGCCATGTTCTCCACATTCCGAGGAGACCACAAATATTTAGCAAATGTATGCCTAATGACAGTTAGGTCAGTTAGTTCGTAGTACAGTGGAAAGAGATCGTTCTCTAAACAAGAACTCTATGGAGAATGTGTAAACAAGTAAGCTATGGTAAGAGCTGAAAAGAAGGAAAAGGGGGGTCGGGGGAGGAAACTAGCCTTCGCCATCTGACCACCACCAAGTGGTAAATGTTCCAGCAGCTAGCTTGTTAGTCCGAAAGCGGCGGATGATGATGAGGCATTGCTGGGCGTGTGGCAGTTTACTAAGTAAGCAAGCTATCATGATGCAACGATCGATGGCGACAAAACAGTAACCAACACCTTGGCAGGTCAGGATGTGGGAAATGAGACACATAGCTTCAAAAGATCATCACTTGGTAAACACTCTTCGAACCGTAGTGCATGAGCACTTCGGAGAATTATTGGCGCATCCAGGCAGATAGCATAGATACAGTCCGTACAGAAGGAAGAGTGGGGACTGCATCCCGCCTGCCGTCCTGGCCGGGGGTGGAGGCCCCGCTGCAGACTTTATCAGATCCTGCTAGCAGGTGGACTCCAGCTAGTTAACGCCTCTCCCATGATCTGATAAATCGCTAGCGCCAAGGCCAAGACGTTCATCTTACGGTTTCGGTAGTTTAAAGAGAGAGAGAGAGAGAGGAAAAATTATCAGCTAGGGTCACTTGCACACAGACGTTTTTGGAGACGACCAGAGGGCCGACTAGGCGATGCGTGGGGAACGTTGCAGGCACCCGCTCTGCAGCATCCCCCTGGTTGCAGGGAAAGGTGGTACCTTCCATCCCCCCACTCGAAAGCTAAGCCAGGATCATACAGCTCTTGGCCCTGCTGGCCTGCTCAAGCGCTGCAGGTCACTGCTGTGGTAGGTCGACGTTGCGAATGACGGTAGCCGCTGGTGGGAGAAGAAGAAAATTCAAAAAGGTAAAATCAACAAGTAATATTGATGCGTCTTTGGCCTAGTCGGTACGACAGCAGCTGTCCCTCAGCTCAGGCTCTCAACCTTTTTTCCTATTTAAGGCCGACCGCCCAGCCTGTGAGGATGTCGTACTTTGAGTCTTCTATTCCTCTCGTCAAACCTCCTCACTGGCTAGAGATCGTCAAGACTGCTGCCAAGCGGTCACGCTGCGATCAGTGAAGCGGATACTGCTCATAGGTACGCTGAGGCCTCTACTCTCCCCACCCAATGCCTCTGAGAATGGCGGCAGCAATTGGTTGCACAGCCTTCTCCACAACTGCTGCTCATTTTCACTGATTTCAGGTCCCGGTAAGAATATATACACAGACGCACGTATACGTACACGGCGCAAAGATGGGCTTCCTACATCGAAACAAGCGTCCTCAAGAGACGGAGACCTTTCAGAGGTCCGAGTCTCTAGAGAACAAGACCTCGCCCGAGCTTAAGAATGACATAGAACAACCCGTCTCCGGAACCGACGACTCCTCCAGGGTCAGCCTGGAACAGCTGGACGAGAAGGAGATCCAGGCCCATCCCGACCAGGTCACCGGCGAAGCCGCCATCGGCGTGCAAAAGGCCGAGGCCGCCGCCATCGTCTGGCCGAAATGGGCCGTCTACTGCACCTACGGCTGGATCTGGATCTGCTTCCTGCTGCTAGCCCTCCAGCAGGGCATGACCACCCTCTTCAACTATAGTGCCTACGCCGACTTTACCAAGTCGCCCGAGCTCACCACCGCCGCCGTCGTGGCCGCCATCATCGGGGGCATCATCAAGCTGCCCATCGCCAAGCTGCTCAACCTCTGGGGCCGTGCGGAGGCTTTCATGTTCTTTGTCGGCGTCTATGAGCTGGGCATGATCATCCTCGCCGCCTGCAACGGTCCCAGCTCTTACGCCGCCGGCTACGTCCTGTATTGGATCGGCTACGACGCCCTCTACCTCATCATGGATGTCTTCGTCGCCGACACCTCAGGTCTCCGGAACCGGGCCTTCGCCTTTGCCTTCATCGGCACCCCGTTCATCTGCACCGCTTTCACCGCGCCCCTGGCTGCCCAGAGCTACCTTAACAACTCGACCTGGCGCTGGGGATACGGCTCCTTCTGCATCATCATGTTCTTCGTCTTCACGCCGCTCGCCGTCGTTTTCAAGTTCTACACTCTCAAGGCCCAGAAGATGGGCCTGTACAAGCGGGAGCCCAGTGGTCGTACTACGGCCCAGTCCATTGCCCACTACTTCCACGAGTTTGACATTATCGGCTGCGCCATCCTGATGGCCGCCTTCCTCCTATTTCTGCTGCCTTTCAACCTGACGTCCTCGAAGCTGGCCTCATTCAGCTCCGCCAAGTTCATCGCCATGGTCGTCATCGGCATCCTGCTATTCCCAGTCTTCTACATCTGGGAACGATATTTTGCCAGGACACACTTTGTCCGGTGGCAGCTCTTCCGGAGCCGCACCGTAACCGGTGCTTGCTGCCTGGCTGCCATCCTGTACTTCTCCTTCTACTGCTGGGACCTATACTACCAGAACTTCGTGCTGGTGGTCTATGACCTGGACGTGTCCATGGCCGGCTACATGGGCCAGATTTACAACGTCGGCTCGACCTTCTGGGGTGTCCTGTTCGGCATCTGGGTGCGCTACACCAAGCACTTCAAGTACACGGCCTTGTTCTTCGGCCTGCCCCTCATGTTCCTCGGCGCCGGCCTCATGATCCACTTTCGCAGCGCCGACCAAGGCATCGGCTACCTGGTCATGTGCCAGATATTCATCGCTTTTGCCGGCGGCACCCTCGTCATCAGCGAGGACATGGCCGTTATGTCTGCCGCCGACCGCGATGGGGTGCCCATGATGCTGTCCCTCATTAGCCTGTCCGCCAGCATCGGCGGCGCCATTGGCTATGCCGTCACCGGTGCCATCTTTGACGGCTCCTACTCACAAACCCTCCAGGAATACCTGCCCGACGAGTACAAGGCCAACGCCACCATCATATGGAACGGCGGCTATACCCTGCAGAAGACCTACCCCGTTGGCTCTGACGTCCGCAACGCCATCGACAGGGCATGGGGTGTCTATGAGAAGCAGTGCTGTATCGCTGCCACGGCTGTGCTGGTTCTTGCTATTCCTGCCATTGCTGTATGGAAGAACTATAGTGTCGACCGTAAGCAGAACAAGGGCGTTCTGATTTGAGATGTGGTGTGGTCGCCATCGAAACAGGGAGAGAATAAAAGGAAAGGAGCAACCTGGAAAACGAGGGAGATATGCGGGTTTTGGTAAGGCTCCGGTGGCACAGCTGACATCTATCGGCCAAGGCCCAGACGACTGGATGAGTGGGATAATGGCTATCTCATGACGCTTGATAAACATCTGGAACTTTTGAATAAAGGCAGGTTGGGCGTGAACATTTCATATAGGCATTTTTTGGAGAGTTAAGCATGGTCGGAGGATTTTTCGGATTTTCTCTTCTCAATATCAGTTCTCTTCTTCTATACCCCGTTACACAATCATTTAAAATTTAAAGTTTCACAGGAGGCATTGAATTACTTATGAAGCTCTTTCTCCTAGCCCATTGTCGCTCAAGTCGAAGACTGCCAAGTGGTGATGAGAACTCACACCACACCAATTTGGCCTCTTGTACTCTTGTAATCTCACCAATTTCCTCTCAGTTCTCACACGTCTGCACTTTGTGAAGTCTACTCGAAACAATGAGTCCTTGACGATTTTTTGGTCAAGGCTCCCAGAGCGGCCTGCTGGATTTCTGCTAGCAGTGAAGAAAAAAACGAATTATGCTTACCCACGAATCCAGACTCTGGATACATGCTCCCATCAGCATCCAAGTGCTGCAAGAGACCCCTGGTAAGTACGAGCCATGGCTCCGCTTACAAGGGGGAGAGCTGCAGTGACATGGCTAAGCTGAGCCGCAGCAGCGCATGCAACCCATCTCATGTTTGCTCTGACATGCAGTCCATCGTATATGAGAGCCAGTGCACGTGAGATGTTTTGGAGGATATTGAACGGAAGGACGTTCTCGTTATAAGTCTTTTTAATTAGCCCTTTCAGGCTGCGGCGAGACCAGCTGGATGCGGGTTTCGAGGGTGTGCGCACGGCAGAGGGAAAGACAGAACGGCCCTGCTTCGTCGCGCATTCCGCCATCATCTCACATTTGCCCGCCGCTGCCATGGCTGTCGGGCTGGAAACGGTCGCCATCTCAGCAGCACCTGGGTTCTCGTCTGCTACAATCGCAATCTCGCTGGTCTTTCTCGCTTTCCTCCCCTCGCAGCTATACAAGTTGTACAGATCTCGGCCCAAAGTTCATCCCAGCTGGCACGGGCGCTCCAAGCTCGTAAGTTTCCCAAAGCCGCAAGTAACAGCAGCAGCAGGGCATACAGACAAGCGCAGAAAGACTCACATGAATGCCTTCCCCCACCTAGATTCTCGCGACCCTGCTACCAGTCATCATTTTGGTCGATATCATCCGGGATGTGCAGGCTGTGGACGAGAAGGGGCCCTCTCCAGCTGCGCTGTGGTTCTCGCTCATTGCCGCCAGTGCATTATGCTGGCTCATTGCTGTGGCTCACATAAGGTCTGTGGAGCCTTCGAGCTTGGCCCTGCTCTATCTCCTGGCCAGCACTGGCTGTGACATTCTATGGGCTCTCGCTCCTAGGTCGCGCAGTTCAGACGACCCGGAAACTGCTCTGTCAACAGCCCTGTTCTGGCTCCAGATTCCTGTGAAGCTTACACTGCTCGTTTTGGAGAGCCATAGCAAGGAGGCGATCTTGCTTGCAAAACACAAGCACCTGTCTCCAGAGGATACGGCTGGTCTCGTCCAGCGCGTGCTGTTCTGGTGGGTCAACCCCATTCTTGCACGCGGATCCAGACAGATACTGCAGAATGAGGACCTTCCCCGGATCGGACAGCAGTTCTCTTCCGATGGCCTTCGACGAGCGATATTACGCGCATGGCATCAGCGAAGTATGTCATTATACACAAGAATAGAGACGGATGAACTTTTTACCAGGGCAAAACGTCTTGAGACCCTTGGCTGACAACCGCATAGAGAGACCTGAGCGGAGCACAACACTGCCACTGGTCCTTGTGCGCTGCCTCCAGCGGCCATTTCGAGCGGCTATCGTGCCTCGTCTCTGTCTTGTCATCTTCCGATTTGCGCAGCCAGTCTTGATCCAGCAAAGCATACGCTTCGTGTCTCAGTCGCACGATGAGGAGGAAGTGGGTGTCAGAGTCAGGGGTTACTGGATCTTGGTGGCAGCATTTTTCGTCTATACCGGTCTAGCAGTGAGTACAAAGGATCACAGGGATATGTACTCCAGCAGGCTCGATCTTACTGACTCGACTGGTCGAAAGTTCTCTACCGTCTTGTATCAGCGTGCTCTGGCAAGGCTCAGGGTGATGACGAGAGGCGCTCTCGTCAGCCTCATCTACGCAACGCTACTGAATGCCTCCAGCGACGTATATGATACCGGCAAAGCCGTGACGCTCATGAGCACAGATGTAGATAGCCTCGATGATACCTCGGAAATGTTTCACGAGCTGTGGGGCCATATGCTGGAGGTTCTGGTGGGCATGACGGTGCTCTACGGCGAGGTTGGCTGGCTCTGTACTGTGCCTCCAATCTTGATCTTCTGTAAGACCATTGCCCAACCTTTTTCTTTTCTTTCTTAATGTGGATGGTTGAACACTATCTGACGCCGAGATGATCAGTCTGCTCACGTGTGAGTAAATATGTTGCTCAGAACCTCAAATCACGGCAAAAGAACTGGACTTTGGCCACCCAGGACCGGATTGCTACTACAGCGAACATGTTGTCTTTCATGAAGTCTATCAAGATTCTTGGTCTTTCCGAAGCTGTAGCCAATCTGGTCCGGGACTCCAGGCTGTTTGAGATGGGTCAGGCCAAGAAAATTCGATGGATGATGATTTTTTATAATGCCAGTGGTTAGTATAATTACCTTACGACACAACCTGTCCTGTGTTGTTACATGCTACTCTCATACAAGAAGTTGCACCACTGACCAACACACTCCAGCAAACGCTCTGGGCATTTTCACCCCGGCCATCACCATAATTCTTTATGCCGTGCTCGCAAAGGTCCAGTATACAACGCCGCTTGATCCAGAGACAGCGTTCACGACTATCGCAATATTGTCTATGGTTACACACCCCGCCAATATGGTTATGACTATTGTCCCGCGAGCCATTGCCTGCTTGGCCAGCTTCGAGCGCATCCAGAGCTATCTCATCAAGTCGACGAGGCACGACCCGCGAACAAGCCTCGAGGACACCACTCGTTCGCCTGGTGGTAGGCTGCCGGCGGTCAGACTTCGAGGAGTCACTGTCGGCATTAAGCAGGGAGAGATCCCCATTCTCCAGGACATCAATGTCGAACTTCATGCTGGCCAAGTGGCTGTCTGTTCTGGGCCTGTTGGCAGCGGGAAATCGGTCCTGGCCAGGACAATCCTAGGCGAGGTGCCCCTATCCGAGGGCGCCATCCAGATCTCTACCCAAAACATTGGGCTGTGCTCGCAAGCTGCGTGGCTCCCAGACGGGACCATCAAACAAGCCATTTGTGGACCGACCAATCTCATCGACGTTGTCCGCTATGCAGAGGCTGTCAGGGTATGCTGCCTAGACTATGACATTCTCACCCTTCCGGATGGCGACAGCACTGGCATCGGCAGCCGTGGTATAAATCTTTCTGGAGGGCAAAAGCAGCGTCTTGTAAGTGCGCCCCTCGAGATCTTGACCACTATTTCAGACAGGCTAAGGTGTCAAGGCGCTCGCGAGACTCGTGTACGCTCGATGCAGCGTGGTGATCTTGGACGATCCGTTCAGTGCACTCGACGGCAAGACTGAGATGCAGGTGATTGAGAATCTTCTAGGACCACAGGGCATTTTCAGGAGGGAGGGGACGACGGTCCTTTGGATAAGCAATAGCGGTCAGTCACATGTTCGGTTTCTATACTGACCCGTTTTGATATGTCGACTGACGTCTCTGAATAGCACAATACTTCACCCTGGCCGACCATGTCATCCTCATGGATAGGTTCAAAATTATAACCCAGGGCCCTTGGATACAAGTTCAGTCCCAAGTCAAGTATGAGTTGACCCTGGCCCAAAAGACCACAGGCGATTCGGCAAAGGCACCCGAAGCAGCCGGCGTCGCTGTGGGCCTCCAAAAGCTGCAGGGTCAGGAGCGTGCTGCGCATGATATAGCGCTTGACATCAAGAGGAAAGCTGGTGACCTCTCACTCTACGGTGAGCAGTATTATTCTTTTTGGAGCTCTTCTGTTCTGTGGAGCAGAGTAGTTCATGTGCACAGTGGCTCCATGTATTGTAGGATCATTTGGATCACTGATCAGCTAATGACCTCAATTTCCCAGGGTTTTATATAAGTCATACTGGCGTGATCAACTTTTTCTGCATGATTGCGAGCACCATGTCATCCTCATTCTTTGTTACCTTTCCCAATTACTGGCTGAAATGGTGGACCGAGGCGCCTCCATCAACATCTGCCTTCTATATTATCGGATACGTGCTATTGGTCTTGATGGCGTGGATCAGTGCGAATGGTATAATGATGTACGTTCAAACTCTATATGCACTTCGTCATAGTAGAAAGTTCTCGGACTCATTCACTGATTTTTGCACGCAGGTCCACAATGTTGCTTGTGGCCGTGTATTCGGGTCTAAATCTTCACGAACTGCTTCTCGCAACGGTAGTCAAAGCACCGCTATCGTACTTTTCACTCACAGAGAGTGGGACTCTCCTGAACCGGTAAAGTAAAATGTTCTTAGTTATTCCATGAGCACCTGTACTAATAATTCGCTCAGATTCAGCCAAGATATTCAACTTGTTGATAAAGACCTGCCCAACGCTGCCCAAGCCTTGAGCGTTCGTAAGTCGGAGTCTTGCAAATTCAAGAAAATGCTTCGATGTGTGAAGTAATCTGACAACGATATGCACAGAGATATTCAAGCTCGTCGTTCAGATGGCTTTGCTTCTCACTGTTCAGAGGCTGATGCTGCTTGCCCTGCCATTCTGTCTGCTGGTGGTATACGTCGTGCAGCGATTCTATCTGATGACGTCTCGGCAATTGCGGCTTCTGGACCTCGAGTCTCGCTCAGCAGTGTTTTCGTCATTTCTCGAGACAGTATGTTTCTTGCACCCAGCGCTTCTCTCTCACTTTGGCTCCCACATCGCTTGTCTTGTCCTAATCAACCATTCTCCCAGGTTGAGGGTCTCACCACCCTACGAGCCTTTGGGTGGCAGCGCCTGGCAGAACAGCACAGCCTCAACGCCCTGGACAGCTCGCAGCGTGCATTCTATCTCGTCCTATGTCTCCAGCGGTGGCTCAATCTCGTCCTCAACCTGACCATCGCCGGTATAGCGATCACCACCATAGCCCTCGCCATCAACTTCAAGGGGAGCAGGGATGGCGCCTCCATTGGTGTGGCTCTGAACGTGGTGCTCGTGGCCAACACTACCTTGCTCCGCCTCGTGGAGTCGTTCACGTCTGTCGAGATCTCACTCGGGGGAATTGCGAGGCTGAAGGGCATGCAGGAGAATACGCCTGTAGAGGACAAGCAGGACGAAGAAGTGATTCCTGGTTCAGATTGGCCTTCTTCCGGCAGCATTCAGCTGCGTGGCGTCTCTGCGTCTTACGAGTCAGTGGATTGATTTGTTGTTGATTTGATTCTGATGACATCTGGATTGCCGTGGCTGACTTTGTTGTTTATCTAGTGCCACACACAAGGCTCTTGATGAGGTGTTCTTGAAAATTAAGCCTGGATCTAAAGTAGCTATCTGTGGTCGCACTGGCAGGTAAGTTCCTAGGCTATGGCGCCACCATTCTGTGTATCATCGCATAGTCTGCTGACATTGTATCAATCAATATTCAGCGGTAAAAGCACGCTCATCCTAGCCTTCTTGCACCTCGTCGAGTACAGCGGAAGCATCAACGTGGACGGACTGGACATATCCAAGGTCCCCCGCTCGCTAGTCAGGCAGCGTTGCTTCATCTCGATCCCGCAAGACCCCTTCCTTATGCCGCACGCCACGCTCCGACTGAATCTGGACGAGACAGGTGTAGTCCCAAACGCAGTCCTGGCCGCCTCGCTGAGCACCGTGCGGTTGTGGGATCATCTATCCAGCCGGAACCTCGACGACGACCAGGACCAGAACGGTATTCTAGATAGGAAGTTGTCTGTGCTCCCCGTGCTGTCAGCAGGACAGACGCAGCTCCTGGCCCTCGCGCGCGCCCTCGTCAAGAGGTGGATACTATGTCTGGATGCCCATGGCGGCACAAGGGTGAAGCCACCGCTGCTGCTCGACGAGGCCACGGCGTCGCTGGACCCTGTTACCGAGGGCATCGTGCATGACGTGATTGATGAGGAGTTCTCGTGGCGGGGTCATACGGTCGTTATGGTGACGCATAGACCGAGCATGCTGGCCGGTCGGATGCGGGAGGGGAGAGACTTGCTTGTCTTTATGAAGGATGGGCGGGTGGAGAGCGTGCAGAGTGCAGGTGGTGGAATTGGACTCGAGGAGCTGCGGGATCTTGATGAGGACTAATACACAGATCAGGTCGCATGCTGAAAATCGCTTCACTTTTGCGTGTTGCTGTTTGCTTCAACGGTGGTTTCTCTCCCGCCGTGTTACAAAGAATCGATCGGTTTGGTCTAAATTCATTCAATCTGTCGTCTAAAGGCTCCGCAAAACTACTAATTATCGGGTAAATACTTAATGGATCTGGTATGAATTGACCAAGAAATACAAGAAATAAAAGGGTCGGTTAGATAACTCTGAGTCATAATGAACATCTCTTTTGATGCACCAAAACGCACAGAGCAGAGGTCAAATAGCAGTTTTGATGCTTGAGCATGAACGTGATACATTTACAATGACGAAAATAGATTTGAGGAAGAGAAACACGACGACAAAAGAGTATAATTGGAATTTGGCAGGTCACTCATTATGTCTGAGCAAAGATAACCCTCCGTGATATTGCCTCAACATGTGGTACAGAAATGCATATTAATATGGAGAATTAAGAGGGCGTGTGTAGCAACAGCCGCAAGTGAAAACACCTTTTCTAGCCTTTCCTACGATTGATTACCAAGTGAAATCTTCACACGAAGGAGCTTTGACGAGTGTAACTGTGTGATATGTAAGTAATGAGAATCTACTGTGCTTGGACAGCTGCTCCAGCACTGGACAGGTCATCAATTGACAGCAAATTTATGTACAATGAGGTAATAACAGCAGCTGTGGTCGGCCTCGCACACATAACGGACTTTGTGCTTTTCTAACAAAACAGTGAGCATATACTGTGATTAGTGAGAAATCACAATTGCACCTAATGCAATAATCATAGAAAAGCCGAGGGTATAATCCTGAGTCCGTAAAGATGATCACAGCGGAAAGAAGGGACAGACGCATTGAAGAACGAGATTGTTCAGAGTAGAATACGATCTCACGCTGCCCTATCACAGCTCCATAAGCCATGCCAGGTCTCAGCACCCAGCCTTCTCTTCCCGTAATTATCCGACCCAAGAACATCTGAGCAAGTATGGCAACGCCGAGCACAATTCAAACTACAGAAACTCAAAACATCACCACTCTAATCACCGTCCCTACGTCCATGGTGATGGTGTCCGTGATGACCACCTCCCCACTGTTGCTGCTGCTCATGCTGATGATGCTTATTCACCCTGAATACCACATGTCAGCATTCTCAATACCCCCAACAATGTTATGATCCCAGAAAGAGGGGGGCAAAAAAGCTCAAGAATAGGTGGGTGGGCGAAACTCACTCATGCTTTCCAAAGTCCTCAAGCTTGCTCCCTGCAAAAGCGCCCACGCCGGCAGCCAGCAGCGAGCCCATGATGCCCGTACCACCCATCTTGTGAGCCGCGAACCCGGCCGCCGCACCACCTGCGAGCCCGCCCATCAGGCCACGGTCCTCGTCGCCGGGCTGTTGGCCCTGCTGCTGCTGAGCATACTGTCCAGGCTGCTGCTGCTGCTGGTACTGCCCCGGCTGCCCGTACGGCACGGGTGAGTGTCCACCGTATCCCTGCTGTGGTGGTGGGGTGCCATACTGTCCGTCACGGTACTGATCTGGAGGACCGCCTGCATATTGGGGCTGTGGAGGCGGGTACCCTTGGCCCGGGTGGCCGTAGCCTGGGGGAGGCGGGGGGCTGCCACCATAGCCCTGGGGAGGGGGAGGACCTCCGGGATGGTGGCCGTGCGGGGGCTGCTGGAAGGGTGGGCCCTGGTGGTGAGGCGAGGGCGAGCCATAAGTGTGCTGGGGAGGGGGTTGGTAGCCGCCCTGGGGTTGGTATGGGGAGTGCGAAGGAGGATAGCCGCCCTGTTGTGTGAAACAGAAAAAGGGAGTGGGTTAGCATAAGCAAGAGACCTGGCTACTGTTGTTGTTGCCGCGCGAGCGAGCGAGCGAGCGAGACAGAGAGAGAGACAGAGAGAGAGAGAGAGAGAGAAAGGAGGGAGGATTGGGGGTTCTGTGTAGTTTACGAACCTGCTGGGAGTAGTCGGGTGGTCCTTGGTAGCCCTGCTGTTGGTAGCCACCTGGCGCAGGAGACTGATAGTCACGGTTGCCGCCGCCAGCACCAGAGTAGTAGTCGTTGGCGGACATGATCAAGATAAGGGGAGTGGAGGTTTGGTAGGAGAAATTGGCTTTGTTTGTTTGCTGTATCTGTATATTGATGTGGAGAAAAGAAAAGGAGAGAGAGCAAGATATTCAGGGTCCAAAAGTGTTGGTGGTGATGACGATGAGACAGAGGAAGGAGAAAAAGAAGAAGGGAAGGCGAAGCTTGATGACGGTTGGAAACAGCAGCTAGAGTTGTTAAATGGGAAACACAAAACCCTCGCCCCTAGCATCAGGGATGCGGTGCAAGCTTACACATTGCACCAACGCTACTTACACATAAAGTACTATGGTAGAGGCCACAGTCACGGTCTCGAATTGCGCCTCCTGCTCCTCCTCTTGCCTCATGCTAACCCGGCACTGCCAGAACCCTCCAACAACCACATCAAGGGACCATCGGAGGGAAGGATTCGGCCTGTTGGCTAGGCCCGCTGAGAGCTGCTGACTTTGTGCGTCCTTCCTTTGATGCCTCAGCATCTGCAGTCAGCAATGGGCAGCCACCAGCTGAAGCTTTTCTTGGGCTACCTCCCAGCTGGCCTTCAACTCCTCGCGGCACCAAAGGACTTACCCCACAATATGGGCTGAGCTGAGCGTCCTGGGGGGCTGGCGTCGTCACCTCAGAAGTCACCGAACGAGCCGGAGCGATCTCGGGGGTCTGCGGGGACGTGGGGCAATTTTTGCACATCATACCGTAGTACAGCAAACAAAAAAAAAAAAAAAAAAAAAAAAAAAAGCTCAGCCACACAGGACCAACTGAACAAGGTGACAGCGCCACAGAGTTCCGCGTCTCGGTTGTAAGTAAAGCCACTTTTTTGTCTACCCTCGGGAATACTAAAAGGAAAAGAACGAGTTCCGTCCGCTTGTGTTCAAGCCAGGCAGAACAAGCTGAAGGGGAACCCCTGCACAAAACCCAGGTCCGGGCTTCTGCGGCCCAAGCTGCGGCCATCATCGAAGCACCCTATCTATCCCTAATGAGGCAGAGCCTCCTGCCCATCAGCGCTGGAAACACACATACACACACACACAGACACACACACAAACACTGCGTGCCTCCTGCAAGAGAGCGATTCTCATCTTGTCAGTTGTACCGATAAAGAAAGAGAGAGAGTTTGTGTGTGTGTGCGCGTGTGTGCGTGGGGGAGACAACAATGGGCGCATCTTCGGGCCTTGACTGTCAAAATTGAGGGCGAAAAAACAAGTAAATGACATTTCAAAGTCCCCTGCATGAAGAGAATGATGAACGTGATATCGATGTGGTTGAAACAAGGCAAAACAGAAAAAGTCAACGTAACCCTCACTCAAACGTCTGCCGCCCCACGACTTTGTATCATGTCCGCCTCAGAAAGAGAAAGAAACAGGAAAGAATACACCAATCACGACCGACACCACTTGGAAATGTAATGTTACCTTTTCTCCCTTCTCTCTCTCTCACACACACTCTCTCTTTCTTTATTATTCTCAATCAAATTCCATGTAGAGCGATGCACGTCAGGCGCTTTCCCCACATGAGACCGCCCTACCTACCCTGCGTTTCTTCCTTACATGTGTGTGTGGCCTGGTCCCAAAACCCCCACGGGGCAGCTGGTAGGTAGATGGTGCACCCCTGCTTTTCTGTTGTCTTGTGTCAGACCATGCGAACCCGTCCCTTTTCTTCTTCTTCTTCTTCTTCTTCTTCTTCTTCTTTGGTATGGAAAGGAAACCAAGGAAACAAAACCGGTTCAGACCGACGTGGGTGGACGAACGCGTGGGAGAGAGAAAGAGAGGGCATGGGTCAGGTGTGAGTGGGGAAGGGAGGGGTGACAGGAGCGATATTTCCTCCAGTGACAGATCAGGTCTTTTTCATTTGCAATATCGACTCGAGAACAACGGTATAGGTTGAAGGGGGGCGGGGGGGGGGGGGTTCCCCAACCATGGTACATTGATCCGTGGTCCGGATGACAGTAGCGTATACGTGTGCCGTCCCGCGCGCGCGCGCCTGTCAGTATAAAAGAAATGTGGGACAAAAGATTTCTCGACAAGGTAAGTGTGCGTGTGTATGTGAGGTGGGTATCCCTCCTCCTGTACGACAGCCCTGCCAGACAATATCGGCATCAGACGACCCTCTTCAGCCCCAAAAAAATTCAAGGAAACACAAGCAGACAGAAATTGACATCTCAACACCTGCTGCGGCGGTGAGGCTTACGGCCTGCTCCCACACCTTGGATCTGAACATCACACCTTGGCTTGTCCTCGACCGGCAGGTAGGACTACAAACTAGCCACCACTCAGAACGCCTCACTTCTAGTAGTAGGAGGATTGTTTATGATTGTCAAGTTTCCCCTTCCCCCCCCCCCCTCTCTCTCGCTGTATCTCTCTTTCTTTCCTGATCGGGTTGGGCTTTATCGTATGATCTAGTTGCGCTGTGTCAAGAGACAAGTCGGCCAGCCGCGCCGATGGCTGGGCGACAAGTCACACACCTCTCTCGTGATTACGAGCAATCCTTTTAATTGTCGATAATACCACTGTACCATGGTTTCCAACATGTTCAATTCCACCGTCCCCCCCTCCCCCATTTCCTTCATCATACATGTGCACAATTTACGCCTGCAGAATCGGCCTTTTGAGTGATAGAGGCGCACATTGTGCATCTCCGTCTAGCGGATGAAAGGGCGGGGGGGAATGGATTTGTGCTGATGCACTCCTGTACTCAGCGCTGCCGGACTCCGTCAGATCAGGTACTGATGTTCTCTAATCTCCACACAACCGTCAATTCGTGTAGGCGACGTTCACTGCACCTTCATAGGTGAGGTGTTCTTCCTCACTAGAGGCTTTGCCTGCCTGCCTGCCTGCCTATCTACCTGGCTTCTGATGGTTTCGCATTCAAGCAAAAGGTAGGTCCAGGTGCTCAGAAGATGACAAGGAGGTATCCAACCCCGAGGTACTTCACCAGTTCAGTGCTATCCAGAGCCACATCATAAGCGAAAAAGAGATTGGCTCAGCGGACACAAAAGCGACTTCGTCGGCAGTTGTTCCAGGACAAGTCCATGCGGCGATCCTTTGAGAGACTCTCGTATTGATCCAAGCGATCATCTTTCTCTACGAGAAAATTGTAATACTGCCTCGATCGGGGATAGCGGCAACCAATGAAAAGGGAAAAACCACACAAGACGGCCCCATCCCTAATCACGATATGATCGACTGTGGAGAGGTAGTTGGCAATTGAGTGAGCAGCGTGCCGTGATTTAGCTGAGCGCTCCAAGGTGGTGGGACCGGGGATGAGAAATATCGGCGTCGTGATATTGCCAGGCACCAAACATTGAAGGACCTCGAGAGTGAAGGAGAGGAAGACAAGAATAAATGAGGCTGACGGTGACAAGACCGGGTCTTCTAGGAAGGTGGTACACTTCTTGTGTCGATGTGATGAATTGTCCGGACAGAAACAGGAGGCCGGTGAGAGACACCAGGTCATCTTTTGCGTGGTACTGTGATGCGCATGACAGGAAAGTCTTAGTGATCCGATGCTCGTCGTTCGCCTCGTCGGATGAGAGCACCCTTATGCCTGGGTCAACGAACGAACAGGGGGTGCAGACCCCTGCGAAGACCGTTTGACAGTTTCCCGACGGCCATATATAAAGTCGTCGTTACCGACCAGAGGGGTACACCTGGAAAGACTTGTTTCCTCCCCAAGGACAGATCTCGTGCGACAATCACCATATCATCATCATCATCATCATCGTTGTCTCTTTGACCAGCTGCTCCTCTCTCGACGCAAGACACCTTTGTCGATTGTGTCGAAACACTCGTCCTCTGACTCTGCCCCCCCCCCCCCCTTTTTGGGTCTTTTTCACACAAGCACACTCGCTCTCTCACACACACATTTATACAACCACAAACGCTCCTTTCAGCACATTTCCACAACCAGTGGCCTTCCTCTGACAATCTTTTGAATCTCGGTACTCTCTTCCAGGCTGACTGACTGTCTGCAAGATGAACGCCAAGGTCCGCGAAATGATCAACCAGATGAGCGTAGCGCTCTGTCAGCACCATGTCCTGGGATGTCCGAACAGGGCAATGGCTGGCGGGAGGCTCTGTGAATTATGCGCGAAGGTCGGCTGCCAGCACCACGCTTGATGTATCCTCAAGAGACTGCCACTTGGCCCTCATGTCGACAGTCATACCATCTCAGGGGGGCGTATCCAATCTTCTTCTTCTTCAATGAAAGAGTATAAAAATCAAAACACACGCACAAAACCCCAAAAAGCAGAAAATACGAGGGAGAGACGGAAATGGAAAACTGATCATATCACGGGCTTTTGACGACTGATTCTGTGTGGAGAAATCATACCTCTGGTAAGATGGCTTCAGCGTGGAAGGAAGGGGTTTAGGAAAGACCAAGACGAAAAGATGAAAGCAGGAACAACACCGGGTTAGCAGTATGGTGAGGAGAGCTCGAGGAAGTCTTTGTTGTAATTAAGGCTATCATGGCAACGAAAAGTGGAAAGCGCAGGACCTTTTAATGGTAATTTGAGAAGGGAAGACCGAACTTTGGAAGTGAGGAAGGAACCTTTTTGGAGGCATTTTGTGATATTATGGCGGCTGTTTGATCAACCATGCGATTGCTCGAGGGAAGCCTGTTTCTTTTCAATTCGTTCCCTTTTCATACCCTTGGTAGAATAGGGAACAATCTAATAACAGCAACACTTATCATCCAGTATGATACAGCCGCTCGTTGCATTTAGAGAAAATCACACGGTGAAGTCGACCGCGTTGCAGGCATAGCTCCGGGGGGGGGGGGCGCGTCGTTGAAAAATGGCTGCTCAAGTGACGATGATGAGTGGGTTGGTGGAGATAATTCAAGCATGAGACGAAGAGGAAGAAAAGATCTAGGGAGGCTTCGAGACTGCCTCCTTCAATGCATGACACAGACGTACCCATCAGGAATGAAGGAGGAAGCCTGGGGACGGCACCCGCAACGGGCCTCGGTAAGCTGAGCTGACACTGTACAAATAAATATAGGACGATATAGGACAAGGCACAAGGGATGAGGGACGGGCCAATCATCCACACAATCCGTCCATATTGGGAGCACTTGGAGGGGCCATGGCAGCGTGGCAGACTGGGAAATATCACGACAATCAATGAAAGGAAGTGAGCCTGCATCGTATGTGTCTGTGTGTGAAGGAAGTAAGAAGGTCAATGCCGTGTCGTTGGAAGCCTGCTCCTATTTCTCCTCGGGAGTACAAGTCCCCTGTACCCTGCCAGCCATATGATGAAAGATGAAACACAGACTCGGCCCATGTCTCGACTTGCCGTTCGTGGCCGAGGGCATTTACCAGTTCACCGGAAAAAAATCGAGTACGGCCGTATTGTTTCCCAAAGAAAGCCAGACGGCTTCAGAAGATCATGATTTCGTGTCGATTATGTTCACTCATCCCTGAGAGGGAGAAGATAACTATGCAACAGGAAAGCCTTGAGCTGCCGCTCCATCCTAGCTTCATACCCCCTCCTCCTTCTTCTCCCTCCAAAACGAGAAAGATGCGAGCCACCTATCTCTTCCATCCTCTCCCTCCAGACATCTTGTCACGGGCCAACCTTCCTATCCGTCTTTCTCTTATCCAGCGTCTAGAGACTCTAGCCTGACCAAAGAAAAGTCATTGCGCCAGCTGGTGGAAGACAGCCGGTGATGAGCTCAATGGGACAAAAGAAAATGCGAAGCGATTTCGCGAGAGAAGTGAATGATGCAACGTTGGTATCAAAAAAAAAAATAGCCTGTGGCCCTACTCCAGACTCGACCACCACAAAACTCCAATCGGCCCATCCCCTTGCGAATCCAAAGAAGAAGAAAAAAAAAAATCGCTTTGCTGTAGCTCTCCATAATTTCGTGCTGGACGTGGAGGGTAGTAGACATTAAGCCGAAGTAAAGTGTCAGCCTGTCCGTATCAACACGCGAACAGGCCGATTAAGGGGCGCGTCGGGCATCTAGAAGAGCATGGCCACGGCACCCAGGACACTGAGCAGCAGACCACCCTGAACGGCCTGAACACCAGCCGCCGCAGCACCGGTCGAAGAGGTGCTGGCGGGAGCGCTGGTGCTGGTCTCGGAAGACCCAGAGCTGGCGGTGCTCAGAGCGGTCGAGGTGGCCTTGGCGCTGGTGCTCTTGAGGGTGGTGGAGTTGAGGCGCACAACACCGGTGCCGGTGGCGTAGGCGGTCGTGTTTCCAGCAGGGAAGAAGGTCGAGGTGGTGCTGGCGGGCGTGGAGGTGTTGGAGGACACGGCCGAGGATGCCACGAGCACAACAGGGGCGGGGGTCGATGAGGTAGACAAGACCGAGGTGAGGGTCACGGTCTTGGTCAGGGACAGCGTCGAGGTCGTGGTGCCGCTGGTGGTATCCTGAGCGGCGACCAGGCCGGAGCCCGCGGCGAGGACGGTGAGAACGATGTTTGAGATCTGCATCTTGGATGTTGCGTGGAAAGCTCTTGAATTTTCGGATGATCTCGTGGGGCAGTTCGAGGTCTTTTAAGTCTCCAGGTGAAACCAGCAAGCTGACAGATGTGGGTGAGGGATGTGGTCTCTCGATGGGCCGGGCCGCGGTCTGTCGAGGTACGAATTTAGATGGTATCAAACGGATAAATTTATCTCTTGCCAACAGAAGAACGCAACGTCGTCGACGACTTTTTTTTTTGGATGTTGCTTTGAAATGGATGGATTGATTGATTGATTGGTTGTAAGGAGTGGAATGCCGCACGGAGCAGGCTGAGCGAGTGTGTGTATGTTGTTGCGATTTGCGCAAACAAGGTGGCGGTTGAGCGAAGTGAGCGAGGGGGGCGAAGTAAAAAGTAAGTAAGTAGCACAGGCCTGGTGGAGGGATGCGCACTCCCTCTCCTTTTCTATAGGCAAGAATGTTCTCCTCCTCGTCCTCCTTCTCTTCTGGCCTTGCATGCAATTTCACCAAGGAGTGGGTTCTGCAAGGGACGCAGGAACTCCCCACGGGCTAGAGTGGGACGAGATTGAGCCTATGGAGGCACTTGCCTGGGTTGTGCGCTTAGCTGGCCGACCAATCTCCATCAACCTGCGGGCCCAAACGGGAAGGGGCCCAACACGGTGCCATCATAGTAGTGCCATGCCACAGATTATGGTAAGTACTTAAAACACTATGGCACTTGTAGCACATGGGGTTCCCTAGCCAGAGGGGCTCTCTATACTGTCAGCTCCAACACTGCTAAACTGCTGACAATAGACATGCTGAGCTTGGAGACGGCCGTCTGGTCGACCCTACCAATGCCTCCTTCCACTGCCTCCTTGTAAAATGTGCATGATTTTCGTTAGAGCCAGGCGAGGGGGGGAACGTCTCACTCAGATGGGGGCCTTCCCCCCCAGCGAGCGCCTTTTCCAGCGGGCAGAAGAGGTGACCAAGTGCACTTGGAAGGGGCTATCTTGAACCCAGGTTAGACTGGCCGTTGCCCCCACCTGTCTCAGGAACCGGGCCGCCATCATTGGCTGGTCGCCATGAGGCCTGCAGGGTTCCACCCAAGCGCATAAATACCCTGTACCTGAACCTTGCTTCATCGTTGATAGGGATCCTTCAAGTCCTCTCTTCTCTGACATTGTGACAAAAGACACCACAATAGGGTCAAGATTGTGACCTGCACTCGTCACGATGATCTGTACGATGATCCGTATAAGAGCCCACAGTCTTCATTCGGAAGATTCCCTTGCAGCTCCTGCTGCCAAACTGGTTCGTGACAATGCCGATGCACGACCCCTCCTCGACTCTGGTCCCTGATCGTGATTTTGCCTTCTTCACCACCATCACAGAGTTCGTCACCGCGTCATGGACCACCCATGGACCGATTCCTCTCTTGCTGGTATCGAACAACAGAAGAAGCAATTACACCGGCTATGCCCCCGTCCCGCAAGAGGAAGCACGCACATCTCTTTTGGGCTCCCATCGGTGATTACGATTTCCCCACGGGAAATGTGCTACTACAGAGACTGTCTAACCCTCGACCACCCACGTCGGTGCACCACTATGTATCCATAACTATGGTTAATGATCATACTACATGATAACCGTGCCTCTAAGTTTTCAAAGAAGCTTCACTTATGAGGGCCCAGAAATTACACCATGCCGATGGAGACCGTCCCGTCCTGCTTCCGAAAGGGGACAAGAGGCCATGTTTTGCGCACGTATGCAGCCCCGTCGCAATTTCCTGGCGGCACCAACAACCACTCCACCTTCTATCTCACAAACCCAAGCGACAACACTTGGTCCGGGGACATCGTGACAACTCCTGGATCTAGCCTCTCCGAAAAGCACGAGGATTCACTGATCCCTCTGCATCTGGCCACACGCTGGTGCTCTTGACCAATGGGACTCCGGCGACGAGAGGCAGACGAGGGTTCGGAGGAGCGCTTCGCTGCATTTCTCAGAGGCGGACTCATTACGATGATTGGACTCCGCATGTGTTACGCTGGGAGTTGTTTCGTCCACGGCGCAGGCGTAGTCCACGGTGATTGGGTCCGTCCTTCGAGGCCCTCTCGGAAAATGATGGTCCAGGCCACGACACGATCCACACCCGCAGCACTCAGACCTGTGAGACCTCTTTCTGTGCCCATCAATAGTGTCGAGAATGAGGCGCTACCGTCTCCCACTGGCGTGGCGCAGGAAATCCCGGCCCGGTGCATACCTTGGTCCCCATGCGCAATCCACTACGCCTGTACGGTTTGTCCTGAGACTGTGGTACGGAGGCGGAGCGGTGTGAGCATGAGCATGAGTACGGGCACGTGCGTGGGACTCGAAATCCGAAGTAGTGCCACAACCGTATCTGCACGTGTGGTCGCTGTGACACCGAGTGACACAGCCCATGATGGCCATGTCCACGCTCTTGTTCCGACAGAAAGGTGTCCAGGTATCGAGAAACCTCGGTGAGAATCCGCTACCGGTCGCCTGCTCGGCGATTCTCTGCACCACGGGCTGGATTCGCGGTTCGCTGCAGCAGAAGCTCCAGGAGATCCGTTGTCTTCTCAACGGGCTGACGCTGGCGAAGCAGCAGGCCGAGGATCTGGTCGACAGCCCCTTGAAGGACTCCAGCCTATGAAATGAGTGGTGGTCGTCGTTCCCGATCGCCCCTAGAAGATGCATATCCTGCTGCATGAGCTCCCACCCGCTCATGTCTCGCGAGGACGTCTTCGATGAGCCAATCGAGTTGTCGCATGCTGGCAGAAGCTGTGCTGCATCTAAGGCCATGAGGCATTCTTGATTATCGTGGTGAGTGCTCTGTTCCCGCTTGGTGCTCTTTTTGTATTCATTTTCCACACACTTCAGCCTGCCCAGCTCTTGCTCGCAGTCTCACTCGTCTGAAATCTCTCGAAGTCGGGTCTCACTGGTGACACCATCATCCTTCATCTTTCTCGTCATCTGGATTGGCCGAGGCTTGCAATTCCTGTAATTCATGCTTGATGCCTCTCTTCTCGATCAACTTCAGTACTTGGGTCCTATCGAGGCCTTTCAGCTCCCCCTTCACTCTCTTCTTGTCGTCCACCTTAGCCGCACGCCTGCTCTTCTCTTCTCCTATGGTGACGGCAGCCTTCGAAGCCAGTCCCACCCCCTTCATCGTCTCTGCCATCTGGCCCAAATGGTCGTGGATATATTTGACCCTCTTGCCGATGGTTTCCGTCGCCAACTGGTTTTGTCCCGAGTGGACACAGGCGGTGTCATCCGGATGATGCAGGCCCAGCTTCGTGCTACACTCCTCTGAAACGGCGTGCTCGCCCGGGTAAGTCTTCTGGATGTAATCGATAGGGTCGTTGGCTCGAGAGATCGGCTTCGGCGATTTTCTCGTTTGGTCCCTTTGGAGGGAGCAGGAGGCATATGTTCAGCCGAGGCGGATTGTCCCTATTGGTCGATCGTGAAAACCGTTTTCATAAGTGGTGAGCATCGTCTTCTCCAGGAAAGATCTAGCATGGAAGGGAGTTTCAGGCCCTTTTGAAGTTTCTGATCCCAAACACACCTCTGTTCCTGTAGAATTCGAGCTGAAGTCCCGAGCACGTACCATCGGTGCTGCCGCGCGGCGACATCTCTGTTTCGTGCTGGCGATATTTCCTCAAAATGATGCATATCTCACCTGTTAACAATGATACTGCAAATTGTGGTTGTTCCAACCCAAGACCTTTCAATGGACGCTCTCATGGCTCAAAGGGACGTTGGCTGCACATCCCAGCCCTGTGCGCGTCCCACAGCTGAGCAGTATCAAGTGGCCGGAGACTGCTGAACAAGGGGAGAGAAGCCTACCGAGATTCTACTAGATGGCATGAACATTGGATCTAAACAGCTCAGCTCTTCTGAAATTGCGAAGTGCCAGCATTTGGTCGTCTTTTTAATAACTATGATGAGTTGCGACCGTTGAATGACTTCCGACTTGGACAGATCTCAAGACCTGGTCATTAGCTGCTAGTTTGAATGAGTACCAAAAAAAAAACCAAAACCCTCGCTTCGGCAAAACTCACCAGATGAGAGAGATTCAAAGTACTTGAGTAAATATGATAAACAGTTTCGATAATGTTCTCAGGCTACGGATACGCCTGTGAGAGGTGCTGCCAGTACATACAATATGAGTAGCTTCTTTTGATTAGTGATTATAGATATGATGCAATGCAAGTCATGTACGACCACACGAAATTGATACTATTCCGAATTATTTTCTTTTTGCCTTCATTACTCTTCATTGGCTATGAGTGGTAAGCATCTCTCAACTACCCTAGCAATTCCCCAGAACTAACCACTGCCAAGTAACTACAGTATAGGGGAGGCTCAGTGGGGGTCAGGGGTCCGCCCAATACTTCACCAGGACCCTGATAGCTCCTTAGAGCCAAGTCCTCTCTCCTTGTGCAAGCCACGCGTGCCGATCGGGCCGGCCCACCTCAGCACGAGACACCACCACCCCTCCTCCCCTACCTCCCAAGAACGGGCCACGACGAACGGAATAGGACCAGCGAAAGCGTGCGAGCGAACCACAATACACAGGGAGCATCAAGCACTGGCTGCTGAGACCATCACTGCTGCTGGTGTCAGAGTGCAACCACGCCTATTCCTTCTTATTGCCAACGAGGAACGCCGACTAAGCAGCGCGACCCCTCCCCCTACTTGGTCCCCCCTTTGTCCTTCCCCTAAGCGCATCACGAGAAGACATCACCGCCAAGGAGAAAAGAAAGCAGCCCATCATGGCTTCCGAGGCAGCCAGCGTCAGTACGTCAGCAGAAGGCGCCAGCAGCACGCCCGCCGCCGAAGCAGCACCAGCGCCCACATCCACGACGTCCGCTTCTACCCCTGCGTCTTCAGCAGCAGCCGACCCCACGACAACGACAACAGCTGAGGCACCATCCACATCAACACCAGCAGCAACAGCAACAGAAGAAGCAGCCGCTGCACCGGCCAAAGCAGCAGCATCCTCCTCTTCCACCACCACCACCACCACCAAGGCCAAGCCCAAGGGCAAGAACTACAGCATCGACCCGGCGCTGTACATCTACACCTCGCTCACCGCCGGCAACATGCACATCGTGACGGCCACTTCGCGGCTTGAGACGATCCTGCGCGCCAACAGGGTGCCATTCAAGGCGACGGACCTCGCGACGGACGAGAAGGCGCGCATGCTCTGGGGCAGGCGGGCTGGCAAGACGGCCGAGGGGAAACCGAGGCGGCTTCCTGCCCTGGTGCAGTTGGGTTTGGTCTTGGGGGTATGTTCTGTTCCTTGGCTGCAGTCGGCGTTGTCTTTTTCTCTTTCCCACTTTCTGTGTTTTTCTTTCTCATCGGAGACAGACCGGCTAATGGTTTTTTTTTTTTCCTTTCCAACGGATTGTAGGACCTCTCCGAGATCGAGGAGTGGAACGAGTACGGCGAGCTCAAGCAGCACGTCAAGATCTACTACGACGAGTTCACCCAGCCCAAGAAGGGCTCCATCGCCCCCGTGCCCAAGTACAAGCAGCCCGCGAACAAGGAGGCCCACCCCCCCGCGGCCCTCAACCCTCCGCCTCCCGCACCGCCCCTGCCCGACCTGGCCAGGGAGGGCGCCAAGAAGATCGCGGCGGCCGTGTCCCAGGCCCACAGCTCCAAGCAGCAGCTGAAGAAGGCCCCGCAGCAGCAACAATCACAGCAGCAGAGCGTTAAGAGCGTAGCCGAGGAGGCGGCGGAGAAGGCCACCGAGAAGGCCAGGGCGGCCAGGCAGGCCAGGATCGAGGCGCTGCGGGAGAAGGTGCACGGCACCAAGGCGACCGCCAAGGAGGTTGGAGAGGGCAGCGGCGGCGGCGCAGAGCCGCCCGCCGAGGGGATCTCGAAGCTGTCCATCGCGTCGGCATCATCCCCGGCGGGCGCCGGTCTGCAGTCCCCGACCTCGGGCGCATGGGGCAAGGATGCCAGCAGCATCGGCGGCATCGCGGCACAGACCGTCCAGAGCCCCCTGAGCTCGAGCTGGAAACCGCCTGCCGAGACGAGCCTGGCACCAGAGGACACCTTTGCGGGCGCGCGGGTCGCGAGCGCGAGTGCGGACGAGATTCAGCGGATCGAGAGCGAGGAGGCCATTCGGGAGGAGCCAGAGCCAGAGTCCAGCAGTGAGGATGACAGCAAGGGGGAGAAGGAGGAAAAGCAAGGGACTGAAGGGGCAGCGGCGGCAGAGGAGGAGAAGAAGGCCGACGAGGAAGCTTGAATCCATGTCCTTACAAATATAAATTACAAGAAAGAAAGAAAGAAAGAAAGGAAAAGGATTGGCGGTCACTTTTTTTTGTCATAAGTGTCAATACTTACTTCCTCCTCACTCGGAACTCGTTGATGTGTTTACAGCTGCAACCAGGTTTAATGTATGTGAGACGACAGATAGGTAACTTTGTTTGACACGCAAACCCCAGTCAGTGCATGCTGTATACCTGGCCTTGGTACTTGGTTGGTAGGAACATGGCTCACATCTCAGTGGCCTTCAAAGAGATTGCCTTCAAAGGAAGATTTTGTTGGTTGGGGGGGAGGGGGGGGGGGGGGGAGGATGATGCAAGGCATGTAACCTGGTAAACAGAAACTAGTTGCGCAAGAGCAAAGATCCTTTTCGCACAACATGGTAATGGTTTCTTCCTGGTGTGCAAATCCAAAACATATGCTTTTCTTATTTTCATCTTTCTTCCCTGTTCAACACTTCTGTCCGCTTACACCTATACCTAGTCATCATATAAACCCTCATCATCACTACCCGTCCCAGTCTGAAACCCCGCAGCAACGGCCTTGCCCTTTCCTTTATCCCTCCTCGAGAAGACGCCGCCATTCACACTGTCCTCCTCATCCTCCTCGTCGACATCATCATTGTCGTCATCACTACCCATGGCGATGGCTTTGCCTTTGCCCTTGCCCATCGTTGCAACCGCTGCTTTTCCCTTGCCCTTGGCGCTCAGTTTCCCAGCCGATACTCCTCCACCACCACCACCACCACCAGATACCGATCGCCCGGTCATTTGAAGCGGCGCCGGCGTCAGTCTCGTCGCCTTCTTCTTATTCTTCTCGTCGTCGTCAGCCTCGCCCTCACCCTCGCGGCCACCTTCAAACGTGGCCCTGACGCGCTGGTAATGTGCAAGCTCGCCCGCCGACACGCTGGGGATCAGCTCGCGGTGCGCAGCCATAAAGTCCTCCTCCGTGACCATGACGGCGATGTCCTCGGGCGTGGCGTGGTGGTCAAAGAAGTAAGCAGTGGTGATGACGTTAGGGGTCTTTTGTTTTTTGGCCCCGTCACCGGCTGCGGCAGCGGCTTCGGCTGCTTCCGTGTTGAGGCGCCTGATTTTTGCGTCGACCTTGGCGGATTGGCGGGTGACGGCTTTGAGCATGGCGTCGCTGCAGAGAGCGTAGAAGTCTGCACCTGTGTATGTGAAGGGAAGCTTTTCTGCAACAGCGCGGAGGGAGGCTGTTGGGTCGAGGACGAATCTGGGAGGAAAGGAAAACGAGGGTCAGTATAATTTGGATGGAAAGGGTAGGGAGTCAAAGAACAAGGGAGAACAGAGAAAAAAAGAAGAAAAACTTACTTCCTCGTCAAGGCCTCCAGGATCCGCAGCTGCTTCTCATGCGTATCCGACACGCCCAGGTACAACATCTTGTCAAACCGACCCGGGCGCAGCAAAGCCGAGTCGAGCAGATCCGGCCGATTGGTGGCGCCAATGACAAAAACACCGCCGGCGCTGTCCTCACCGCTGGACATGCCATCCAGCTCGGCGAGGAGCTGGCTCACGATGCGGTCCATGACGCCGCCGCTGTCGCCCTGATTGCCACGCTTGGGCGCCACTGAATCCAGCTCGTCGAAGAAGACGACGCACGGCCTCGCGTCTCGCGCGCGCTGGAAGACGCGCCGCACGTTGGCTTCGCTCTCGCCGATGTACATGTTGAGAAGCTCGGGCCCCTTGACGCTGAAGAAGTTGAGGCTGTACTCGGTGGCGATGGCCTTTGCGAGAAGGGTCTTACCGGTGCCTGGTGGGCCGTAGAAGAGGATGCCGCTGCGCTTCTTCATGCCTTTGGCAAAGAGCTCAGGACGCTCAAGGGGCAGCTGAATGGTCTCCGAGACGGTGTCCTTCACGTTGTCGAGGCCACCCACGTCGTCCCACGTCACATTGGGGATCTTGGGTGCTCCGATGGCATCGGCAAAGTTCTTGCGCGCAGCATCAACGGCAACATCGAAGTCGGCTGGTGTGAGACCGCGAGCAGAGGGTCCGCCTGCTACCTGTACGTCACGGATGGTAGTTTGGCTGTGTAGGGGGGCGGTAGTTGTTGTGGACTGTGAGGTCAGTTTCTCAAGGCGAGACTGTCGTGCTACGAGCGCTCGGTCGACCACATCGACGAGATCTCCCGCGACCAGGGCGGCCGTCTTCAGCGCAACACTGCCCAGGTCGACGTCAGGATCCAAGTGCAGGCCGCGAGCGTCAATCACGTTCTTCAGAATGGCCTCTCGCTCCCCTTCATCAGGCGCACTCATCTCAAGCTCATGCGTGAAGAGACCTCGCACTCCATCGGGCACCTTGTCAACTTCGGTAGTGGTGGCGATGAGTACTCTGGCATCAGCCAGAATCTCCTTCATCGACGAGACCATCCTGTCAGCCGTGAGAGCCTCGATATGCCTGATCAGCAGTGCGCAGGAAGCAGGGCCACAGCTCATTGCTCGTTCGGCCCTGCTCTTCAGGAACCCTTCCGTCTTTACATCGCTGCCGCCCGAGCCCGCTTCGTTTACGATATCGTATGCGTCCAGAACAAACGTGTGAAGGCCAATGTCAAGGCATGCATCCGAAGCCACAGTGGATTTTCCAATGTTCCTCTGTGTCGACACGAGCAGGATTGCAAGAGGTGGCATGTTGAGGTGTATGGCTCTCTTGCTGGTCGCGGCCGCAAGCAGCTCGCGTAGCCGCCTGCGCAGCGGCGAGATTTGCATCCTCTCTGGCTCCAGCACTGCAATCGGGGAGGGCTGGAGAGCTCTGTCTGGTGGTTTCTTGAGACCCAGGTAATACCCCCACGTGTTGTCCTTGATCCCAGGTATGCGGCTTGTGACTGATCCTGTCTGCTGGAGCAGGGTCATGGAGATGTCAATGCAAGCAACGGAGCCCCAAAGATCTTCCTCGTGGTCCCCATCCTCGGGCCTGTCCTGTCTCAGAGGGACAATGTGGGCGACCTTGAACCATACAACCTCGTCAAGTTTCAGGCCTTGGCCCCTGCTCAGCTTTCTTGAGGCTGCCAGAGACAGAATGTCATTAACGGCAAGGCCATCTGCCTCCTGCAGCGTCCTGCCGAGCTGCGTGTCGATGGGGAAAGCAATCAGGTCGCCACTTTTCACGATCCGCAGCTTCTTCTCAAAGTAGTACTTGATACCAGCCATGACAGCTACCTGCACGTCCCTCTCCACGGACTTGGGCGTTCGGACGTGCCGTAAGGTGACCTCGCGTGCATAAGGCGGTTGTGAGGAGCCCGTCAGTTTGGACAATGGATTCTTGGCTAGCACGGTTGAGCCTCTCTTGAGAGGCGAGATCCGCAGGTAGGGAGGCGACTCGAGATTCGCCAGCAATATGGGCGACGCGTAGGCTGCGGGGCTCGAGGGCTTCTGGAGTTGTGACTCGAAGAACGATGGTCGCCGCCCTTCGGACTTTTTGGAATGGACGATCCTCGTCACGGGCCTGTTCGAGTATCCCTCTGGCAGGCCAAAGACCCTCACAGGTCGCCACTGTGGCTCTTCCTCTGCCACGTCGCCAAAGCTGCCGAGGCCAAAGTGCCCAAATCCGTTGGATGGCGGCTCCTGCGATGCCTCGAGCCTGGCCCAGTCGCCCGAAAAGCAGCCAATCCTGGTAAGATTGCTGATGTCCACATAGACACGAGCCTCCTCGTCATCTTCCGGCACGACTTTCGGATGTAGAAGCTCCGGCGGGATAGGTCTCATGAGGCCCTGTGCCTTAAACAGGCGCCCACGCGGTCTGTCAGGCCGGGCAGTGGTCGCGGTGAAGGTTGAGAAGACCGACCCGGGCGTGCTGACCCCATTTGTCTTCCGCCCGCGGCCCAAGGTCATGGGCGTCCCGGCCGCGATCGTCGAGACGCCACTGGCAGCCGTCGCAGGTAGAGCTGGTGCCTGGAGGGAAATCAAGTCGTCCATCGAATCGTCCGACAGCTCATCCTGCTCGTCCATGGAAAGCTCCGACTCGTCCGTCTCGGTCACGCCGCCGTCGTCGGTACTCTCGGCCTGCATCCTCTCATCATTCTCCGTCCTATATCTTTCCTCAGCAGCCGAGTAGAACTGGTCATTCGCGGTGTCCTCGGCATCCTCGATAACCCCGTTCAGCTGCGAAGTGGAAGAAATGGCGGAGGCCACACGCCCGTTTCGCGAGTGGATGCGTCCGCGGGACACAACGATCTTGGTGGTGGGCGACAGGATGCCCTGCGCAACAGGCTCGCACAGGGTGACCTTTCCGGGGTTCGGCGGCACATGGGTGATGGGGTGGGGTGCTAAAGGCAGCGGGAACAAATCGCCCGCGTGTACAACCTTGAGCGTACCGAGAGCAACACGAAGAGCTGCTTTCAAGCGGTCCTCGGCCGACTGTGCGGCGACAGTGTCCTTGCCCTTGTCCTTGAGCCGGGCTGAGACATCGGGATGGTCCCGAAAGAAGGTGCCCTCTCCGTTCTCCAGCCTCTGTGCGAGCTCACCTTCCAGGTTGACGAAGACGGTGTCCAGGGACAGGGCGACCACATCAAGCACCAAGATCTCGATACCGCTGCGGCTATGGCTGGAAAGTTTGGAGGGCGCGACCTGCTGGAGGCGAGTCGCAAAGCTCTGCAGGGCCAACGACGAGGGCGAGAACTGTACCGTCGAGTGTGCCAGCGCGGCGGACTGCGTGACGGGGACGATGGTCCAGTCGGTGGTCTCGGGCGAGGCATCAGGAGCCCACGGGGCCAAGGCGACGTGTAGAAGAGCATCGGGAAGGAAAGGTTGGTTCTCGTCTTGCTCGCCGTCTGTGCGCCGAAAACCCAAGAGAGATTAGCATTGCAATGAGTGTCTCTGTCTGCCTTTCCATCTCTGGCAGAGCAAGTATAGCAAGGCGCAACACGAACCAAGTCTCAGATGCGGAAACAAGTCAGCGAACAAGTCTTGAGACAGAATACCAACGTCCCCCTTGACATGGTCGTCAAGGACAAGCCTGGCGACCACGGGAGGTTTGTCCTGTCTGCGCCTCCTCTTGCGCTTGCGGTGGGATAAATCGATAGAAGCCGGAGAGGCCATGACCCTGGGGGTCTGAGGAGGAGGAGGAGTGAGAGAAGGCGGGGCAAGACAATTTGTCTCGAGGTGAGTTGACCGACAGCTACAAACGGAGCCGGTCTGAAGTAGCTTGACCCGAGGCTGCGGCGGTGATTTCAGAAGCTCGGGACTTATTGTCTTCTGTGGTGTTGGCGTAGAGCTTGTTGCTGTCTGGCGCCCATTGCGATTCGTCGAGCAGCGAAGAGGGGGGAGAGAAAGAGAGAGAGAGAGAGAGAATACGGCAGCTCGGCAGACGTCTTAGCACTAGCTCTCTGAGTATGCTACGATGCCGACTGGAAGACACAGTCGTCCCAATGGTTTAAGGGTGAGGAGAACGGTCTAGGTGGGAGAGCAAATGGTGAACTCGGCGCTGGAGGTTGAGAACAACCTCGGCAGCAAAGCATAGGCGCGTACAGTGCTACCCACTACACGCTCTAGGGTTGGAGACTAGGGGGAGCCTGGGATAGGCCCGGAAGGAGCACCGTCACAGGGTTAGGGTTTAGGATTTCCCTTTCCTCTTTAGATTTAGTAAGCAGCATTCAACTTTTACATCCACACAAAGCAAGAAAGACTGTACAGTACGCCTACCAGATCCATTTTTATCGTTCATGACATTCCAAGATCTTCAATCGTTCCAAGCGACGCCCCATGACTTGTCTCAGTACACTCAGGAGCCTCCCCGTCTGCAACACCGTGAATAGATCCTCTTTCAGCGATTGATCAGACCAGGCAGTCTCTTTGCCACCGCCTTGCTCTGCCTGCCCTGCCTGCCCTGCCCTGCCCTGCCCTCATGGCTTTTGCTCAGCTCAGCTCGTGCAGACTTTACGATCTATCACCTCTTTGAATAGGATCAGGTGTCAGCTCTCGACGACATCACAAGCTGCCTTGTTTGATCAGGCGTGGTTTGGTCTGATCTTCACATGTCTTTTTTAGTCTCATCCCCAACGGCCCCACACGAGGACGACTCAGCAGCCAATGACTCGCGACACAGAGGGGGCCACCCCCTGCAGAATGACGCAGGGTCGTCTGCCGCTTACCATAGTACAACATGGCGCTGGACCCAGTGTGCTGGATCCAATTCCTCAGCACACCCCATAGCGCACCATGACCCATAATTGTGCCATGGTAGTAGTATAGTAGTATGGATAATGCACATTGACATCTAATTCGCACACTAAAGTACTGCCGCAATATCCACGGAAGAGCACCACCCCGGTGCTAGCCCACACTCCATACTCCTATCAAAGGGGGGGGGCAAGCATGGTCACTAGAGGTTTTAGTCGACCCCGTTGTCCCTTTCAAGAATGATGAACTGACATAGTTGACGTTGACACTGGCGTTGACATCTGAAAATCCCCTACCAGCAGGCCTTTTTGTTGTATATTTTTTTTTCTTCCCTGGACCGACCCGCTTACTTACCTTTTATTTATTAGTCTTCTAATGTTCTTGAATAAAGGATCATGACGTTGGTTTTCTTCTGTTCATAATTATCACTATTATCATCACTTCTCTGGTCCTACAATCTACGACCCAAGATTTGTTGCTGTTGCTGTTGTCGTTGACATTCCTTTCGCTTTGCTCTTGAGAAAAGGCATCGCAGCACACAAATTGATTGACTTGTTACAGTCAAAGAGGAGCGAGCCCCTTATGCATTGTTCAGCCTGTCACGTTCACGACAACAAGAGATGACGGGCGGCAGCGACTCTACAGCGCAGGGCGCGGCCAGGCCAAAGGGGGCATCGGCGATAGCGCGGGCCGTCGAGTTTACCAAGCAGGCCGAAAAGCTGTCGCACAAGACCCCTGAGCAGGGCGACGCCGAGGTCGCTGCCGAGGCCAAGTTCGTTACACCTCTGGATCCAGTCCTCGTCACGAGCGATGGCAACAGACTGCCTGGCGTACCGCTGCCCGAGGCGCACAAGCTGAACAGCCTGAAGAGCGAGCTGGAACAGGATGGGCCGTCACATGAAGGAGAGGAGGCGGAGGAGGAGGAGGAGGAGGACGACGACGACGACAAGGAAGAGGGGGAAGGAGAGGGAGGAAAAAAGGATGACACTGCGCAGGGCATCCATGTGGCCTCCGTGTCCAACGGCAAGTCGCTGCAAAAATCAGCTGGCGGGACGCTGCGCAAGGCAATGCCGCCCTCGCACACGAACCCGCTGTTCCCGCCCCTGCCCCTCTATGGCCCGCCTTCGATCGTGCGAGACCTGCAGTGCGCGACCTTTCGCGTGTCCTCGTTCTTCCTGAGCATGTCCTTCCTAGGTGTCATTGTTCTCGGCTCGCTCTTCACCAGCATCCCCACCGTCGTCAGAAATGCGTGGCTGCGCCTGACCTTTCGCAATCCGGACCGAGACCGACCCTTCTACGAGGAAGAAATGCGGCGCGCGGCCGCACGGAGGGCGATGGAGCGGAACTGGAAGAGACGGCCGTCCCAGGAGCGCATCCCAGCGGACCACGAGATGCCTGTGGACAACGACGGCTACGAGCCCACCGAGGGCGGGCCAGATCCAGTCAAGTGCGACGTGGGTTACTACGCCCGCCGCGTCGGGCTGGACGTAGAAGAGTTCGAGGTCCAGACCGAGGACGGCTTCATTATTGACCTGTGGCACGTCTACGACCCGCGCGAGTACGAGGCCCTGCAGCCCGAGGACCGTGGCCCCCGCGGCCCAGACCCTTTCACCGGCGGCTCACGACAGCAGAAACGGCAGAAGAAGAAACAGAAGCAGCAAGAACAGCAGCAGCAGCAGCAGCAGCAGCAGGGCGCTAGAAGACGGCTCCGCGACCCAGATGCCCCCCGCAAGTACCCCGTGCTCCTCGTGCACGGCCTGCTTCAGAGCGCGGGCGCTTACTGCGTCAACGACGACCATTCGCTCGCCTTCTGGCTCTGTAAGGCCGGCTTCGACGTCTGGCTGGGCAACAACCGGTGTGGCTTCCGCCCACGGCACGTGCTGCTCGACTACGGCGACCCGCGCATGTGGTGCTGGAACATCCGCCAGATGGGCGTGTTTGACCTGCCGGCACTGACCTCGCGTGTGTTGTACGAGACAGGTTTCGCCAGGTGTGGGCTCATCGCGCACTCCCAGGGCACCACCGAGACCTTTGTGGCGCTCGCCAAGGAGCAGCGGCCCGAGCTGGGCGAGAAGCTGAGCGTGTTTTGCGCGCTGGCGCCCGCTGCCTATGCGGGGCCCCTGATTGGCAAGATGTACTTCAAGTTCATGCGCGTCATCACGCCCGCCATGTTCAGGCTGATGTTTGGCATTCATGCCTTTATCCCGATTATGATGACCATGCACGGGCTCTTGCCCTCTGGGTTGTATGGGTGGCTGGGATACAAGGTCTTTTCGTTCCTGTTTGACTGGTCGGATACCAGGTGGGACCGTGGGCTGCGCGACAGGATGTTCCAGTTCGCTCCCGTCTATGTCAGTGCAGAGAGCATGAGGTGGTGGCTCGGGAGGGAATGTTTTGCAAAGCATGTGAGTGTTTTTTTTTTTTTTTTTTTTTTTTTTTTTTCCTTCTTTTCTTTCTTTTCTATGCTGTTTGTTCTTTTGCCCACTCGTCTCGTTTCTATTTCCTTTTGTTCTCCTAAAGGCAACTTCAAGGCAGAGTTTGAGTAACAAGTTGGACTGACAAAGATCGTGCAGAAATGTATCCTCGCCACCAAAGAAGAATGGCGCGCCGAAGAGCGTGAGGACAACAACAACAACACCGACGAACCCCCTCACAGCCCACTCACGCCCACCGCCTCCCCTGCCAAAATCCTCTCCCGGCGCCGGACCAGCTCAAGCGCCACTGCGCACCCTCCAGGGACCCGATCTCCTACTCGAAAACACCACCACCACCCCAAGGGCGCACGTGCGTGGTACAATTCCCAATCCCCTCCCTTTGCACTGTGGGTTTGCGGCCGCGACAACCTCGTGGACGGCAACAAGATCCTGCGGCGGTTCGAGCGCGGGCGCGAGCCCCAGGCCAGGCTGATCCACCGCAAAGTGATTCCCGAGTACGAGCACCTGGACGTCATCTGGGCCATGGACGCCGAGACCCAGGTGTTTCGGGAGGTGCGGGAGGTGCTCTGGCGGACTGTGCCCGAGGGAGACAGAAGTCGGTGTCGGGTGCCTGCTGGGTGTGAGGATGTAGCGGTTTGGGTGGACGACAGGGTGAAGAGGAGAGGGGGTGATGAGGGTGATGAGGGCGATGAGGAAAGGGAGGGCGAGGAGACGTTGGTCGGCAGTAGTGCTGGTGGTGACGGGGTTGGGGGCAGGGAGAGTGTCGAGACCTCGAGCAGCAGTGATGAGCTGTCTGCGTCGTCATGAGCTTACGGATGGAACGATGATGGAACATGTGTTATGTCGTCTTGGTTCTCGGATTTGTTTTTTTTTTTTTTTCTTTTTCTTTTTCCTTGTCGTTATTGGTTTGGGAGGGTTATTGTCATGGTCTGCTGCCATCACGAATACCACAAAGAGGCATTAGGCAAATCGGAGTGCCAGCCCGGCGTAATGGAAATAGTTTGGAAAGGCGCGTACATATACATTTGGGTATATATTATGTGTGGGAGGTGTTTGGTGGTATTGGATGCATAATATATACACATATAGATAGATAGATAGTTAGATACACAAGACAATTAATTCATGCACACTTGACGCCGTCTCGGGCTCTGTTCTGTTGTAAGCAACACCGGCAGCCCTAGAAAGCACAAACGTCGCACGGCGTGATGCAACTTGCGCACGTTTGGATCTCATTTGGTCTGCACTGGGATCAGCAATATTATAGTTATCTGTGCATCTGTTCATAGAAGAGCATATCGCCTTGTACTTGTGATGTATACTACATAGTAGCCTGTTTACGTTGGCTGCAGATGTGTGAAGGTTTAGGTGGGGGGCGTATTGGACCGGGCGGGGAGGTGGCACTCGGAAACAAAAATTGGAGTTTTCATCGTTTCTATGTTTTTCTTCTTTTCTTCTTAGAATTCGAGAGAAGAAGAAAACATAAGGGAAAGGGGAAAAAAAGATCAATGAGACAAGTTGGCCTAGAGCACTTTGGCACCTGAAGCCTTACAATTGCAGACTTACCAAAACACTGCTATCAGAGGCGGACGGGGAAAAGAAAGGCAAGAAAAACGAGGCCCTCAAGTTAGCACCCATGCAGAGAGCACACGTATACACATCAGCCCAATAGCGCCTAGGCGTTAATAGAGATCGTCCGCGTACGCGTTCACGGTTTTCTTTTTCCCAGGGGTTTCATGACAGATCAGCTAGTCCAGGTACAAAGCTACGTGGCAGAAGAAAAAGAAGAAGTAAAGAAAAGGACCAACAAGAGGTTTTTCTGTTTAGGGGGGGGGGGGCGCACGTTGTTTCAGGTTCGTCGAGGTTGTGCCGGCGCCAGCGTTTAGCACGAAGCAACGTGAGCCAGTCAATGTTGAGAAGGACCCCTGGTTCGTGTGTCACTGATCTGTGCGCGCGCTGGGGGTGGAGAGGGATTGACTGGGTCGACAAGAAAAAGCTCCCCGACGGCTGTGGGGGAAAAGAGTCCACTGCGCAAGGACGTTCTCCACAGTCCTTTTTTGGTCTTTGTGCGTGCTGTTCAAGGCTGTCTATCTCTTCAGCTGTGCATGGCCGTGGAATAATGGGTCGGTAGTATACTGGGAGGGCCTTGCTGTTATGGACAACGGGGGGTAGTCGGGGGGGGGGGGGGGGGGCGCGCGCGCGTGTGCGTGTGTGTGTGTGTGTGTTGCCACATCTTTCAGTGGCGAGGCATGAAAAAAAGTCGAGAAGGCAAATTTAAGACTAAAGACTACCAGATCAGACGACAAGAGATGACAGGACTGACTGTTTCGAAACACTGTTTAGGTTGTGTAGGTGTGTGTTCGTTCCTGTTTGGTGGCGTGCTTGTTTCATACACATGAGGTCTACCGTTCCAAGGTACCATACTCGACGTCCAATCTTGCTGATCTTAGCTTACTGTAGCAGGTGTGGTCAAATCGCACAAGCCTCACATGCTCACCATGGGCATGACATACAGAAGAGTAAGCTGATTTATACTTGATGTGTGTTGTGTTGTGTGTGTGTGTGGTACAAGCAGGAAGAGGAGGGGGGAAGCGGTTTTCGCGGACGGGAATGGTGGAGGGGGTTCGCTGCTGGCAGTGCAAGTGCCAGTTGCAGTGCTGTTGCAGGGGAACAAGGGAAAAGGGTAACCAAGCCCCTGAGAGAACTGCCCCACCCTTGCCCACCTCAGTGCTAGCGTGGCTAGCGTAAGTTCCCAACCGCCCAATGAGCGGTCCCGGACCTCGAGCCGCCAACCTTTTCCAAACATCACCTCTCGAAGCAGGGGAGCAAAGGAGTCAGTTACTTTGAACTATCTCCTATCTCTTGCGGATGCCGACAGTTCTGATCCTTACCACACACACCCCTCCACTCCCTTCTCGAGGTGACCGAGGTTGGGCCTCATTGACAATGGCCCACCTCCCCCCTCAACTCTTGCCAGACATTCCGATACTCAAGAGTTCTACTCAGCCTTGTCCAGTGGCAAACCCTCCCATTTCGAGCTTGATGCGGATAAAAAAGAAGGACAAGGGCCTCGAGGCAAGCAAGGCTCTGTTTCAAGAACATGGAAGGAAAAGAAGAGAGGCGCGGCATGGATGGTGTGTCGTTCTTCATTATAGTAGCAGGCAGATCTTATTATCTGTGAACCCTGTCGGTTCCTCCTTTTTTCATTCTTTTCTTTCTTGGCTTTTGACTTTTGAAGTTGCCGATCGTTCGGAAGATCGTCCCAAGAGCTTGGGCGTTTTCCCGACGCTCGTTGTTTGGGTGTTTTGTCAGATACGAGAGAGATCTCTTTCTTTGAAACCAAACCTCTTCTTCTGCTTTTGGTGAGAAACAAGCCCAGCGGCAACCCAAGAGAGGGGTGGGGGCGGGTTTGTACAACATTCCTGTGGGTGGCTTTGACATAGTGACACGACCCTCTCTGTGACTGGCCACATCATCCCGTCCTCAGCCTTCCTGTTATATATATTTTCTATGATACTGTGGCCCGGTGATTACTTGGACTTGTCTTGGTTTCGGCCTATGTTCCATGGTCTTTCTCTTTGGTTTGTTTTGGGTTAATACTCTCACTCACTCTCTCTCCTTACATTCCCCCCTCCCCTTCAATTGAGACCCAGACAAGCCACACTCTTTTCTTACTCGTTGCTCGTGGCACTCGGCCAATTTGAAAACATGGCCCAGCCCAGAAATCTGCCACTTTCTTCTCCCACCTTGCTCTCTGATCAAGGTTCTGGCTACCTGACTGGCCGAGCTGGCCTCTCCGTGACAATCTCCTTGAATCAAACCTTCAACCATGGTACTCATGAACGGCCCGATAGATAAAGATACACCTGAAGGAGGAGGAGGAGGACCCTTCCCAGGGGACCCGGTCTGTTCACGTCTCGTCCATATTATTCTGGTCGCCTAGATTGGCGAGTCAGAAGTCCAGATGGGCAATGACAGCCCCAAAGAGATACAACGCCCTGTGCTATGGTGTGTATGGTGCCAGGGTTGTCAGTACCCACACGCTGCGGGTGACAAGGGGGAGGGGGGAGGGGTGGTTGTTTTCCACCCGCCCTCACCAGTTTGCGGCTCACCGGCAGGTCGGCACCCCCTTGTCACCACCACTTAGTAACCATAGTACATGGTTATACCATAGTACAACAGTTGTAGGAGGTGGATACCATCACGGGGGGGTAAGTGACAGCTGCATGGCCTAGAAACATTGGTGGCCAGTCGATCGCTCCGTCGCCCAGCCATGCCATGCAGAGTATGCGCGGCCTAGCCAAGCCAGCATATTTAATACAGCATTCCCGCATGTGGCAGACATCGATCCCTCTCTTTGTATTACGGGTTTACTATCATCATCTGTATCTTTCTTGGCTGTGGTTACATCTACGTTGTCCACCTCCTCCTCCTTCTCCTTCTTGGGCTGGCCCTTGAGTCTGTCTACTTTCCTTGACCCTCCCTTCGTCTGCCTTGCAGAAGAGATCTCATCATCTCTCTCTCAGCCGTCCTTCCTTATCGGTTCCAAATCCCCTCCCTTCTTTGGCATCTTTCTGCCCACTTGACCAACCTTCCTTTGACACGGTACCGCACACCTATTGTCGCGGTGACAAATTTCCAAGCTGTTTTATTGTCTGGTACAACAATAGCTGGCCCGTCAACAAACTACCAATCTTTGGTATACACCACACTCATCTCGAAAGTTCTGCGGCCCCCGTCAGGTCCTCTGCCTCCGAGTCAAATATCCAAGACCTTTTTTCTTCTTCTTTTCCAAGTTCAGTCTTGACTGTTTTCTGATTCATCCTGGCCGGTGATTCACACCTTGTTTCTCTCCACGTCTGCGTTTTTCTCTCTTTCTCTGTGAAAAGCCAGACCAGCCACAGCCAGATCCATCACCACTTCGATTGTTGAGATATCAGAGCCAGCCTTTTAGATATCTCTACTATTTTTCATTCCTTTGCCATCTCCATTTATTTCCAAGGAGGAAAAATACCAGTCTTTTACACACGAAACATGCCTCTCACAACATCTTCTCGGTCCTCCACCATGCTCTGCAAGCTGGCCACCCTCCTCGCTGCTGGCCAACTGGCTGCAGCAACCACCTACACGCTCCAGGACAGCTACACGACCAATAACTTTTTTGACGAGTTCGACTTCTACACGGGTGCCGACCCCACCAACGGGTTTGTAGACTACCAGTCCGCCTCGGCCGCGTCGGCGTCGGGCCTGGCAGGCTACTCTGAGGGCGGCATCTACCTGGGCGCCGACTACAAGACCAGCAACCCCACGTCAGGCCGTGCCTCGACCCGTGTCTCCTCCAAGAAGTCCTACACCCACATGCTCCTCGTCGCCGACGTCAACCACATGCCCGTCGGCTGCGGCACCTGGCCCGCCCTGTGGTCCTTTGGGCCCGACTGGCCCGCGGGCGGCGAGATCGACATCATCGAGGGCGTCAACTCGCAGACCAGCAACGAGATCACCCTGCACACCGAGGAGGGCTGCACCATGTCCCAGGGCTCCCAGCTGACCTCCACCAAGGTCCTGGACACCTTCGACTGCGGTGCCGACAACGGCAACACCGGCTGCCCGCAGCTGACCACCGAGACCACCAACTTCGGCACCGGCCTGAACGCCGGCGGCGGCGGTGTCTATGCCATGGAGTGGACCAGCAGTGCCATCAGTGTCTGGTTCTTCCCCCGCAACAGCTCCAATGCCAATGCCCTGACCGGCGGCGGCAACTCGTCCTCCTCGGCCGTCGACACGTCTGGCTTTGGTACGCCGCAGGCCCAGTTCTCGGGTGGCAGCGGCTGCGATATTGATCAGTACTTTACCAACCACACCATCATCATCGATACCACCTTCTGCGGAGACTGTAAGTTTTTTTTTTCGGTTTTTTTTTTCCTTCTTTCTCTCCGTTCTCCCAACCATGGGTTTTTGGTAAAGGAATGAGAAGTGGATGACTAACCTGAGACATGGAACCTTTTTAACAGGGGCTGGCAAGCAAACCGTCTGGAGCGCCGATGACACATGTTCCGCCCTCGCCAGCACGTGCGAGGACTACGTCGCCAACAACCCAGACGCCTTTGTCGACGCGTACTGGCTCTTCAACTCCATCAACGTCTACCAGGCCTCTGGCAGCAGCACCACCACCACGCGCCGCGCTCAGACTGACTCGACCATCAAGCGGCGTCTGGAGAAGTACCGTCTTTGAAAAGGCATAACAAGGCCAAGCACGGGAAACTCTTCTTCTTCTTCTTCTTCTTCTTCTTCTTCTTCTTCTTCTTTGGATCCTGCTTCCAATTTTTCCATTCTTGACAACATGGTAAACAAACTAGGGATAGAATAAGGATAGAAAGGACTCTTTTTTCTTCTTCTTTCATTCTTATCATGGGTAGGCTGAGGTGTGGGGGCGGACTTTTGTCAATGACTGGGTTCTTTTTTAACGAATGGAAATGGGTTTGGAGGGGGCACGATACCACACACATAGGGATTTACGGAGTTCTTTTTGCGGGTTTTGCATTTACTTCTACTTCTTCCAAGTTTTTACCATTAGCCCCTCCCATTTCACAGGAGAGAGGTTGCATTCAAAATTCTTCACTTGTTGATCATGGCGATTGTTTCTTCTTTCTCTTCATTTGTCCTTCTTTCTTCTGCTTTTTGCAAAAAGAGAAGGAGTGGCTCATTGATCTGGTCCTGTAGATAGACCCTTGATACCAAAGAAATGAGCAAATGATGAGAGGATTCATGTGTTGGGTCCTCTAGGGACACAGAAAGAAAAAGATGAGGGGTCTTTCTTGTTTTGAGGGTCTTGTGTGCATGAGATCTTTTTGTATGCGAGGTGGATTGTTTAATGAGTGACTGGACGAGTGAATGAAACCTGACGCTAAGGGGAACGAATAGACTGGCACTGACTACTGACTCCTTGGACTCGGTCTAAAATAGGACAATCATCAGAAGGTTGATTACTGCTATGAGCGGAGAGTATATATGCCAGTAAGAGACTCTCTCAAGCAGGGACATGTCGACAAGCAAGACATCATGGGCGGCAATAAGTGATTATGTTGAAGTCATTTCCACCTCTGGCGAACAAATTGCTATTTTGACCTTTCGCATAACAGCAGGGAACAAACATCTGATCTCTTTCTTGCTCATCCAGCCTTTGATGCTTTTCATGCTAAGCTCACCAAAACAATACAAATCCCAGCAAGTGCCGGGAGAGCAATGAGAATTAACCCAGACCATCAACGCCCTATACTATGCAAACATCCCAGAGACAGCCTCCTTGGCATTATGAGGGGGGCGCAAAAAAAAGCAACTGACAGGCGGCGTGCGCGTCAATCACTGCCAGCTCCTCCCAAGCAACCCCTTCGTCTTGGCATCGCCCGACTCCCACTTCTCGATCCGCAGCACCAGCTCCCCCATCAGCCCGTTGGCCCATCCGAACCAAGCCCTGGAGAACGCCTCCCCCCTCCAGCTGTTGACGCTCTCGTGGACAATGCCCCACCCACTCGTCGAGTTGAGCACCATCTCCAGCTGGCCCGCGACGTGGTCCTCCAGCATCAGGCCCATGCCCATCGTGACAGGGTTGCCCCGACTGTCCACGTAGCCCGCCTCCTTGTCGAACGCGCTCATTCCCGCCACCAGCGCCGCCATCGGCCACGCCTTGCCTGGGCCCAGGTGCGGCCCGCCCACCGCCGAGATGGCGGGGCCCTTGGCATAGTATGGATTGTCCAGGGACAGCACAAACTTTCGCGTGTTCTGGTAGATCTGGTCGTAGTCCTTCTCCGCGGCGCTCTCGGGCAGTGGGTACCTCGACTCGGCATACTTGAACAGCGGCATGGACAGCAGGCTCGGCACATTCGCATCATCCATCAAGTTGACCCCACCGAATCCATCACACTCATACGCAAAGATGTCGCCGTACTCGCGATGGTTTACAATCGCATCCGAGTCAATGCCTTGACGGATCCCATAGGCAAAGTCTCGCATGGTCGCCACCAGCCCGCGCGCCATCTCCTGTTTGCTGGGGTCTATATCGTGCGCCGCGCCCTCGGCCAGCTCCTCCATCATCACCGAGGCCTCCTCGAGGTACTTGGCCCACATCATGTTGGCGGGCACCAGGAACTGAAAGATGGTCGCGTCGTCGCTGGGTCGGAAGGCGGTCCTCACCATCCCATTGGTGCGGCTCGGGTTGCCCAGCCCATCGTTGGTGAGCGTCTCGCTACCTCTGTTTGTCCAGCCTGTAAAAGTCCACGCGCTGGGCAGGACGCGCCCCTCGTTATCGTATGTGCCCAGTCGCATGGCCGCAGCGGCGTCGACCGCCTTCTTGACCGCCTCGATCCAGTTGTACTTGGCGAAGAAGGCCAGGTCGTGCGTGTGTGCCCAGTAGCCCACGCTCACCTGCAGGAACGATGCGAGGCTGTCGAGCTCCCACTTGCAGTCAAAGACCTTGCTCGGGTCATATGCCGGCCGCGGGTTGTTCTGCTTGTACGCACCGTTCTTGGTCGGCGGGATCCCAGACTCTGGTGGCGGTTGAAAGGAGTGGCAGTACGGTGAGATGATGATGTACCGCGCGTGCGAGTTGATGAGCCCCCGCCAGAGAGAATTCAGGCTTTGGATATCATCACGGCCCTCTGGTCTGTCCGGCGAGAGGAACGACAGGTATGAATACAGCTGGGACGCGCTGTCGCGCAGCCACATGGCGTCTATATCTCCCGTGATGATATAACTTAATTCCTCCGCCGTCTCGTTCCCCTCCCCGTCCTGCGCATACCCGTGCCACTTGACCATCGTATCCAGGGTATTCGGGAAACTGTTTTGGAACAGCCGGTATAGATCCGGGTCTTTGATCTTCTCCTCCATCTTCTTGATATAGTCGTCCACGGCCGGGACCGTAAAGGAGCGACACTCGGGCGGGGGGCGCAGGCTCGGGAACTGGCGTGAGCCTGCAGATGGGGGCCCAGGTTTCCGCTTCATGTAATTCTCGAAGGTCGGGCAGTCAGGCTTCGGCATGGCGGCGGCGGCGGCAGCAGCAGCAGCGGCAGCAGCAGCCGCCTCCTTCTCCTTCTCATTGTCCTGGCTCGCGGCCGGCTTGGCTGCTGGGTATCCGGCCTCCTCAGCGGTCGTAGGTCGCTCAAAATCATACCCATCGTCTTTGCCGCCAGTATTGGCCTGGCCTGACGGCGCGTTCGGGTTCGAGGCGCCAGCCGGTGCTGACCCGTGATGCGCATGCCTATCCGTCTCGCTCTGTGGGACTGTCAAGGGCTTCTCAGTGCCGGACGCGCTTCCTTCCGGTGCTCCCAGGCTGGTGTCGAGAGAGGATTCCCAGGCGCTGGGCCGCCGCCAGCCGACGTAGAGGAGCACGACTGAGATGAAGAAGGCTAGCGCTAGCAGCCTCGCGTTGCGTATACTAAACATGTTGCGCGGCCGAGCATTGACAACGACCGAGAGGGCAAAAGCAGGACCAGGTGGCGGTAGATCGTACAGGGCGAAGTTTCAAGAGAGAGAGGAGACACGCGACCAAACAAAGAAAGGAAAAAGGCCAACGACAATGCGACACAACAGGGGTGGCCGCCAAAAGAGACACAGGCGATGAGGATGCCGAGCCAAAGGCAAAGACGGTCAAAAGAAGGCGTCAGAGCGAGGTCGACGAGCCTATCTCAAGTGCCTGCCTTGAAGGTAGTGCTCAACGGCCACCAAAGACTCGGAGGACAAGGTGGTGTGTCGTAGGTGTCTCGTCAAATGCCGTGCATGGCTCCTGCTGCTGCTTGCTGCCCACTTTGGAACGGCCTCGGAGCACCATGCCGAAAGGATGGGGCCACTAGTACCCCAGGGTCGTCGCATCGCCGAGCACAAGTCGGGGGCCGCCTTCTCTGTAGGAAAAGGCTGTCCTTCTCTTGGCGTTTCAATCCAGGCAGGTTGCTGACTGACTATCGAATGCGGTAATGGCAGGAGAAGTCGACAGGGTGAGGTAACCTTTCTTGGCCTGGGCACATGATTGATTGCTCTTTTGGCTCACGTCGGGCAGCGCTTGGCGTAATTGGGGAACGACATGTCCCACAAGGGCTTCTGGTTGGCTCCTTTTGCAGGCCGAGATCCGCTGTGCGCTGTGCGCTGTGCGGTAGCCACGGCGGTCTCTTCAGGAACTTCTCCCAGGAGGCTCGCCAGCCCTGCCAACCCATTTTCGCTTCTTTTTCTTCCGAAACGGCAGTCTGAACTGGAATGAAGACTGTCGAGAATTCGTCAGCTGTAACACTCAACTTGAGCCACACCCCCTTTTCAGTGACTCCGTGATGATGTTTCCAAGAGAACAATCTCAGTGCCGCAAACCAACCCCAGCCACACCAGAAACCGCATCGTGGCCTGTGAAATTAGTGACGACAATGGCGTAGACTCTTGTCTCAGAGACTACATCATAACCTCACCACCTCTCTAAGCTGATCTTGTTCCGAGGAAGGGGTCGCCCCCTATGGTCTCCTCTCTGAGCTCTCCTACCCAGTAACTGTGTGAAGCTAGCCAGACCCGTTGTCTCAACGAGCAGACTTGGCAAAGCGTCCTTTTGCTTGGTACCGTGACAGAGAATCAATTCATACATCCAATTCCTCGCTCGCTGTGTACACAAGTCTTGTCCCTCCCTCCCTTTCGGATCCTGTACTTCCTTCGTTCCCCCGCCAAGTATGTGTCTGGGCACAGCAGATGGATGGATGTGGTGAGGAGGTAGACGCCACTTGTCAGACGGATGTTGGGGGGGGGGGGCGGGTTGTGAGGTGAGATTTTGAGCTGTCGAGTTCCTTTCAAGCATTTCGGTCTGCTGGAACTGGGGTATAATGAGAGACGGTTCATGTTCGACTTTTTCTTCTTCTCTTTTGTGAGGGAAAGACAAGGGAGTTGTTGAGCTGTAAGGCACGATGTACTTCAAAGGTGCTCATGCCTGCCATTTCAACTCTGGGATGTAGATGGCAGTCGCAGCCCTCACTTAGTGTGTATTCAGACTAGCCTGAGAACGCCCTTCAATCTCCTCTGTCTGTACTAAACAGCCCTCAAGACAGCCTCCGCGACTCGTAGAAGAGAGGGAGAGAAGGCCCAAAAAATCATACCAGAAACGCAATCTACCATTTAACGAAAGGCAGTACGCTACACACGGATAAGAACGAGCGAGCACCTACGTAACGACGGCAAGAAAGGCACTTATTACATTCCCACGGCTGTGAGTACTTACCTGATGAATGGGCGCGAGGTGTTTCACGAGTAAAGGGCACGAAAGAGAAGAGAGAGAGAAAAGGTAGAAGTGGAAGCGATCTGGCCATAGTGAGACTAGAGGAGAACCTAGAAGCTAAAGTGTAGGTTGAGGAACCAAAGTCTAAGTACACCAGACATGAAGAAAGAAAGTTGACAAAAGCAAAACCCCCAAGTTGTCCAATTCCAATTGTGGCTCTATCCTTGATGACCCTGGCCTGACCTAGCCTGACCTGACCTGACTCCAAGCGATAATTTTTGTGTGTCCCTGTGAGGATGGCTGCTTTCTCCAAAGTAACGACGAATCTCATCCTCATGGCTTCGTCGTAAATTTGGCGAGCAAGCTGCCATACACGCTCATCTCCTCGAACTCCTCCTAGAAGTAGCAATAATCTAGAGCAGGCAAAAAAGATAATAATAGTGATAAAGAAAAAGAGAATGCCATGAAAAGAGGTGAAAGGTTAATAAGAAAGAAAGAAAATGCCACATGGCCCTCAATTTCAAATGCATGCGTGCTGCTGCTCTTCTGAAGGGTACGGAAACCACCAACTCAAAGCTTGAGCTTCTTGCCCGTGATCTTGTAGATGACCACGGCGACGAGGTCCTCCTTGAACCGCTCCCACCACGACCGGTTCAGGTAGTAGCTCAGCTCGCGGTAATTGTACATCTCGCCCCAGCAGTCGCGACCCCACTCGCAGCCCGCCATGTTGACGACAAAATCGCGATCGTGCTGGTTATAGTGCACGCGGGTGCTGTTGCCGACGTCGGAGCACGCGCCGGGCGGGAAGCTGTTGATCATGCGCTGGGGGATGAAGCCGGTGTGGGCGCGGATCCAGGGCTGATTGCGGTACAGCTGTTCCAGGGCGTCCTGCTCCTTGTGCGCCCACTCCATGTGCTTCTGCTCATAGGCGACCGGGTCCCACCACACGTCGAGCAGGCGGTCCGTCCAGGCGCTGCGCCGGACGAAGAAGGACCCCAGGTTGAAGCCTGCGCAGTCCTGCGAGAGGATGAAGTTGACCGAGTTGATGTCGCCGTCGCCGACGGAGCTGCGCATCTCCTCGTCCAGGTAAATGTCCGTCGGCGGGTGGGTGATGTTGAGAGGGTTGTACTCGTTGATGTCCCGGTAGACATGCTTGTCCAGCTCCTTGAACATGTGACTCTGCAGGGAGTAGCCAGGTTCCATGATGTAGCTGTTGAGGTCGAGCCACCACACCCTGTAGTTACGTTCGCGGTCAGCCAAGGAAGAGAGAGCGAGCGAGCAAATTAGAGGCGTAGCAGGGTCACAGCCCAGGCCAGCTCAGGCCAGCCCAGGCCAGAATGAAGGAGACACACTCACCACTCGGCCTTTGGGTACTTCTTGAGCGCATTCCTGACAAAATCGACCTTTTCCCAGCTCTCCCTCCACTCGTGCGCATAGCGCTTCTTGGTGCTCATGTCTACCACCTCTAGCTCATAGCCCCAGTTGGCAACGTACTTCTTCTTGTTGCGCAGGCTGTCGCGCTCAATCGCCCATTCCCTCGCGCCCTTCCACTCCATGACACCCCCGCCGACGTTGGCCCCCAATATGATCACGTACTTCTCCCCACCACCAAGCCATGATTTTCGCCGCCAGTAGAATAGTAAAGCTGCGGGCAGGTTCAAGTCAGGTTAGTTGTTTTTCCCCCGCAAGACGTCCAGATCGGGCTAGGGAGGGAAGGAAGGAAGATAGACTCATGCGACAACAACGTACGAGAATGGAAGAAAATCCAGATGGCGAATAACAGGAGGAAGACAAAGAGCAGGCGCAGCTTTGCCCTGCGACCGATGCGCCCAGCGACACTCCTCAGCCTTCCATACACAGGTAGCGTCGGCGCGGGCGACCACCTCCCCCTCTGCAGCTTCTCTTTCTCTGCGTAGTGTGTATTCGTGTTGAAGCGTGGTAGGCTGTTGGATATGCGGCGCATGTGTCTCTGGAAGAAGCCTTGGTTCTGCGTCTCGAACGCAGGGTAGCCTCTGGCCCCCATATTTCTTGTGTGCGACGACTCCCACAGTGCCTTGTTGTTGTTGCCGCTATTGGCCGCCGTGTAGACCGTCGCTGGGCTCGACCGACCGCTCGTGGAGATGTTGAGACCCGGACTGGACCAGCCTCCGCCGGGGGCGGGCGAGGGACTCCGGGAGAGTGTCATGGGAAAGCCGGGAGTGCCTGTGTATATCCCCCAACAAGAAGAAGCAGATAGTCAGTCAATCAGTCGGTTCAAGGTTTGTCTAAGCTGCCGGTGAGCGGAAGGGGGGGTAATAGCGAGTGTGGGTGGGCGGGTTCCCGGTCGGAGAGTTCCCATTCAGCCGTGCATGCCAGGACAAGGAGAGCAGAGCGGGAAGCAACACGAGGTCATGACCTGTGTTGCATTCCTGAGAGCCACACACCCACCACATGGTCGACTGTGCAAAGTGGCCCGTCCTCGACCCCCCCCCCCCCCCCCCACGCCTTGTGGCACACCCACACAGCACACACAACATGCATCATGCCCCATGCACCATACAGCACAACTGACTGACACATACCTGGAATGGGAGACAGCTGACCAGGCTGGAGCCTGTTCGCCTGTCTGCCGGAAAGGTTACTGCCCTGGCCACCCAGTGAGATCCGGAGACCGGCAGCAGGAGAGGCTGAGGAGCGCCGCCGGTGATGTGATGCCTTGGGCCTGTCCTCGGCGGCGGAAGACCTGGCAGATGATTTTGAGGGAGCCAGGTTGGGCAGTCGAGGTCGCAGCGCACCAGAGGGCAGAGTGTGCCTTCTGGATGTGCCGCCTAGGAGCAGTTTAGGGAGAGGGAGAAGAAGAAGGGATAGTGGTGGTGGTGTGGGTGAGCCCGACTTTGAGGTGCAATGCGCTATACACAGTAAGCGCAAGGATGTAGCGTGTTTGCAACTTCGGATCCGAGCCGCGGTCGACGGGAGCGGTCGTTCCAGGTAGAAACTTAGTAGCTTGAGTTTCGAGCCTTTTTTTTTTTCTTCTTCTTTTTTTTCTCTCCTGCTGCGACGTGGGGTAACACAACGGGCCACAAGCGTTTTGAGAAGGCAGCAATAGACGGCGCAAGGGATGTCGAGGTCGCACGGGACAAAGCTAGGGAGGGGGCCGACCACACGGCGCGCGGGTTGTCCTTTGTCTCTAGATGGAGGGTCTAGAATTAGGGCAGCGCCAAAGCCGAGAGCTCGGGTTCGTGCAAAGCGACGAGACAGACGACAATTGCCCTAATCGATGATGGGTGGTGGTAGGATTGAACGTCAAGCGAATAAGATGGAAGAGGGATCGGGGGATCATAGGTAAGCCGTTCAGACTCCGTGATGGCACAAATTAAAGTTATGTTGTCTGTGGCAGGCAACCGCAAAGAAGAAGCATGGAAATTAAGTTGCAGCTCTGGTGGATGGGACGATCAGGGAAACGCAGGGTTCGCCAATTGGGTCGTCTGAACCGATTGGTTGCTGGTGTGGGGGAGCATGGGGGAAACTGTGGAGGACGATGGATAAGGAGCTTGGCAGGTCATTAGCATGTAAAGCAGAGCAACTGATTGACTGATGATGGCCACTATCGATCGACCCTTGATATGAAGGAGGCCGGTGTAAACACTGGGGTGAGAACGGCAGCTCGTATTCTGCAAAAGAAAAGTCAGGGTGAGACGGTGAGCAGCAAATGGGGGGCGAGAAAGAGATGTAATCACCCTGCAAGCTGACTGATTGATTGATTACTGTCGCCATATTCTCGTGTCAGACAGGAAGGGAGCCATGGAGCCATCCGTGGCTGTGATAGCCTCTGCAACCTCTGCAGCCACTGTAGCCTCTGCTTCTTCCAGGCTTAGTGGTGGTGGTGGTGGTGGTGGTAGCAGTAGGGGTCCTTGTGCTATCGCAGATCGATCCCACTACCTTAAAATGAGTGAGTGCCTACGAAGCCGGCGTTTCTTGGCTCCAGCGCCTACTCCAGCCACCACAAGAGACCTACACTGGCAATTTGGTGGTATCAGGTTATAATCATCGTTGTCTGTCCAGGGTCTTTCATGCTGTTTAGGGGCCTCAGACTTGCATGTTTGTGTCATCTTTTCATCTCTCGCCCGTACTTACCATCGTGCTTACCATGTTAGTAGAATCCAAGCTTGGGTTGCTCACTAAGCCTGCGGCAGTCAAATCTTGGTGGTTGAGCTTGGCGGTTGAACCATTTCCTAGTTGAGAATGGCATCCCCCAGCTGTTTGGTCTAGCCAGTTGCCAGTGTTCGGGTGGTCTCCATCCCCATCTCGTCACCTCGAAATCTACCGGATGCATATTAACACCCCGATTACTACACGCAGCCTGAATTGTTCGTATCGATCCCAGCCCTTGGGCTCCCGCCCAATCCATTGAAATAAGTCCCAATCGGGGGGGATGCTCTTACATCATGAGTCAAATGTCTCAATTTGAGAGGAGAGGATATACTACACTATACTATGTGTACCTGTATCCCGTTAGACGTTGAAAGAAGAAAATCTTGGCTGTGGAGCTGACTACTATGTGACGGGCTTGGCAACGGTGGGATGTATGTAACCGTACTGGAGCTTGGCTCGGCAAAAAAGGAAGATGACCTCGTTGCGATGGGAACCCAAGATGACAGTGTTTGAGCTTTTTGATGCTACTATCCAATTTCGCTCTGTCTTCCCGTCCTGTTTCAATAGTATCTTTGCTTTCTTTCTTTTTCCTTCGTCTTCAATGACTCGTTCTGTTTACTTACTCTTCCTAGCCTAGTGGTGTGCTCTGGGCCCATGAGAGAGAGACGCTCTCGATGGGCAGTATTGGGCGTCGCTTCAGCGCCTCATATCCATACTCAGGCCCCGTGCCTGCCAACTGGCGTAGGGATTACGTCGACGCAGCTCGTAATGGGGCGGTGGCAAGTCCAAGCTAGGTGGCCTCACCCACAGACGGTTGCCACATCTATTTGCAGAGGCAGATTCCATTCCAGGGCCATCATGAAGACTGAGGCATTTGCTGGGAGAGCAGGGTGTGTGGGGTGTGTGTGCGTGTGCAGAACCTTCCAATGCCAGATACTCTGGCGGGCATGGATGTTCCCTTCGCATGGGGTCACTCCTAGACCTGGTTTGCTGGTCTCTAAAAAGGGATTAAAGTATCATGGTAGCTTTATGGACGGGGCCATGCAGCTGGCTCCCCCCAGAAGTAATAAGACCGCCTTTCGAAGCTGTTCCTGCGACGGCCAATCTGACCATAAGCTACCCTTTTTTCAGCTCGACCGACCAGCGCATAACTGCCCCGGATTTTCCGATTCCCAATCGTTAGAATCTTGGGCCGTCACAGATAGAGACACCACAGCAGCCATAGGCGATGGGTTGCTGTGCACGTCCAAGCCTCAAAAGAAAAAAGGAACCAGCCTTCTGGGCCATTTCATCTCCACCTAATGGGTCCTGTACACACAACGTTCTGCACCTCTTGTTGGCCTCTGGTCCCCACAGCACCTTGGGTCGATAAGTCGCCGGTACGTGTGTGGGCAAGCTGGATTGGCTGATCATTCCTCCAAGGTTCGGGGATGAACAGGTCTGTGCCAGGTTCGTCCGACTAACTGCGTTCCTCCTGAGTCAACAATCTCGCTCTCTTTCTCTTCCTATCTGTCTTCCGTTTGTAGACCGAGGCCCCACAGTACAGACCTTCGCTAGCTAGCTGTTTCGAGTGGTTTCCTTCGGGAATGTGGCTGAAGTCCGGGACCTTTCCTAGCTGGCTCTGCATGTCATGGATGATGGATGGGGTGGCTACTCTGCTTACCTGGCTGGCAGACTGGGAGGGGAAAAGGAAAGAAGAAAGAGGTGGCTAGACTACAAGCCCGTCACCAAAACGGCGGTGAGGTCAAGCCTTCCTCCCTCCCCGGTGCTGCTTGCTGATGCAGCAATCTGCTGCTACTTGCAGACAAGGCGCCCGCCCTGGAGAGACGAGGGAACGAGTCGCGATACGACACACAAGATGCAGGTCCAGTCAAGTTGCTGCATGCACGCTCAGGGCGCAGCGTTGACTGGCTACGGGTGGTGCCACAGAGGCTCTTGGTTGGCCCGCCGGAAGGGACGATGACATCAAATCGTGCATGAGGGGCCATACAGGGGCCTGCCTGGCCTATGAGGGGCAAGGCGCGGTGGGGAGCGAAGGGGAGTGGGGAATCGAACGGGGATCCCTCTTCATGCATGGGATCGTCTGTGGATCGTGAACCTAACGTCAATGAGTTGAGGGTAAGTATTGGGCTGGCGGTGCTGGCGAGTTCGAGAAGGATGGGAAGAGAGAGACGTCACACACCCCCAATCTCCCAGCATAAAAGCTGGCTCATCCTCCCAGACATTTTCCTCTTGTGTTCCCGATCGATTTACAATTTTATTTTACCACAACCTCTAGTGATACCGCCCTTCAAAGCAATCTATCTTGGTCTCTTTTGTCTTCGGAGACTCAACAATCCATCTCTCACAAACCATTCCTCCTTCCCACAGACGTCATCAAAATGCCTGAGGTTCAAGCTCCCAGCCAGCAGATCGCCATGGAGGCTCTCCCAGCCGGTGAGGTCGTTTCCCAGCAGCCTGTAGGTTTGCCTCTCCTTTCAGTCGCGCAAAGACGCCCGTTTCTTTTCTGTGCCAAGCCGAATAAACTTGTCTTCGAGCCTTGTTCTATTTCTTCTAACACATTCTGTGCAATAAAGGCTGTCGAGGAGCCAATGTCGTCCGATGTCAGCCTCCGTGGTGGCTGCGGCGAGTCCATTGACTGCTGCGGCATCACCGAGTCTTGCGGATGCTGCTAGACGAAACTGAATAAAGCCATTCTTCGTATCGATTCGACAACCTACACAACGAAACAGGCAACACATCAGTTGTTGGCCATGAGTTTTCTGGGTTTTGCAGCACGGATTATGGGAGAATCAGATTACAATATATGGAGGAAGAGGATGCGGATGTGATATCCCATAATTTGTCTCATTTGGAGTTTACGGGATGGATTGTCTCGGGTGAAACCAGCACCGAGGCTTTCTTTGGTCTGATAAGATTGGAGGATAGATATGCCCAGTCCAATTCAGCGTTGCTGTTCTGATCATCTTTTCTGGTGCTTCCGTCCCACTGTCCCTATGATCCGAGATATTCGACACGAGTTTGCGTCGTCAGCCAGTCAAACATACAGACTAATGACGCGAGTCAAACCGTCGAGGCCAACTTTCCATTCCTCGTGCAAAGAGCTCGACTTCTCATCTGTTTGCAGCCACAAACAGTGATCGAGAACTCAACAGTGCTCATGTCTCACGCTTTCCTGAGACTGGTTGCGCATCACCAGGTTCAGTGGACTGCTTGGCTTCAGTCAAAAATGGCAGCCACAATAGGCTACCTCAGCCGCACCTGCTCTTTCCTCATCACAGTACCAATCGAGTTCCTGACCAGATCACTCACGTAGTCGTTCCTCTACTTCTAACAAGTTTCCTTCCTGAAAGCAGATTTCTCGTCAGCCTGTGTTTTTTTTCCTTTTCCACGCTAGCCTCCGCGACCAATTGTTTGGTCTCATCAGCAAAATATACGGTTCGAGCGGCACCCCTGCCTCATGCACGTCTGGCTTTATCTGCCCTCCTGCCACCGAGTACAGCTGCAGCAGTTTCATGCTGTAGAGCTTAGTCGAACCAGGTAGACGATGCTAATCTGAAGCTTTCATCATCGAGATTCTCACCAACCTATCAAGGTCGCTAGCTGCCCTATTTCGAAATGGGCTCTGCTGTTGCTGATCGAGAAGACCCCCCCCCCCCCCCAGAAGTGTTTCCCCACGACGACAGGGCTTTTCCCCAGGGATCAGGAGGCAATTGTCTTCCATAGCGAACAGCGCCGGTGCTCACCCGTGACAGGCGGCGATAGATGTGAACGAGGTTCACCCGCCTTCTAGACATGGCCAAATTATTGCAGTCACGATGGTGCCTCGAGCAGGAAGCCAGCCGTGACAAGATATCCCTGAGACACTAATCTTGCTCGAGGCTCCAGGAAGCTTCTTGTTCATCCGTGGCATCCTTTCCCTTCTTCTTCTTCTTCTCCTTCTTTCCCCTTCGTTTGTAGCGATACGCTACCTCACCTGCTCATCTGGCAATAGTGCTGCATATCGAGTTGACGCGCAGTACAAGTGGTCCAGCGAAGCCCACGCATTCTGAGTTTGGCGCAAATCAGCCTTACGAGCAACGCACTGTCGATCCTGCTGTCTTGGCCGGATTGAGATACACTGCCAAGAGAACCACACAATCCATTCTGGGATCCGGCCCCACGCCGTCGAACGGTGACCAGTCTTGGCGACACACCTCGCAACACTTGGTAGTCAATAAAGGCATGCCGCTTGGTTCGGAGTCCGTCCACCTGTTGGCCTTGAACCCAACGGCTCGCCGGTCATGGTTGCCGGCCATGTCGAATAGCGACTGCTCAGGGAAATCATTTTTCTGTGGATCCTCCTCCTGCTTCTTTGCTGGACTTGGCGCTACTGGGCGCCCCCGGCGACGAAAGTGGTCGTGGCCGCTGCTTCGGTTGCATACAAAACCGGACCGCATTGTCCTAACTCAACTGACTTACCATCTCAGCTGCATTTCGGACCCCACCGGGGCCATGCCGAAAGGCAAGGTTGCACAAGCTTTCAAAGAATGGATAAAGTCTTCAATCTCATCAGCAATCACAATCTTCTCTGATGGCTCCAAAGGGACGGATGGTGTGGAAAATGGCCATGCCATCTGGGAAGGACCTGGCTCTACAACCATCCAAGAAGGCTCTGGAGCTTTGCATGATTCAGCAGCTGTATATGATGCAGAGGCAGTCGGGGCATGGCGAGAGCTGGAAGCGGCGACCAAAATTGCAAGATCACACGACCCAATTATAGTCTACCTTGACAATACATCTGTCATCAGTGGGTTACAGGGCCGCCCAGGTGACTCATCTCAATAGACATTTCCCTCTTTGAAGAGGAGAAGGGAGACAAGGCTGGCCTCTATTGCGGTCAAATGGTCTCCCGACCATTTGGATATTGCAGGCAACGAGGCGGCAGACAGGCTAGCCAAAAGCAGGACAGACAGGATCTATGGACTGCAAAGCTGGGCCGACTTTTTCAAGGGCTGGAAACTTACTGTCGTGCAGCTCTCGATGATTCCATATGCAAAGACTGGGCCCGGACTGACAAAGGGCTTTCGAAATGGTACAGATGTTGCCGTCTCCGCCCCAGAACATCGTGCCCTACTGAACTATATCTCGAGCGGCAAACGCTCCATCATTTTCTAGCTACGGTGTAGGTTGGTTTTGTTCAAGACAAGCTAGTAAAGAGTGAGAAAGAAAGGAAGCAAAAAACAACACAAGCACACACATACTTCCCCCCGCATTCACGCCCACTAGCGTTCGAACAATCAGTTCTCTGCTCATGACACTCGAGGCTCTGCTTCTTTTCCTTTTCCCAAATTGTTCCTACCTCATTGGTGGCTGTCCAGACTGGGCTCAAGCTCTCTTATGCGTCAATTAAGTTTCAATGCCAATCCTGCCCAACAGAGATGTATGAAATGACTTCACAGCGAAGCATAACTACACATTATATCATATCAAAGGTTGGAATGCACACCTGTTTTGCCACTGGCCCCCATATTGCTGCTGCCTGATCCTGCTAGGCTTTGACACTAATATCCAGAGCGTGCTTAATCAAGACCTGTCTTTCCAAGCAAGTCATCTAAATCCTGCTTCACCACTTCCAGATAGTAGGATCTGAAAGATATGTCTAGAATAAGTCTCCCCTGTGTCATGAAATATAGTGGGTACAACCGAGTGCCAGCTACGTGTCAAGGGTGTGGCTAGAACACTGAGCTAATGGGTTCGTAACTATTGCAAAAGTGATCACCGGTACACTGTCTTGGCTGTACCCATTATATCTTGTGACCCCCTGATACAAATGAGCACACTGCTTGAATGTCATCAGATATTGCCTTACTGTCCTACTCCTACATCTACTTACTCCTAAACCCCATAAAGCTTTTTCAAACCAGAAACCATCTTCACATTTGACCAAGAGTAGCTATGGAGAGAGAGTATAGAGTGTTAAACGAGACCTTGGAGGAGGACATCAACAATGCGGATACAGAGTCTCTTCTTCGTGTTCTTCGGGAGTATTCCGAACCAAACGACTGTTCAAAGCAATTGTCTTGCTATTCCAGAGTCTCAAGGAATTACAAAGTCCAGTACATTGTCAACATGCTGCTTGCTGCTGTGCTGCTCTCCTGCATAGCGACTGTCTGGAATCAGCAATGTGAATGCAGCAGCGATGTTGAGCAGTACTATTACTATTGTGAGTTGCAACCTCGGCTTCGAAACCATCAAGATCAATTGGTAAACTTATGAAACATAGCACCTGCTCTTCGAGCTACCAAGCCAGGATCTCGCGTCACGCAATTTAATCATACCAAATGGTCGCCATTTCGCCCGAGCATTTATCAACCCCTCGAATATGTTGATGGCAACTGGACAAACTTATTGCGTGGTGAGAACAACCCTTTCTAGATCTGCGGGAAAGCTTGCAGGCTAAAGAGTTTCTGTCGGCCAGTTGGTATGATGAGTCTTAGCGAGGAAGAACTGATCCTTGCGGGCGGTTCACCTCGTGAAGCAGTCAAGCTACCTCCCGAGAGCAGCGGCGGGTATATGAGCTACCTTGCCAGTCACCACCACCTACATTGCCTTTACCTGCTACACCAAAGTCTTCACCCGGAGTATTATAGTACTCGTAGCGTTGTGTGGCTTGAAATGCCGGACCCTCAACGGCGGCTCAGTCATTTTGACCATTGCATCGAGACGTTGCGGCAATACGTTACATGCCAGGCTGATACGAACGTGGTTACCCACCAGTGGTGGGAGCAGTATCAATCTCCAGTTGCAACTCAAGAGAATTTGAGGCGATGCGCGGATTGGGACTTGCATTGGCAGTGGCAACTGGATAGGCAGGCCCCAGCGCCCAATGCAGAAATAGTAAAGCCACCGCTAGGCAGTTTGAGCATGTATACGAAGATTGAGACTTAAAAGGTGGAAATAAGTTGAAGAATTTTATGGCTTATTTACTGTATAAAGTGATGAAAGTATTGCAAAGAACCGAAATGAATAAGAAAAACACATTTGATCTTTATTGCTACTTGACTTTTACCATTTTCTCTATTTGATCATCCTCTTCTTTGGAGACTTTGTACAGCCGGTGTCCGGTTCTGCTGCTGCCAGAGACAGGTTAACCCACAGTCATTGAACTGAGGCTGAGCAGCTCCTACGAGTGGAATACTCTGCCTGCCTGAAAGCTCTCTGCTGAACAATGCTTTCATTAGCTAGCAAGTCTTTCCTGAAATCGTATTCAATATCTGCCCTATCAATAGTATTGGATCTGGTCAAGTCCTAGCATGGGAGTGTAAGCGGTGAAATTGATCAACTGACGACCTGCCTTCCATTACCCGCGGACCTGGGCTGATAGGAGGCGGACTTGGCAGCTTTCGGATGCGTCCGCGCCTAACCAGAAAAGAGACAGAAGCGTAAGTTTGATGATTAGTACTCTGTGCAACCCCCCCCCCCTTTTTTTTTTTTTTGTATGAAGCGTCCTGACTGTCTATATTGTCTGATATATAAGAAACTATCTTCTTCTTGTTCGGGACCAGGCATAAGACAATTCTTTTAGATCTCCCCTCCCGACCGCCGGCTGCCGTTTCGCTCTCTCCCGTCGCCTCCGTCTAGAGAATGCTGCCGCTGCAGCCTGGCTCCGGCCAGGGAAGGAACGTTGCGTCCCTGCTGCGAAGGGGAAGGAGAGGCCCCTGGAGGAGGGAGCTGGTACGGCGGAATTGGCTTTGGATCGGCTCTCGAGGCTTGACGTGACGTGCACTGGCTCTTCACATCTGACAACACATGATGTTGACCTTGGTTAGCAGATCAGAGAACAGACAGATACCGGGCGATCAGACGGCAGCAGCAGCCGAGACGCCTCCCAATCCTTATATTTCACTTCCGACTGACCCGAAAGCTTGCGTATGATCAGCTGCAGACCTCAAGCTGGGAACTCTCTCGACCACAGGTTCGAATCACTCGTGTTGTATCGGCAACACATCAGCTGTGTGTGTGGCCCCACAGACCTGGCGTGAAACATGAAACGCCTTTTATCCCTGCGAAATCGATTTTCTTCTTCTTTTTCTCTGCGGGATTTCAGATCTGCAAAGGCCTTCGTCAGTATCAAGACGCGCATGTAAGGTACGAACTCTCGGGACTAACTAACCGTGTTGCAGAGGAGCACTCGTGGTCTGGGATTCGCCATCTGCAGGGGCCAAGAAAAACCCCTTGAAGCTGTGCAGCACAAATGAAGCAGTCGTCTGGAGCGATTGGTAACGGGCGCTTGCTTGCAGAGGGTCCATCGGTGCAGTGGGCCTGGTCAAGCCAATCATCTTACATGCATCCTGGAAGCTGGCCAATCTGGTACAAGCCGCATTCCTTGTAGCTCGAGGTTGGGCGGCTACGCAATACTATGTACACGCTCAAACAAAGTTCCACCAGCCCTGCTCCATTCAAGACAAGCCTCGAGAACCACTAAGCGCCCTCCATCGCAGGCGAACGAGCCTTGGACCGATGCAGGAAGAATGGCGAGATTCATCTCGAGACGCCTGCGCCAGTCGGGCCAGTCAGATCCGCTTCATCGTCAGACAGGCAATTACGACAGGTGGAGAAAGAGATGGCTTGCCAGCTTCCAGCGGCACGAAGCTTCGAAGCTCCCTCGGAGAGGCTGGCGAACTAACTTCCGTGGACTCAATCCCTCCTAGCCAGACCCCTTCTCTCTTTTTCCCACGAACATCTATTGTCAAGGCTGGTCCATTGTGATTTCTTCCTGTTCTTTTGTTCCAACATTCTTTCAGGTTCGATCTCTCGAGGTCAATGCTCTCAAGCTTGAGACATTCCCATTGTTCTCGGCTTATGGCGGTTTCTACGTAGTAACCCTATTGTCCCTTTTTCTTTCTTTTTTTTTTTTTTTCCCCTCCTACCTCGTCCCTATTGTCTATTGTCTGGCAGTCGTCCTCCACATCTCGTCGTATAATACACCAAGAAAAAAAAAGCCCCCATCTTCTTGTGCTGTTCTTTTCTTTCATCTGCATTTATTCCTACAACCATGCAAGACCTTCGAGCCATGCATGCTGCTGCATCTCGAGATGATTGGGAGGATTGGACCGACGAGGAAACAGCTTTGCCACCCACCAAAACCCCACCAAAACCCTCGAATCTGTCAACCACAATAACAGCACGTCGTTCAAAGTCCAAACAGTCAGCCCCCAAGCTCCAGAGACTGAAGTCACGAAAGCGACAGCAATTCCAGAATGAGAGGCTGGGAATCAAGCTCGTCACAGACATGACCCGCTTCCGCAAAGGACCCCAACACGTTGCCCAGATTGTGAAACCCTCTCCAGTCCCCAGCGCGACGGGCAAGTTTGCAGATGCCAGCGCAACAGGCAAATTTGCAGATGCAAGTGCCCTGCGGGCCCTGGAGGGGTCTCCCTCGTCTGCTTCCATGGGCAACTGGGCCTGGCTGCGGAATAACAACAATCAGTCTCCTGCCAGCGCCACTCCGACCTCACAGCGCTATCTTTCGCCCGAAGAGAGCAAGATCGTCATTGGCATGTCCATGTCCGAAGACGATGCTGCTAGCAGGACGATCAGCCCCTCAACTGCAACCGTCGCCACCCCCACAGACAGGTTTCCCCCTCAGCCAACTTCCTCAACACAGCCTCGATACCATCTTGGCCAAGCTTCCCAATCGGCTTGGTCGCCCGATACGGAAGATGGATGGTCGCCTGCTCGTCACCCCAACATATATGCACAGTCCACTGGCCAGTCTTTTGTGCCCCCTGTGCCCGCCGTGCCATCTGATCTCAAGAAGAACAAATCGACAAAGGCCAGCCTTTCCAAGAATGACTTTGACGACGACAACTTCACACCAGTGACCTTGTTTGAGGAAGACGGTAAATCCCCCCAGTCAGCCTTGTCCAAGATCTCTCCAGAGACCACCCGATCGCGATCTGGCTGGTGGGATCACGTCAGTACACCGTTTAAGGAGCGCTTCAGCCCGTCATCCGCCAGGTCGGCCAAGGAGGCGGCAAGCCCCGACGAGTGGTGGAAGGGCGCCGACGAGAAGAAGCCCGGCTACATGGCCCGAGAGTACGCCCCGTCGGACGCATCCGCATCCACACTGCGGCCCGTGGTGCCCATCATCCGGGAGCCGTCGCCGACCATCGCATCCTCCTCTCGCGCGTCGCCTCCGCCCAGTTCATCTGGATCGGATACACGCTCTGAGAAGGCTGGCATGGTAATGGCAGACAACGCTGACCCCAGTGACGTGCCGCCGCCCTATGAGCGTACGCCGTCGTCTGAGAAGGAGTCCCAGCAGCCTGTTCGGTTTCGCGCCGTGTTCCCGCCAAACCATCCCCTGGCGAACCAGTTCCCACCTTCACCGATGCCCGGAAGCCCAGGCCTCGACAGAGACATGTCGTCTAAAGGCGATATCAAGATGTCGGATGTGCCATTGACGCCGGCTCTCACCGGACCGGATGCCGCAGCAGCGGACGCTCCGCTCCCTGACCGAGTGGCCGGCACATATGTTGGTGACCAGTTCCAAACCGTGCACGGCGATGATCCTGCCGCCAAAGTCGAAAAGACGAGGCGGCGCCACGAGAAAGAGGATGTTCTCGCTCGCAAGGTCGGCGGCTTCTGGAAAGGCCGAGGCTGCCTGCCAGAGGAAGGTTGCTACGGACGCTCAGGCCGAGAGGGTCGGCAGCGCAGACGGCTCTGGCTCTTCATCTGCCTGGCCTTCTGGCTGCTGACCATCCTCGGTGTTGTCCTGGGTGTCGTGCTGTCGCGTGAACTGCACCGCGCCAAGAGCGCATCTGCTACTGCAAGTCCCTCCAGCGGCGCTGATAATAATGCATCACCATCAGGTTCTGACAATCCAGAACAGGCTTCGGTCTGGCTCAACCTGACCGACTTCCCAGCGATCCCCACGGGTCTCGCGACGGTCGTCGGCCCGGACAACTCAGAAGCCATCACAGGCTGTGTCGAGCCTGCTTCGCTGTGGAGCTGCTCGCTGCCTCCTGAGCAGCAGGCTGCGAATGAGCCGAGCGACGCAGACCAACCCACCTTCATCTTCCAGATCCAGTACGACAACAACACGCGCGAGCTGTGGGACATTCCCAACAGCGCCGCCCCGACCCCGACAACCACGGAAGGGGTCACTGCTTCGACCAAGTCGGCCTCTTCTTCCACCAAGACGACGGCGACGACCACATCGACCACGTCTAGCGCAGCCTCAGCAACAGCGACAGATGCCCTCTACGGCAGCGAACCATCTAACAAGCAGCGGCGGGAGGCAGACGAGCTCATCCGCCGGGACACCCTCTACGACACAGGCATCGCGCCCAACCCTGCAGCACCGTCCTATGACGACATGTGGTTCCTGGGCAACTGGACCGACGGCATCGTGTCGGCCAACAAGTCGGGCGAGCCCACGCCCTTCTACATCAGCTTCTTCACCAACGTGTCCAGCAGCGCGGGGCCCAACATGCTCACCGACTCGACCTCCTCCTCCTCCAAGCGCAAGACGCGCCGAGACAGCGGTAGCCTGGCCTCCATCCTGCCAGCACCGATGCTCAACCCCGACGGCACCGGCGCCACGGCCCAGCTGCATCCGTACCCGTTCCAGCAGCCCTTGCGCCTGTACGACCGCGGCCTGGACACGGAGCACTACGGCTTCTACAGCTACTTCAACAAGACCATCTACGTCAGCTCGATCGACAACACGTCCACAGCCGACCCGGCCTCGGGCGGCGTGCTGGAGAGCAGCGCCTCCTGGTACGTGACGTGGACGCAGACGCGCTTTGTGGTCAAGATCTGGACCCGCAAGACCAACGGCGGCGGCGCCCGCCTCATCGGCTCGTCCGGCACCGCCGCCTCGTCCAACACCACCAGCCCGGGCAGTTTCCCCTACCCCATCACCATCGGCGAGGACACGCACGGCGGCAACCTGCAGACCAAGTACAGCTTCGCCCTGGCCGTCGAGGAGAACCAGGTCATCAACAGGACCGACGCCCAGACGTTTGCCAATAACATCGCGTACGGAAGTCCCGTCGTGAACCCAGCGTTTCCAGACGGGGACCTGAGCTGGGGCGGCACGGATGGAGGCACGGGTGGGTGTCGGTGTGAGTGGGTGAACTGGGTCAAGGAGGATGGGAGTGTTGATACGAGTTTTGGTTGAAAACACTGAACAACCAAGGCGATGATGATGTGATGATGGGAGATGTTGTGAGGACGGAGATGAATCAAGATGAAAGAAGATGATGAATACAGCTTTGCTGGACTGAGCTGGATTTCAAAAGAGATTAAAAAAAAAGAAGCCAAGCAAGAAAATTAGATGTTTGGGATCCAAAAAAGTATCTCGCTACAATATTCGAGAGCCCGAATAGTTATTGCGGCCTCTAGAAAAGTTAATTAATACCTCAATATCACTGTTACCACAGTTTTTCTTTTCTTTTCTTATTTAACTGCGGCTTGTTTATAAGTGATGTCCAGAAGTGTTCATTATATATTCGCATCCAAATTGTGTAATATATACAAACATATATACCCACAAAAGTTTTGTCATGAAAACTTGAAGATATATACAATCTTCCAAATTCACTCACTCACTCACTCACATTCAAAACCTTCAACGTCCACTCATATCTCATGCCCAAATACATGATGCCCCTCCCATAACTCCACGCTCCTCTTCTTCTGCTGCGTCCGCGGTGTCAGCCCCTCCCAAAACGCACACCGCGCCCGCTGTTCCGGCGTAACATCCTCCATGTGCGTCGTATTTGTCTCCAGCACAATCCTGCTCCCATTGCCATCAGACGATGACACCCACGCATCCCATGCCGGACTCCCCTCGGCCCGTAGCGTATTGGGATCGCGCGTTCTCACAAAGGAGAGGAAATAGTCCATGACGAGGGGGACGGCGTTGGCGTCGTAGGTAAGGTAGCTGGTTGGGGCGGGGGCGTCGTCCAGATTGGAGGGGCCGAAGACGGCGTAGGATTCCCAGAGATGGGGGACGCCAAGGCCGTCGGCTGCGTTGGTCTGGTCAAGGACGTTGTAGCGGTAGTTCCAGAGCTGGGTGTCGCTGGTGGTGGAGGACGACGAGGCAGACGCAGCAGCAGCAGCAGCAGCATAAGCGGCAAGGATGGTGATGGCGGGACAGATAAATGTAGCTTCGCCGTATGCCATGCTGGCGGACGGGAACCAGGCAGCGTGTCCGGCGATGGCGGGTGCGGGTTCTTGTAAGGGGTAGAGGCTGACGATGGCGTCGGTGTCGTTGGTGGTGAGGAGGGGGTAGTTGTTTTGTAAAAAGTTGACCATGTCGTCGCTCGTGGCAGCGTCGGTGGCGAACTCAGAGCCCTCGTTGTTGTCGTTGCCGAATAAGAGGGGGACGTTGACGAAGTTGCCCGAGGCGAACATGTCGTAGGGGAGGTCACGGATGAAGTCGCCGTCTATACAAGGGGTCCAGTAGAAAAGGGGCTCCGGGGTAGCATCGCGTCCTGGGAATGGGAAGGGGATGTTCTGGGCCTGAAGGGTGGTGGTGTTCAGACCGCGGAGGCATGTCAGCTGGTCATCGTCGGCCTCGTCGGCGCAGCCTGTGGAGTTGACGAGGCGGTCGAACTGGTACTCAAGTTGCGGCACAAAAGGCTGCGCAGGGAAGAAGACAGACTCGGCGATGGCAGCAGTGAAGAGGCCGTCGTCGCGTCCTCCGTAGGCTGTGAGGTGGAGGGCCACAGATCCTGCGCCGGCCGAGGCGCCGTGGATGACGATGTTGTCTGGGTCGCCGCCAAAGGAGGCGATGTTGGTCTTGACCCACTGCATGAGGAAGCGCTGGTCCAGCAAGCCCGCGTTGAGGGCCCCGTCGGCGCTCACCCTCGCGCTCGCCAGGAATCCCCACAGCGCCACGCGGTAGTTGAAGTTGACAAAGACGATCTGGTTGCCCGACTTCATGACCACCTCAGCGCCGTCCCAGTTGGCATTGGCGTTGGTCACGTATCCGCCTCCCTGGATGAACAGCCACACGGGCAGCTTGGCAGTCGTGTTGGCGCCTGAGGGGGCCCACACGTTGACGAAGAGGCAATCCTCGCTCTCGGTGGTGGAAGGGTAGGGTGCCGAGGTGCCCAGACAGATGGGACCAAAGTCCTGGGCCGACTGGGTGTCTGTCGAGGTGGGTGGTGAGACGGGCGCTCTCCATCTTAGATCACCGACGGGGGCAGCGGCATAGCGCATCCCGCGGAACCGGTTGATGCCTCCGGCGACGGTCTCTCCTTCGTAGGTGGCATATCCCAGGTCGACCGTGGGGTTTTGGCCAGGCTGGGCGATTGTTAGCAGTCCGTTTGTGAGTAGGCAGACTAGCAATATGATCAAGACGAGGATGAAGGCTGTCTGGGCTGGTGCCACGTGATGGGTCCAGTTGGTCTGAGAGCGACCATGTCGAGACATGTCGCTCTCGAAAAGAGAGCCAAAGAGGGAAACGAGAGCAAGGACGAAAAAGGAGCGTTGTTTCCCTCTTCTCTCCAACGGGACGAGCCCGTCAACGAAAGGGAAAAGAGAGCGAGAGAAAAAGAGACCACCAGGTCAGAGAGTTATTCTTTAAAACAAAAGAAAAGTATGTCCATGTCATCATTTCAACTATACCAGACACATATGAACGATAAGGGGGAGGAGGAAGCCGGGGGGGGGGGGGAGAAGAGGGCTCTGAACTAGGACGAAATCATAGCCACGGCCAGGCCCTTGAACCTTGAGCTTGATCTTTTCCAGATTGCAGACATGGATCGACAGCGATTCAGGTAACCACCCGCAAGCCACACTCGGGGAATTCAGTTTCCTTACTGCATTTGTAGTTGGGAGGTTTGTCGGGGGCCCCACTCCTCCAGAAATAGTAGCCGGCGACGGTGGCGGCACGAGGGTAGAGACAGGATCCGCAGGGTCGAGAGAAGTAAAAGAAGATGATGAAGAGGTGGTAGCAGTAGAAGGAGAAGATAAGGAAGAAGTAGCAGCAGCACCACCACCAGAACTGTTCTGAAGATTGCTCGAAATAGGGCCTACCTTTTTGAGATATCCCAAGAGTCCCAAGACCAACAACACCACGAAGAGCACAAGCAGCACGGCAGCGAGAGCGTACGCCACGAATGCCTTGCGTGTCTTCCACCAGGGCCGTCTCGTTGCTGCCCCCTCCTTCTCAGAGGTCGACGACGACTGTTGCTGCCGCTCATCCGTGGCCAGGGGTGGTGGGACCCCCATGTCCTCATTCTCGTGCTCGCCCCCGGCCGACGCGTCACTACGGGCCAGCCATGCTATTCGTGGTCTCGACCACCAGCGGCCCGTTGTTGATGAGATTGGGGACCCATCCTTAGCGGGAGGAGGACCAACAGGAGCAGCAGCAGCAGCAGTCATCGAGGCAGCGAGCCGGCTTAATAGTGTGAGTTGTGGTCTTCCTCCGTCCTCACCGAGGCCCACTGGCTCTCGTTCTCAAGACCCAGTTCCGAAAGGATTGTGCTCGATTATGTGGGTAGAAGGACAGGCCTCGTGTGACGTGCACCCAGGGAAGTATTAGAGTTAAAAGTAAGAGTGAAAAAACAAAAAAGACAGAAGGAGGAAGAAATAAAAGAAAAGAGAGGGAAAGGAGAATTAGAAAAGAAAGCAGGATGCAAGGTTCGTCGTGTCTTCAACGTCACAAAACCTGAGGCAAGATTCCAACGATGAATACTTGCTTCAGAAAGGCCCAGTCCAATGAGACGATCTTGGGTGTTTGGTTGTGTTTCTGAGATTGGACGAAGACCCTGCTTTCAGCTAAGGCGTCTCTATCTGTTCTTTCTGCGGTGTGAACTAATTAGTGCCGGGCTTGTCATCCGCTGTGGATTTTTTCTTCTTCAAAAGCCACGATAAAATGGATCCCGGGAGTAAGCGGCACTGCAGTTGCGAAGTCTTTGTTGGGCAAGCCTTGGTCAAGAAGTGACCATGTTGAGGTATCAAGGTGAATGGTCGGAGTGTGTGTTTTCGTTGTGGCTTATCACTTTGGCTGAAGTGATAGTCAGCAGAGTGAGGGAATAGAAAATAAAAATAAAAGAACAAAAGGAAATCTTACAGATGAAGAGAGAGAGAGAGAGAACCACAAGATTGCATCCTTATCGAGCCCAGTCCGGCTAAGCGGCAGCACTACTGCTACCAAGTTATCAGAGTGGACTGGCTGGCTCCTTCCTCTCTTCCCATCCTCCTCTCTTGCCATTTTGAATCCTCCATTTCTACATAAGTACTATAGTAAGTTTCATAATGCAGTCACCATCCTCTGCAACTGCTCTGGCTCGGCTACCCCGGGCAAGAGGAACAACAACAAGGTTGTGCCTTTCAGCTGAACCAGAGCACACTTTGAGAGTACTGCACCTTTCCCCTTGCGCCTCGAACAAGAGACCTCAGCCCAAGGAATTGAGAAGAAGCCACAAAGTCCTTTTTTTTTCCCCTCCCGCACCAACCTCCTCGGAAGACTGCATGTGCTGAGACGTCCGAGCACACAAGAGTGCAACCAGGAAAGTTTCAAGGAACACCACCCCGGGTCAGGACGGGAAGGGGGTGGGGGAAAATCAGAGAAGAGAATGCGAGGGGCCGATGCGAGTCTGACGGACAACAGATGAACAATCTTCACATGCGCTTCTGTTCAAGAGTGCACGTGAACAATCTGTTGCTGAGACTGAACAGCTCGAATGTCCAAAGGGACTTGTCGTCGTTGTCTTCAGAATTTCACCCTTTCTCTGTAGTGAGTGAATGCATGTATGTCTCACTCATAATCTGGATTGGGCGTCCTAGGCTGGAATGATTACGGTAAGCGGCATGACATCTGTACTTGAATGGCCGACTCGACAAAATATTGTCATTAGTACGTGTATACTTGATGCGTGGCCTCGACGTTTATACACAACGTATACAAGTAATATACATGCACAGCAGATGGGACGACCAAAACTTCATTGCATAGTCAAACCGCCTCAGAGCTAATACACACGGCAACAAAGTACAATCATTTGTCTATGCCTCGTATGGTACAAACGCTGCTCCAGCACAGTTCCTCTTGTCTATTCTTTTCCCTTCCAACCTGGGCGCACCCCCTCTTTCCTCTCATTTTCCCTTCTTGACCCAGTCCTCGACAGTCTCCCGCGCACCCTTGACCTTCTCGCCCACCGCGTCTGACACCACCTGCCTGTGCACCTTGGCAAAGCTGACGCCGCTCTCCAACGCCTCCCTTGTCTTGATGTGGCCCTGCGCGACGGCCGGGAACCGCTGCTCGTACCGCCAAGCCAGCTCGCTCACATTGCCCATCGTGACGGGCAGAGCAGTCCAGCCCATGCCCACGCCGAACGCGACGGGCACGGCGGCGCGCAGCAGGATGTTGCTGCGGCGCGTGACGATGCTCCCGGCCATGGCGGCCACCAGCACGTACACCAGGCCCGGCATGAGCTTCTCGCCGGACTCGGCGGGCGGCGCGAGACCCGCCACGGTGTCGGTGAACGACTTCTCCAGGTGGAATGCGCGGTCCATAGCCCGGTTCACTGCGTCCTCGGCATCGCAGGCCTGACGGTACAGGAAAAGCCGCGCGTCGCGGATCTGAGCGGCCAAACGATCAGTGGGCGTGGGGCCGCGAGCCTGCTGCCGGACGACCACCTCCTGGGACCCTGGGGACGACAAGGACCAAGAAGACTCGGAGGCGACGATGGTCGAGGTAGGGCTCGCCGGGGCTTCTTGCGACGACTGCTTGGACGGCGGCGGCGGTGGTGGTGGCAGGGTGGCTGTCGTGGGCACGGCGTCGAAATCGTCGTATATGGGCTTCTTGGGCTGGAGGACACACATGACGGTCAGTCGTTGATTTGGGTAGAGCAGGCATGGGAAGCTTTTGGGGGTCAATATGATCGTACTGATGGGGAGTTGTATGATTCTGGGGCCTCTGCGTGGGCGACTCGTGGGTAGAGGGCAACGCCTCCGGCAAGGAGGGAGGCTGTCAACGGCGCGGCATGCTTTGCGAGAATTCCCTCGTGTCAGTAGATCAAAGCTCCAAGCTCAATGAAATTCACAAGCCAATTGGGCCAGTAGGATGGGGCCTTACCCGTTGCAGCAGAACTCTTGCCGCCATCTTGACCCTGATTGATCTCCCGGAATACTCGACCGAACGTCAAAGGGTCGGGTTGGGTGGGTTGTCGGTCCTTTGGTGAGGAGGTTGGTTGGGTGGTTGATGGGACCTGAGAACAAGGCGCTGTAGTCCGGCGAGTTGGCGGCTCTTCCCGGGAGCAAGCAACAGCGGCAGCAGTGGTTATTGTTCCTTCTCTAGCGGGAGCTCCTAACTAAAAATTTGAGCTGGGCAAGAGCCATTATTCCGTCATGGGCGACAGGGTAGGGTAGTACCTTTCGTCGGCCTAAAATCGGCGACTTGTGAAAGTTCTCACAAGCACCTTCTTTTTCCTTGTCTCTCTCTCTCTCCTCTTCTCTTTCTCCTCTCCTCGTATAATTGAATAGCTTCCAGCACTCCTTCTCGACCAGACTTGGGAGAGTTCAACATCTCCTCTACTGTTATTCTTGCCTCTGCCTGCTCTGTTGTTCCAGTCTACATGGATTTTCCTCCTTACCGACGACCAAGGCAATGACAATATCCAAGGACACAAGACCAAGAAGCCTCTCAACACCACCGCTGCCGCGACCATCACACCCGCCACAGAGGTCATGATCAGGTTCGCCCAGCGTCCAGTGGCGTCTGCAGCCTGGGTCTGCTCAAGATGCGCAAGGCGCACGGTGCGAGACACACGGCTGCAGCTCAGTACTGCTGCGACCAGCCCTTCTTCTGCTACTCAGACTGAGGACAACACATCACCCTCCCCACCTCAGAAACCAAAGTCAATACTTGGCTCTATAGTGCAGTTTACCACCGACACGAGTCACGACGACACGACCCTCCGCCAGATCTTCGACTCCAGCCCAGCGTGGCGGGACTTCTCCAGATCCTCCAGAGGCAAACCGCGCGTCGGCCTCTTCCGTAATGCCTACCTCACCGAACCTCAAGGCTTCCTCGCCTTCGCCAGGGTCTCGCTGGCACGTGCCCAGACCATCGTCGACAAGGTCCTCCACGCGAGCTCGCTATCCGAGTACCAAGAGATGGTTCGCGACATGGACAGGTTATCAGATCTCCTGTGCAGAGTTATCGACCTCTCCGACTTTGTGCGCGTCACACATCCGGACCGCCAGATGCAGTCGGCGGCATCAGAGGCCTGGGGCATCGTATACCAGTACATGAACCAGTTGAACACAACGACGGGGCTGAACGAGCAGCTGGGGCGGGCGATGGAGAACCCAGAGGTGACGGCTGCCTGGACCGAGGAGGAGAAGGCTGTCGCCGAGATCCTGAGGCTGGACTTCACCAAGTCGGCGGTCAACCTGCCGCAGGACGCACGCGACAGGTTCGTCGAGCTGTCGTCCAGGATAGGAGACGTCGGCCAGCAGTTCGTCGAGGGGATGGCCCCCGAGCAACCATTCTTGAACCTCCCCAGCATCAACTTCCAGGGGGTGGAGCCGAGGTTCGCGCAGAAGCTGTCCAGACGTGGCCAGATCCACCTGCCCACGCTGAGCCCAGAGGCTTCGTACGCACTGCGCATGGTGCACCACGAGCAGACGCGCAAGTCCATCTTTATGGCATCGCGGACGGCCTCGAAGGAGTCTGTCCAGCGCCTCGAGGAGCTGCTCAGGCTGCGGGCGGAGCTGGCGGATCTGTCAGGGTTCGAGAGCTACGGGCACATGGCACTGCGCGACAGGATGATGGCCAAGACGCCCGAGGCTGTCCAGGGGTTCCTGCGGGCCCTGAACAATAACAATGCCCCGGTGGTACAGCGCGAGATGCAGAACCTGCTAGCGATGAAACGGACCAACACAGCCTCCTCGGGTCCCGTCAGGCCCTGGGACAAGGACTACTATATGAACAGGATCCGCGAGGCCGTGAGGTCCAAGTTACGACGGGATGACTTCTTGTCTGCCTACTTCTCGCTGGGAACCGTCATGCAGGGCCTCTCGCGGCTCTTCACACGGCTGTACGGGATCCGCTTCGTGCCGCAGGAGACGATGCCAGGCGAGACCTGGCACCCCGACGTGCGACGGCTGGACGTCGTCTCAGATACAGACGGACACGTCGCGGTCCTGTACTGTGATCTCTTCTACCGGGCAGACAAGTCACCTAACCCGGCACACTTTACGGTGCGGTGCTCACGAGAGATCGAGGGGCGTGAGCTTGAGGAGGCTGAGTCTGCACTCCTGCAGGCCGCAGCAGCGCAGCACCCCGGCTTCGCCTCCCCAGAGGAAGCAGCCAACGACGGCATGGCCATGGCGCGAGGTAGAGATGGCTCCCTGAAGCAGCTGCCGACGATTGCGCTCGTGTGCGACTTCCCGCAGGGCAACGGCGCGGGAGACAAGCCTGCCTTCCTGACATATGGACAGGTAGAGACGCTCTTCCACGAGATGGGCCACGCCATCCACAGCATCCTGGCGCGGACGTCCCTGCAGAACGTGTCGGGCACCCGCTGCGCGACCGACCTGGCGGAGCTGCCGTCGACGCTGATGGAGCACTTTTGTGCGGACCCCGAGGTCCTGCGCCTCTTTGCGCGGCACTACGAGACGGACGAGCCGCTCAACTACGACATGGTGGTTCAGCAGCTGCGGCAGTCGAGGCTGTTTGAGGGCATGGACAACGAGAACCAGATCCTGCTGGCGATGCTGGACCAGTCGTACCACTCAGGACAGGTCAGGGCGGCTGACTTTGACTCGTCACACATGTACTGGAATATCCAGGACACATATGGCCACACGCCTGCCGACCCGCCGAACACCAGCTGGCAGGGCTTCTTTGGTCACCTGTTCGGCTACGGGAGTACGTACTACAGCTACCTGTTTGACCGCGTGCTGGCCGAGAGGGTGTGGGAGAAGGTGTTTTCAACAGGCCGGGGCGGGGCGGCCGTGAGCCGGGAGAACGGAGAGCAGCTGAAGGAGAACTTGCTCAGGTGGGGTGGCAGCAGAGACCCGTGGAGGTGTCTGGCCGACACCCTCCGCGACGACGGGCTCGCGCGCGGTGATGCGAAGGCCATGGCCTTGGTCGGCAGCTGGGGTACAGGAGCCACCCTGAGGGGGTAGTCATTCATCAACAAGACCAGCTTTCTCCATGCAACGATTCCCAGACGCCCATGTATTTTTTCATTTTTTCTTCTTCTTCAGATGTGCCTGTGAAGATTGTTTTCTCATTTTCTTCTCGTTACGTGTGTATACGCGATCACCAGAATTGCAGCAGGGGCCCAACGCGGCGAGAACGGCTCAAAAGTCGACATGAGGCTGCCGTCTTCCTTGTCAGAAAATTTGTCTGACTTGCTAAGATGAGTAGAAGCATTCTCGGGTGCTGCGGAAAGATCTGGGTTGGAAGGGGTGATTTCCTCTTCTCTTCACAGAGAGCGAGAGTCTCGAGAGTCTCGACAGGCCCGACAGGCCCGACACAGCCGCCTCCGCCTCGAAGTCACTCACTCACTGTTCCACCTGCCCCGTGGCTGGCGTAAGCAAGAACCATCCAATCTGCTCGTCCACGTCCCCCTCGGCAAGGCTTTTCCAGTCCTAAATTTAACCATCCAGCAAAGCCGAGGACAAAATGACCTGTTCAATCTGGTTATCATCTCGCCAGCGCTGAACGCCGATGTGAGTAAGAAGACCATCGATCGACCGATCCACACTCCCGGACATGGTCGCCCCCCCCCCCCCCTCTTCCCTCGGCAAGCATGTTGGCATAGCCGCAGCACAACCATGTTTTTTTTGCGTGTTGTTGCATTGAGACGCGGTCAGCCTTCCCCACAGGCAATGATTGGCTGCATCAGCAGAACGACTGCAGCACACCAAGGAAGGCCAGACTCTACCAATGTAGGGAGTGAATAACCCAATTACTCAATTCGGCTTAGCCTGCCTCTCAAAGGCTGTCACGATGGGTCTCTCTGCGATGCCCCCAGGCCGCCCTCGGCATGCTCGGTGAAGGGCGCGGCGACATGATCCAAGGCGCATTTTGCTGCTGCTGCTGCTGCTGCTGCTGTGGAGGGAGGGGGAAATAGGACATGGGCTGCGATTTCCGGTCCCTTAATCAGCTCCTGCCCTCCATTCGCGGGTGCTCGGAAAGATGAGCGACGGGGGGTAATGGAGATGTGAGGTCAGAGAAGAAGAAATATATAGAAGGCGGATGAGTCTTTATTTTTTTTGGTCTTCCTTTCTCCAGCTGCCTGGTCAGCACAAGAAGGTTACACACCGTCGAGAGAGAGAAAAAGAGAGAAGACGTCTGCCCTCCTTGAACAAACCACATCAACAAGGCCACCAAGAAATGATGGAAGCTCATCGCCCAACCCAAGAAGAACGACCCTCCTTCACCACGTACTGGAGGAAGAACCAAGAGGATTCTTCGGCCAGGACACTCAGATTCGTCCAGAGTGATCCAGGCCAACCGAGCAGACCAGGTATGTTGAAGACGAAGAAGAAAAGAGGAGGAAGAAAAGAAACAGGAGGAAAGGGGAGGGGGGAAAGACAAAACTTTTCAAGGGCCTGACTTTCCTCTTGTCTCACGGACCATCGAGATCACTTCCCCCACCCGCCCTTTATATAATCTCGTCAACGATCTGGTCACACAGTCCACCCTCGCCCCCTCCCTTCCAGCCCTCTGCCATGCTTGTGCGCCCCTGGGCGCCGAGTTGCTTCGGACTTGGCGTTGGGGCGCGTTCTGCGCTCTGGAAATCTTATGCCTCGATGCGGGCATGGCGATTTGTCAACAGTTACCGGAGAAGCGGGACCTCGGGCGTGTACTCGGTCCCGCTCGCAGTTGGACTCCCCATTTGGGCAAAAGAAGAAGGAGGAGGAGGAGAGTATCTATATACTTTTTCATGTCCCTTTCTTCTTTGGCCTATTCTTTCTCGTTCACGCTACGAGTGCAACCCTCCCCCCCTGGGTCTATGATGTCTCATTCTGTCCCGCACATTCATTCATGCATCCATCCATTCATGTGTCCATCCGTCACTCTCGCGCCATGCTACAGCCCTAATCACTGCACCAGTACCCAGATGATCACTACCTCACAACCAATCCACCACATGACCTCATCATCTTCATCACCCCCACCATCAAGATGGCGGCCAGAATAAGAAAAGAAGAATCAAGAAGAAGGAAGAGAAGAGGAAGAGGAAGAAGGAGGCTAACATCAACGTTGGTCATATGACAATAGCAACAACGGCGGCACCACGACCGCCGCCGCCAGCAGCAGCAGCAGCAGCAGCAGTCGCCACAAACTCATTCTCCCCTGGAAGGGCCGAGGAAGAGGAGGGGGATGGGGAGGGGGAGGGGAAGCAGTCAGCCAGGAACAAGCGTCGCGCCCAGGTCCGACGAGCCCAGATCCAGCACCGCCAGCGCAAGGCCGACTACGTCAAGCAACTCCAGTCCGACATCGCCGGCATTCGCGAGCAGATCGAGGACGCAGAGCAGGCGCGACGGTCGCTGCGGGTTGAGAACCAGAACATGCGGGCTTACTTATCGTCTCCGTCATCGGCGGCCGGGTCGGTTTACGGTAGTGAAGGCGGTCGTAGTAGATATGACCATCACCATCATCATCAACAACAGCAACAGCAACATCAACAACAACAACAACAACCACATCATCATCATCGTCACAATTACCGTCAGCAACAGCAACAACAACAACAGCAAGCAGCTGCGGTCAGCGCAGACTTGTACGCGAGTATCCCATCGACCACTTTGTCCTCGCCATATCTACCACCCAACCACGTGCTGGCTCCAGAGGATGACATGCTGCTACAGCATCACCAACAAGGCCTCGGCGGGGATCTCGGCCTCGGCGGGGGCGGCACAGCAGGGTTCTTCACAGTATCAGACGCGGATCTGGACGAGATGCTAAACGCGCAACAGGGAGGAGGAACTGGAGCGGGTGGTAGTGGTGGTGGTAGGGTGTACTACGACTCTGGGTCGCCGGCGTACGGCACAGGGAGCTCGAGAGCGAGCCCGGCCGTGTATCATGGGTCGCCGCAGCTTGTGGATGGGGCCACGGGGCACGGGTCGGACTTGTCATATCCTCTGCTGCCGGATATGCTGATGGGACAGGAACAGGGTGGGCATCAGCAAGGGATGGGGTATTTGTTTCCATGAAGGGCGTTTGTTGGTGGTCGTGATGGGGTGGATGATGGGAAGGGAGAGAGGGGAAGGATACGTGTCCGCATGTAATTATTTCACAAGCAATATCACATATACATCTTGGTTGGTTCGTAGAGACCAAGTGAGGGAAAGAAAAAAAAAGAAAAAAAAAAAACCAGAGAAAGAAAAGGAAGAAAAAAAAAAAACCCTTCACGTCTCAATTTGCTATAATCAAGAAATATTTGGACCAAGGTACCTTGATTTACACAGAGAGAGAGAGCCCTCTTGGCGTAATGTTTTCTTTTGTTCTTTCCCCTTCTATCCGAATTTGATATGCCTCTATTTGGGTATCTCCAAGGCCCTCTCAAACCTAGCAAAATATATAACAAACCCCCTTTTGACTACTAACTTAGGCATCCTCTATAAGTACTGCCGACGACGACCCAAACAGCCTATAAAGCACCACCATCGCAAGCCTCCTCCCGCCCATCCCGCTCCAAAGCGAAGCACAAGGCACAGCAGCCAGCCCTTGCTCCACAATAGCCCCGCGAATCTCATCTGCTAGAAACATGCTCGTGTCTAGATACACTAGATATGGCTGCTGGCTGTGCCGCGTTGTTGTTGTTGGTGATGATGATGATAAGCCTTGTTCTTCCTCATTTGCAAGCCTGGCTACGGCATGACTAAAGATGTCGTCCGCACCACGGCGTAACTCGTCAAGCGTTAGTCTGCTGCCGCCATCATCACGGCCGGCCTCGATGGAGACGACACTGTGCAGACCAGACCCGCCTGTGCTGGCCTCGGAGGAAGGGCTAATAAGGGCAAGACAGTGCTCGGCGCGGTACACTACCCTCGCTACTCCTGCTCCTAGTCCTGCTCCTCCTACCACGGTCCGCCTCTCGCGCCACACACGGACACTACCCGCCTCCAGCCCAGCCAGCCCCGCATGCGCATGCCATTCTGCCTCGGCCGACCGCGGCAGCTCGTCAACCTCTGCGGCGAAACAGAACGGCACCACAGGTGGGTGACTGGCTGTTGTTGTCTCGCCATAGCCTGCTGCTTCCGGGTCTGCCAGCAGCGTGTAGTCCGGCAGGTCTGGTCTGGTGGTATTGGCGCTGGAGGAGGATTCGCCTGTGTAGGACATGTAGCGCGGGTCGAACTTGCGGTCCCATAAGTCTGGGCCGTCTTCGTCATCGTCGTCATCGTCAGTAGTAGACGATGATTTATGTGCTTGTTTCCAGGCACGGTAGGCCAGTTGGGCTTTCTCTCGCGTGGACAGGGCGGTGGTGGTCTCATCTGCGCGCGGGAGATAGACGGCTGCGCTGGTCCACCACTGGACACGCAGCTCGGCTGCTATGCGCCAGAGGTGTTGGAGGGACAGGACGAGCTGGACGTCCATGCCGGCGGCTGGCAGGTCCATGCTTGCTGGGACGAGGGGGATCTGGCCTGCGATGTGCACCGCTCTCTCTGTCGTTGTTGTTGTTGTTGTCCCTCCAGCCACAAGGAGGAGGGGAAATGTGATGGCCTGGCTGTAGGGGCCTATGTTGGCTGGGGCCCAGTAGGATCTGCTCTGGACGTGGAGACCCTGCCTGTCGAGGGCAATAGTAGGGACGGTGAGGTAGATGGCTATGTTGCCGGCGCCGTCAGGGAGAAGATCACCGCACGAGATGGTCACTCGAGAGGGAGGATTTGGCTCTGTAAAGAGGGCGCCGTAGATGGTGTTGATGGCGGGGAAGTCGGCCATGGAGCGGAGGATGATGATGGTGCTGATGATGGAGGCTGGTGTGAGGTTGTGTGTGGTCAGGTGTGAGCGGATCTCGTTGACTAGGATGCTGGTCTCTTCCTGGATGGTGAGGAGGTTGTGGGCGTCTGTTGTCTGTGGGCGAGTGATGGCCCAGGTCTGCTGCAGAATCTGGGGTGGCGACGCGGGTTGATGAAGGTGGTAAAAGGCAGGAGAAGAGTGATCAGCCGCTTTGAGGGTGAGAGGGGTCAGGTCGAGGTCGTCACCGTCGTCGTCATCATCATCGACAACAGCAGCGTTCAACACATCAACCACCCGCTGAAACCTCTCATCAAACAATGCAGGTCTCCTCACCACGGCGCCCTCGCCTTTCTCTTCCTCCTCCTCCTCCTCCTCCTCCTCTTCAGCCGTCTTCTTCTTCTTCTCCTCCACCCTCGCCCGCCTCACCTTCAGCCAAGCCATCCCACCTCCTTCCCTCACTACCAACCGATCGCCCTCCTCCACAACAACCTTCTTACCAAATAACCTCGTCGGTCCATCCAGAACAAGCGTCTCAAATTCCCCACCCTCGCCCAAGATAGCCCCCGTCTCCAGAACCGCAGACCCAAACCGCCCCATGGCCCTCTTGAGCATCGTGATGCCCCTCGGCGCCGCGACGTTCTCCCAAAGAAACCCCTCGTCCAGCCCTCCCGAGGCGACCTTGATGATGCGCGCCTCGAGAACTGCCGCTGCCATATCCAGCAGCAGCTGTGCTTCGTCCGCCACCGCACCGCGTGCCTCGGCAGAAGGCAGCGGCGGGGGTGGCGGCGGGAGGATGGGGTACTTCCAGAGATAGGCCAGCGGGACGAGACCCAGGCGCAGGGCCACAGACTCGACACGGGTGCGCTGGTAGGTGCTCAGGATGGCACCGGCGCTGAGGGCGTTGGCCTCGGGGTGGGAGGCGAGGACGGCCTTGAGGAGGGGCACCAGGGATTCCGTCTCGTCCTGTTCCGCTGCTGCTGTGCCACCACCGTCTTGTCTGCTTGTGGTAGTGGCGGCCCTGACGGTGGAGTATTCCCTCCCGCTCTGCACGGCGCCGCCAAGGATGGGTTGCCGGTACAGGGGGAGGCCCGTGGCGTCGGCGTACAGCGGGATGACCTGGTGCCCGACAGTCTGGTACATGAACGAGTTGAGGTCCGTCTCCTCATCCTCTTGTTCCTCCTCAGGGCGGCCGTCATCGTCCACACTGCTCGGTGGTGGTATTGTCTGACCTCGTTTAGGCAGGGGAGAAGGGGGGTGCAGGTTGGCCAGGGCGACAAGGCGGTGCCCGTTCTCGAGACAGTGCAGGGCCGAGAAGAAGCTGTCTTTGCCACCTGAGACCAAGGCGATGACGTTGAGACCGGCGTTTGATGAGGAGGAGGACGACGACATGGCGGTGGTGATTGTGGCAGGCGGAATATCGAGAAGACGAAGAAGCGGTGTGATGTGTATCCCTCAGCAGCTGATGTGAAGGGCCCGACGAAAACGTAATGGTGGTCAAGATCGGAGGTCGCAGCACCACGCTGGGCTGATCCGCCTTGCTCTTGGTCGGCGAACCTTGGAAGAAGACAGTGCTGGTGCTGGAGCTGGAGCTGGAGCTGGAGCTGGAGCTGGAGCTGGAGCTGGAGCTAGAGCTGGAGCTGCAATGAATGAACATGTACCAAGCCAAACTTGATCCCGGCGTGTGTTGCCGCGCAAGAGTTCGGACGTGTGATGGAACCTGACCCGATCCCGTCTCTTTTCAGCCTCGCACGCGGCGTTCCGTTGCAGATGCCGTGTTGGTGGGACGGCCCAGACGCGCCCAGACCTTTTGGTGGCGTCTCGTGAAGAAAAAAAAGGAGACAAGATTAAGGTTTTCCCGGGTTTCTGTCGTGACACCAGTCTCGCCCGTAAAAGCTCAGCTGGGAATTGTGAAATGTCGCGGCTTGTTAGGGTCCCGAGCTGGCGGGTTCTAAACTATCTCCAGGCCATCGAATGCAGTGCGTTCCGATTCGAGAGAAATAACCCTGAGTACTTGGTTAGTCCCACTGCAGATCGACGATAGCCGTTGGAGGGATGAGGAAGGTGAGACAGACAAGTGTGAAAAAAGAAGGTATCGAGGCTGGCTGGGCTGGGCTGAGGCTTGGGTGAGGTGATGGGAAAGGGCGATGGTGAGTGGTCGAGTTGCTGGAAAAGATAGGCGTTGTGTCTTGATTGCCTCTTTGGTCGGCGACGTGATGGTCAAGCTTTGGGTGTCATCTGGTCACAAAGACGAGCGTCATGCACGCGATGGGCGAGAAGTAATTATTGGGTTTATTTTATTCTGCGAATCATGATCATGTACTACTATCTGCTTGACGCTGTTCAAAGCCCGATCAGGTGGCTAAATTTTCAGCAACAAGAAAAGGTGAGGGTTAGGAGTTTGCCCCCCCCCCCTCTCCCCCCACCTCTCTTCAATATGAAGGGAAACAAGAGAGGAAAAAGGGACAGAGTTCACGATCAAAACACCTGACCCCCACAACAAGAAGAATAGCAAAAAAGAAAGAAGAAGAAGAAAAGAACTCATAAAAAAAAAAAAACCGGTGAGGCCAGTCGGGAGACCATTGACGGCCAGCCACAATACGAGAAAGAGACCCTTAACTCACCACATAAGCAGAAGAAAACCAAGCCACCAAATATATGCACGTCTTCCCGACCTGCATCTCATAGTCTGGTCCGAGTCCCTCGATAGTCAAACAGATGATCTACCCGAAAGAGGAATTGAGAGACAGAGAGAGAAAGAAAAGAAAGAAAAGGTTAGACGAATCCAACCCACCACCACTACTCATCATCACATGTGGTGATTGCCCCGTTGCGAGTGCAGTCTACTACCGTCTCAGAGCTGCATTAGTGATCCCGAGTCCATTCCAGCTAACTCATCTATCCATCACTCACCCCTCCCCCCCCCCCCCAAAAATGACACTTTTACTTTTCTTCTACTCTTTTCTTCCTAGCTTATCTCGTCCCAATGTAGGAAGATGGGGCTTGACTGACATAACTTGGAAGAGGAGGGGTGGGGGGAGGAGGGGCGGGACCTTAGATCTTACGCCATGGTTGACAGATAGCCAGACCGCAGGCAAACTAGGCCCCGTCATCACGAAAAATGAATCCCATGTACCTCAGCAGAAAAGGTACTTGACTGTCCAAGCTGACCCTAACGGTCGAAATGCCCCTTAGCTTCAACCCAAAAAAGCGAGAGAGGTGTATGTATGGTTGTTGCCCCCCCCTCGCCCGTGCGCCATGTCTCACCTATCCAGCCCTATGAACATCCAGAAAAGGACTCCTCAACCAGAGACATTTTTTTTTATTTTATTCTCATTGGTATCGTATGATGACACTTTTTGGTAAACCCCTTCTCATCACACCGACGGCCCGGCGCTGCTTTTCAACAAAAAGACTGACCAGTGACCATTCGCGATTCCAAATCTGACTGTTTCCTTTTTTTTTTTTTCTTCTCCACCCCCACATGCATTCTCACCAATCTTTTTCGTCCATTTTCTGTTCAGCCAGCCAGAAAGAGAGACATAACAAAATTAAGGAAAATCTCATCCCGCCAGACCAACCAACAACCAACCAACCAAACCGAAAGGTCCCAATGAAACCTATCATATGGAAGAGACAAACAGTAGGACAGAAAAAAAAGGTGTGGTAGGACGAAAAGAATACAAACAGAGAGGACCAAGAAAAGGACGACGCACGTGCCTCTCCGAATTTGGTATACTCTCTGTCTTGCGTCGTTTTTTCAGCCAGTCATCAGATAGCCCACCCACTCGCCGAAGCAATCGGTTTCAATGTGTTGCGTTGCTATGTGTTCGGATTCTTGAGAGGAGGAGAGGCGGGGGGGGGGGGGGGACACGTAATCTCTCCCCCTTCCTACCGGTCTCGATCCACTCGTTGAAACTTGCACATACATCGACATTGTACTACTTGTATGCTACAGGTATGGTCACTGTAGTACTGTATGCAGACTCTTCCACGGTCCTCAGCTCGCACGGCACGAAGGCGGCGTACCCCACCTGCCCTGTTACCTTACCTCCCCCCCCCCCTTCCTATGCGTCAGTGTCTCTTTGGCTGCGGGTTTTTTCTTTTCTTTCTTGTCTCTTTCTTACTGGATGTGCTACTATATTTTGTAGCTTGTACTATTAGTAGTGTGAAAATCGCACTTGGGGCTACTGCAGACCTGCATGTTCCATGTCACCAGACTAGAGCATATAATACAGTAGCTCGGCCGTGCTTATGCAGGAACAGGAACGAAAAGTCCCTCCCCCCCCCCCCAAAAAAGAACCACACACATGCAGCAAAAACAACAACCAAAAAATTTAAAAAAGAGAGGGGCTGATGGGGGCAGAATGTAAAGGGGGGGGGGGCGCTTGAAAAAAGTTTGGTCGGGACCTGTCAGACTTCCGTGGTTCATCAGTCTTTTGGTGGCGCCAGACCCATATACCGAACCAGATATTGGTGACGACTTCTGGGGACTTTTCTTTTTGTTCTGCTTACGGGGTCCAGAAACGGTCTGGTCTGGCTAACTTTGCTTTTCGGGTCAGAACCCTTAGGTGTGAGGGAGGGGGGTAAGAAGAACGAAACAGCCACAGAACAGCCGTTTTGCTTATGCTGCCCTGCACACGCAGCAGAGAGAGGAGGAAGAGGAGCCAGTGCGGCGTACGTCAGTCAGTCAGGATCGATACCCGTCCAAAGTGCGATTCTGAATTAGGAATACTTATCGAGGCGCGGGGATGGTGTCGTGCGTGTCATAGTAAGCCAGTAAGCTGCGTGGCATTCCTTTTCTTCCCCCAAACACATGCCCACTACTGCACGGCTGATCCCTCCAACCCTAAAGAAGAATGTGTCTTTTGGGTGAGAGAGGAGGGCGAGGGCTGGCTCGCCTGTAGGCTTATCCGCGTCTAGTTCCTCCTCTTGCTGCGGTTGGTTTGTTGCTCGGAAGGGAAGTGGATCGTGCAACGAAGAGGGATGAGGTGATCACGATGGGGAAAGGTCTTGACATATCATCGTCTCACGAGGGAGACAGAAGAAGCAATAACGATTTGTCAATTGGGAGGAATAGAGGCTTCACATGGTGGATTGATCAGCAAGATAGACACACAACCTCCCTTCTCTCTGTCTTTCCATCTTTTTCCCATTCAAATTCTTCTTGGAAGAAAGGAATAAAAATAAAATTTGGTCATACCCTTCTGCACGTCAGGCCCAGCGGTCCCAAATTTCCAACATGCAGAACGCAAAAAGCCCAGTAAGAACAGCCCACAATCGTAAACCACCGCACACAACCATCGACTCACCCCACCCCACCACCACCAAATCCTTCCCCTGGAATCCGCGGCCAGATCGAGGCATACACTCGCAACATCGGCAAGAAATCCTCCCGTGAAGAAAGATCGGGAACAACAACCGCCCCCCCCCCCAACTCCTTCTCTCTCTACTCATCGGAGACGGCGGCGGTGGCGATAAGACTGAGACACAGGATCTAGATCTTATTCAGCCGATGACGTTCGCGATGATCCGAGAGAAAGAGAAGGGGAGGGGGAGTTCCACGTGCACACACATGCTGCGTGCCATCGTGAGATGTGCTGTGGTGTGGGGGGGGGGGGGAGGGAACTGGCCCCAAGTGGGATCGGATGGGGTGGTGCCCAGTGTTTCTAACGTGCAGCAAGATGGGAAGGTAGCAGTTAGGAGGAGAGTAGGCAAAAAGGAAAAAAGAGAGAAGAGAAGAAGAAAAAAAAAAAAGGATTCGGCACGAAGGATGTTTCGAGCCTGCATGCACAGACGACCAGCCGGCTGAGATCGACGCCTTGGGGAGGTTAGGCAGGTGACATGCCATGCTTCTATCTGTCATTCTGTCTGTCGGTCCGTTGCACTCTCGTATCGCACGTACTGGGTTTGGCTGTAGACCATAACGATGGGTCTGACCCAAAGAAGAGGAGGGGAAGAAGAAAGGGTTCACGTGCAAAGGGCGGCGTTTCAGGCCCGGCGCCGTCATATTTCTCGGCGTCGGTGCCGGCACTGTGGTCTTTTCGACACCGTTGATTGTGTGTGTGGGATTCTTTTTGAGCGGGGGCCCCCAAGTAGAAGACAGTGGAGTGTAGTATTATTCCTATTACTACTGCTACTATTACAACTACTGAATTATGTTCTTGGATAGTAGTAACCAAGCATCACTTAGATACCCTTTTCGTCATCACAATCAAGAGCAAAAGGCACCATACAAGATAGAAACGAATGATGGTAGTTTCGCTAGAGAATAGAAACTTGTTACAATGTTTGAATCCTCAAAACAATGGCTCCTCAGAGCTGTCCCTGTCCTACTCTCTGACCATATTGCTTCGAGAGAATCAGTCCACACGGCCCCAGTTTGTTGTTTCCCTGCCTCCAAAACACATAAACCCGTCCATCCACACATCCCCGCTAGAAGGCATTCCTGTAGAAAGTTTCACTGCTCTGTGTCTTCGCACCACCTGGCAGAAACAAGGCTCGCTCTCAATCCCAGAAAAACAAAAACAGCCTCCCAACCGTCCACCAATCGAACCCACCCAGCTTGTAATTGTACAACAAGCCCTGTGGATACATACTCCATACACGCCACTGAGATCCTCGCCAGAAGGATCCGATCAGGGTTTTTTTGTCCTTCCCAAAGTGTGCCAAACCGATTTGTCATTCAAGCATTGCGCGCGCCCCCTCCCTGTGTTGTGTCCCGTTTGAGGAGAGCGAGGTGAAAAAAAGAAAAGCTTGGCTAGCAAACTGTGTTGGTACATTGAACAACAAGGAGAGGGCAAAGATGTTGTAAATGCTGCAGTAGAACTTTTGATGTGATTGTTGTCGTGACTCCCTCCCTTCTTCAAATGACGCCGTTGGTCGTCGGTGGAGCTGCAAAGGCACTCTCACCGTAAGATTCCCTAGAATTTGGGGGCTCGCTCCGCAGAAAGAGAAGGAAGGGAAAAGAAAGAAAAAAAAAAGGAAAAAGGTAGCGGTGTGAGCCAAAGAAAACCTTCATGCACCTTTTCTTCTAATTAAAAGAAGCAAAAGATAGGTGCTGCGACGAGGAGCTCTTCCCTTGTCCTTACTCAGCGCGCTTCCTCTTCCTCTTGCCGGCCGAGTCGCCAGAGTCTGACAGCTCGCCTGCAGTGTTGACGGGGATCTCGGATGCCACTTGGAACAGCACCTTGCCGTAGCTGGCGTACTCCTCAGGGCTAGGGCCACCAGCCATGGGGGGCGCCGGGTACATGGCGGGGTGGTGATAGTGGCCGGCCATGTCATGCTCGTCGATGAGGTTCATGACGATGGCGCCCGAGCCGTGGGTGCGCTGGTGCTGCGTCAGGTTGTCGGAGCGAGAGAACTTCTTGCCGCACTCGTTGCACTCGAAGGGCTTGTCCTCGGTGTGCAGCGAGCGGTAGTGGCGCTTCAGGTGTTCCTGACGGCGGAACCGGCGGTTGCAGAGCTCACAGACAAAGGTCTTGCTAGGGTCCTCGGTCAGGGACTGCTTGCGGCCGCGACGGTTGGGAACCGAAGAGGGGGTGCCGCTGTCAGAGCCGGATGAGGCGTTGCCGTTGGGCGTGGAGGACTCAGCCGCAGCGCTGCCGCCCTGGCTGCCGTTCTGGCTGTCGGAACCGTCCTGCTGTGACTGCTGGGCATCGGGGGCATTGCTCTGGTCAGCCTCTGCAGCGGCGGCGGTGTCCACGTTGATGTTGCTATGGTCTTTCTTGGCGCGCTTGTTGCGGTGGCCGTCGCAGCTGGCACCCGAATCAGAAGGGCTGGGCATGCCGAAGGACTGGGTCTCGTAGTCGCCGTAGGAGGAGAAGCTGTGGGAGGTGGCGCCGGAGCTGGAGCGCGAGCGGGAGGCCTGGTCGCCCAGGTGGACAAGGCCCTGGACGAAGCTGTCCTCGGAGGCGAGGTCAGAGAAGTCGTCGTAGATGGGCAGGCCGTGGGGCACAGGTGGTGTGACATCCGAGAACGAAGAGCTGACGCTGGAGATTGCAGGGGTTGATGTTTGCCCGTGGGAGAATGTGTCACCTCGGAGCACAAGCTCGCCTTCCTGTGTCGCCAGTCCGGAGATGGAGAACTCAGGAGCCAGTGTCGGGTTGACTGTGCCGACCGTCAGGTTGCGCGGGTCACAAAAGTCAAAGTCTAGCGAGGGGTGCTCCGAGGTCACAGAGTTGGCGTAGGTTGGAGGAGGGGGAGAGGGAGACAGCGACGGGCACGACGTGGTTGTGGATGTTGCCGCTGAGGTAAAGTCACCAGGGGCGGGAGATGAGCAGCTAGAAAGCTGCTGGGGCGGGAGGTACACTGAAAAAAAAAGAGAGCAGTATGTCAGCATATATCCACTGGCAGAAAACTGCTTTTTCCAGTCTGACGCCTCGAATGTCTTATTTTTTCTTTCTTTTAGACTCACCTGGTGTCATGGGTGGCGAGGCACAGCTGTGCCACTCCAGGTTGGGAAACTGCTCAACGGGTTGAGCAACTTCCTCCTCCTTAAGTCCCATGGCGCTGCCATCCAGGCCAGAGAACATGGGGTTCAGCGGCGTGGCCAGCATGTCGCAGCTACCAGGGCTGCTCATGACGCTGCCGGCTGTGGACAGCGCAGGTGTCTGAGGGTAGCACATGCCATCGACACCCTCGAACTTGTCTGTGTCCAGCACGATGGTTGGCCTGTGGAGTTGCTGGTGCATGCGCACTGGTGAGGCCTGGGGGGTAAGCACCTGCTGGGGCGCGCTGGTGAAGCTGGGCTTGCTTGTCTGGTTCATGGACGGCTGCGAGCACGAGGAGCTGGGCCGCGAGAACACAGGGGTCGAAGGCAGCGGTGAGGAGGGGAGCACCGGCACTGGTGGGAACACCTGGATCTGCTGTGCAATGTGGTGGTGGTGTGCGTAGGCGTGGTGAGGCTGTTGCTGTGGGATAAAGTGACCATGACTTCTGTTCTCTGAGTGAGGGTCTGGGCTGTAGTAGTAAAAGGCCGGGGCCATCTGCTGTTGAGCCATCATGGGTTCCATTGTGATGCGTGGTGTGGAATTGTTGCTGGGTCTGCGGTACCTGACACATCAGCCTCCATATTCCTCGGGGTGGTCAAGACATCTGTTACTGCTGTAAGAGAGGGAGAGGAGAGAGGACTACCCACCAGGCTGCTGATTGTGTAACAGGTTGAACTCTGCTTTCCGACTTTCCAAATAAACTTGCGTGTGTTTTAAAGTATTAACTGTATATGGTGTAGGGTTGTAATTGTACAAGTTCTCTGGGTCGAGAAGGTGTTGTTGATGTCGAGGCAGGTTGGCCTAATGATGGTCGTATCGGTTCGTTCCGATGCAAAGAATGGATGGCAGCCTCGAGGTCCTGGAGGAGCGAGAGTGCTGTCTTAATAGTTTGATACTCGAGAGGCGTTGTTGTACATGGATCTCGTCTTGGGGAGAAGAGGAGGGGACGGTCTGATGTTGCTTGCTTGACCCTCTTTCCTGGTCCGGGAGGTATAAATGGATACAAAGGTAAATAGAGGAGGGGGGGTGAAGACGCGTCGTCGTCAACTATAACAAGAACGAGGTATACTTAAAGAAGGGATGGAAGCGGATGTTCCAAGCTCGAGTCAAAGAAAGGAAGAGAACTGATATGTAAATAGAAGAGGAGGAAAGGGAATCATGCGTCCAACAATTTGCCGATCATGAAGTGGAAACAGAAGAGCGAGCGTGGTCGAAGTGGGATCTCCAGAGGAATATGTAAAGAGCGGGCAGCATGTGTGTGCAGAAGCGGGCTGCCAGAAGGAGAGAATCAGCAGAGCCCCCAGACAGGTAAAGGTTGGTTACCGCACCTCCAAGGCCCAGGACCATGGGGTGGCTTCTGGACCTTGTGCAAGGGTGTGAGTGACGGGGGCCTGGCACTTGTCCCGGCCAACTACTCTCTCATCCTGGTTCCTTCATGAAGCCACCATAAACCGCGGAACCGACTGCTATGCCCCACGACAACAGGGCCCCCGGGCCCCTTCCAGCGTTTCCTCCACCGAGAGCCCACCCACCACCTCTTGGGTTTGTCTCACACTGCTCTCATCGCCGCTGACGAGGCAGCGAGGGCTCTCGACTGACCAGGGGACCAGTACATACCCCACCCATCCACCCTTCTTCCTCCCCCTGTGCCCTTGTCTGGGGCAAAGGTGGGTGGGCGCAGCGACGCTAGGCCGTATCTATTTTGGCGACCTCTCCCGACCAGGCTGTCGGAAGTACCGCTCATCGATGGGTACTTAGCTCTCTGGGACGAGGGTCCCATGGCGTTCCGGGTCCCCGGAAGTGAACCAGATTCCAAGCAGTGGGGAACAGCAGGTGGGACCCTCTGGGAATGCGGTGGGCAGCCCCCCTGCCACGAAAGCCTGCCAGCAAGAAGGTAAGAAGAAAGAGAGAGAGACACACACACACAGAGAGAGAGAGAGAGAGAGAGAGAGAGAGAGAAAGATGAGGGCATACGACATCCCGCAGCTCACAACTGTGTGCGACCCTGATGTGCCTGCAGCGTGACAACTCTGTGCGTTCCTGCAGACGGGCGCCATGGTTGATCACCTACCTCTGGCTGTTACTGGTCAGTTGCCTACTACAAGAGGCGTTTGGCTTCTGCTGAAAGCGGCAACACGAGACTGGGCCTGGAGGCGCTGTACCATAGTACGGTGATGCACGCGCAAATACGACAAGCTGAGCTGATTTTGCCACCGCACGCCCTCTCTCGCATTGCTAGTAAAGTGACTGGCGGCTATTGGGCGACGCGAGGAGACCGACTAGATTGCTTGCGCTCGCTCTCTCTGTCTCTGTCTTCCAGACCGAGCTTTGCACGAGCAGGACCCGTCACACAGGCGCCACAGTCGAGTGTGAGCTGTCCAGCTGGATAATCGTCGTGTTCTGATGTTAGTGCTATTCTGCAGTGAATGCGACGTGTGGGAATCAGAAATCTCGCAGCAGCCATAATACGAGTGCGCATGCTGCTCTGTGCATGAATAGTGCAGCAAGATCGTACGGGGATGTCGCTCGTAATTTTGAAAAAAGGCCGCATGTCATTAGTATTCCTGCTACGTACCATAGTACAGTACAGTGTACAGTACATGCTGTACTACTAGTAGGGTCGCTCAGTTAGTTGGCGGGACAGTATTGGGTCGGATTGCACGCACGCAGCGTGCGAGATCGGGAACGCATTGAGCGAGACCCTAAGAGAGAGAGAGAGAGAGAGAAAGAGAGGATCAAGGACGAATCGCTTGGGAATTGTGCACACAGGTCCCCCGCTTCCCGTGGGTTCGCTGGCTGCTTGGACCCAATCCGATGCACTGGTTGGGCCTAGGGGCCCATCACAAATCTCCACAAGTCTTGTACAGATCCATACTGTGCCCTGTTGGGGCCTGCATAACGTCGGCGGAGCGGTGGGCGCTTCTCCACCTGATAGGACAGCGACGAACAGACGGCAGCCGCTCTCGCTGACCGCACAATCCAGCGTGTTCGACGCTATCACTAGATGTGCTGGACCGGAACAGCAACGCAACGCAGCGAGATGAATCCATTCGCTGCTCGCCATCGAGACGCCAGACCGATTGTTTGGCTCCAGTTTCCGCGGGCAAACGTGCTGCCCACGACTGGTCCTGCTGGATCGCGCTAGGCATGGTCAATGGTCATTCAGTCCAGAGCACATGCAGAAGAATATGGACCCTAGATCGTCAACAAGAGACTGGACAGGACGGAAGCACAGGCGCCTCGCTGTTGACTGCACCTGCGAGCGCGATAGGTCGGAGCATCTCTTTCGCAGCCCAGAGCGGGGGTGGGGTGTGTGTATGTGTGTGTGTGTGTGTCTATCTTTCGACCCGATGCCAGCGGAGGTACTTCGGCAGGACAAAGTTTCGCGGACCTGTTGGAGACACTTGACTTCATGCGCTGGGCGGTGATCTTCAGGCACCTCCCATGCCCCGAGAGCTCCCGTGCCACGCACTTTGCCTGTCTATCCAAGGCACGCCAAGGTCTCGAAACACGCCTCAAGGTTCTGCTTGGTTGGGCATATCGTCAAGCGCGGCAGACGATCTGCTGTTTTTGGGCATCTTCTGAGCGGCGACCATGGCAGGAGTTGGTTAGCTGGAGCGGCATATGTCTCTGCAGAGCATGGCGCGAGAGGGGAGAGAATCGTCGAACCCTGCTGTTTCCAAGGAGCGACTACCATAGTATAGGGTTGGCCCCAGCAGCACTGATAGTACAGCAGTATGAATCTCTGACGACACAGCTAGCGTGTCGTCATCTACATCACACAGTAGATGCGACTTTTGAGCTGGACAGGCATCGTGAGTGATGCCGCCCGCATTGCTAGACCCTGCTCGTGGCTGTACACATGCGACGAATAGGTGTTCCAAGACGCAGTTCGCCTCTTGAGCCGCAGCAAGAAGATGAACGATGATGTGTGTAGCCAGCCTTGTTTGTGGAGTAATGGTGACGATGGTGGTCCACTTCCCTTTGAGGCCTCTGACGCTCCTCGTCTTCTGATCTTGACCTGGCTGGAAATAGTATTGTACTGTACTTGCTCTCTAGTACGGTGATCGACGCCAGCCAATCCGAAACACTGGCATGGCTCTGGCGTCAAACAAACAATGGAGATTCGACAAGTTTTTGGTAGGTGACATGCGTGACGAGATGCAGTGCAGTCACGCCCGAGAGGCCAACCAGAGGCCTTCAGTAGCACACTGGCTGCATGCCGAGGCGGGCCGGCGTGCTGCAAGCACTTAGACATTGGTGCCCGTCGGCGGCCAGTCAGAAGGCCAGGGCTCCGTCTGCAGCAGCAGTCTCGTGGGTGGGATGGCGCTCTGGGAAAGCTCGTGATAGCCCGACGTGCCACTCGGTAGCACTTGTTGGCTATTGCCTCCCACGTCTTGCCGCCGTCGCAGCGGCTCGCCTGATCCCGTGATGGCTTGTGATGTGCGATGGCTCTCGTGGTAATTCTGATTGTTCAGGTTTTTGAAAGGGTGTTGCAACTTGCCGATCAGCCGTCGTCAGCCCTGGGCTTAGCACATCCGACCAGGTCAATCGGATGATTGACACCATGATAGGACAGTCTCGTATATGCGCGCAGGGGCCGTGTGTGCATACTCTTGATCTCTTGTCTTTTGTTTGAGTTCTTTTGGTGTGGCGTGCGTGTGTGCTTGCTGTTTTACTGTTCCTTAGGGTTGACGACCCTGAGGGCTTCATCGCTTGGGCGACTGATTGCTTGGTTTACGTGGTACCGATGTCCGTCCTGCCGTAGTTGCCAGTATTACGGTTCTCTATTGGTACATGGTACAGTAATACATACATGCAATCGTACTATGTCTGTAATCGGCAGTGTGGTAGACACTACTAATTACTACATGGCACCTACTTTGGTACAGAAGGACCCAGTCGTAGTTGCCTCTCCTGGCCAAGCTGCTGCCTATCATTTTCTTCATCTGGAAGCAACAACCCAGGAGAATGCAGAACATTGGAAGGAACCATATCCTCATTCTTACTCCTGAAAAGAAACAAAAAAAATTTCGCTCCTGATTCGTTGTCCCGCCACTGCACGCTTGCATCTGCTCGTGACCATCCTTCGTACTTTTGGGAAAGAAGAAGAAAAGCGCCTATTTGGTGTATTCTTTGGTTCTTTCTTCCTGCCCTGCATGTGGTTAACTTGGAGAAACCGTCAACTCGAAACTTCGGTCAGCCATTTCGAGATCAAATCACAACACCAGTAGATCCTACACTGGCCCACCGGATGCTACAACAACTATAGTACTAAGCGTATAGTACCTCGTCGGTGCTCCTGCTCGTTCATGGCGTTGGGCGCTGTCGGGCAACTTATCTTGGGTGATCTACCTTTTCGATCGGCATCTTGAAATGAAACAGCCCTCCCTCCTCCTCGTCTATTCGTCCTGCTATGTACAGTAGCGGATCTACTCGAGAGAAAAGGCCAGCGACGGCCCACAGGCGATTCAGGGACGACAATCATGTGAAAGACACTGGCGCGCACACCCACACCCACC